TTATATGTAGAAGTATCTAAGAGACATCATGAGATATTTGTTGGCTGGCCAAATTATATTAAGACATCAAGTTGAAGATCATTACTCAAATATTAGCAACCATCTTCAACCAATTTAAAAAGGCAATACCTTCCATCTTCAGCCAAGATTATTGCAAGAAGAAGACAATAAATATTAGGCCTTGATCATTATCTTCTTCATTAACATTTCAGACACACTCTAAGTTGACATCATCTTCTAAAAATCTTTTTACCATGATATATTTATTATTTTTATGAGATAAATGTGAGGTTAAACTCATATTTATCATAAGTGAGAGCTCTCCCTATTAACAACAATGTGACATCTTGAGTCATAAATCTAGAAATAAATTTTAGGGTTAAATTTTATGGAAGTTGAGTCATGTAATCAATAGTGTGGCACCATAGAGCTATAAATCTAGAAGATAGATTATGGGTGAATCTTCAAGGGAGTTGAGTCTGTTAATCAACAATTGTGGGTGGACAGTCGTAAGTAGTGAAACCCAAGAAAGTTTTGTGCTTGAAGAGTGGATATAAATAGTTGGCTGAACCACTAAGATATCTACCTATCCATCATTTTAAAAGAAAAGTGAAAATTAAGAGACACTTAGGAACGAAATAAGAAAATAGTATATCAATTCAACCCCCTCTTTTTTATCTTAGTATGGGTCAAAACCCAACAAACCTAACTCTTGTGGTGAGCTTGACAATAACAAGAACTTATCTGGTAAGCTCAAGTCCTTCTCAAGCACTTGTGGTATGATGAAGATAGTGTGAGACATGTGGTGCACTCACATCTATGTAAAGATTATTAGAATCCCCTTGTAAGTATCAAAGAGAGTTGAGATCAAAAGTCATATGTAATTGTTGGGTATGATTAGTAAAAACCTAAGGTAAGACAAACTTAAGAATTGGACATAGGCGTTGCAAGTTGACCACTCTAAAAACTTTATGTTGAATAAGAAACTCTCTTCATTTTCATCTAAGGAAAAAAGAAACTAAGAAATATAAAAACCTAATAATTAACAAAAATTAGAAATTAATTCACTCCCTATCTTGGTTCACCTAATTACTAAGGACTAATACATTGATAATTATAAATTAATAGTTACATCTATACATTAATAGACTATATGTAGATGCTAATTAATGGGTAGAGAAAGTAATTATACATTTGTTACTAACTCATTATGACATTCATAATGTTTTATCATTTAAGTCTATACATATTATTTTGTTTATTTTATTTATATTATGAGACTAACCCCACTTGTCTTTTATGAAGTCAAGTGATAATTCTCTCATATTTTCTTGATAATTATTTGATTACAAATACTTAGATTAACTCTTATTATGAGTTGAAAGTAATAAAAGATATCTAAGTCTTCAATCAAAAGAAAAATTTAAGTCTTACAGAGAGGGCCAACCTTATATGTTCATGGGCCCAAGAGAGAAAGTCACCTTGGCCTAATCTATTTGGACTTAAAAGGGCTATCAAAAGATGAAATTTAAGCTGCCCATCTTATAACATCTAAGATAAGATTAAGAGGATGATTAGAGTGCTACTCTCATAGAAGAATTTGGGCCATCCACCAAGAGAGTCGATTATTAATTATAGCCATCTATTGGAGGGGCCTAATTCTCTAAAAGTTAAAGACATCTGCCCCCCCTCTTAAAGGGTACTTTTTGATTCTCTTTCTAGTAGTGACTAGCCAAAAGAAAAAGAAGAGAAATCAAGGTCCGATCAATAGTATCTCATGCTCAAGATCATCATAGAGAAGAGATTATTTGGAACATATCAAGATCGTTGTGGATCAAGCATCACTCAGCCTAGGATTGACACACAACGAGATTCGTATAAGATTTAGATCTAAGGCATCCTTATAATCTTCTTCATAGATAGATTAACTCTTAGTTTGAATTAGTTTTACCATTTATTCTATCATTCTATTATGTTAAATTTATTTTTTTCTTTTACCACACTTTCTATTTCTTTTGTCTTCACTCTTTTTAGATTTAATTTCGTCATTTACAATCTCAAGTATATATACATAAATAATTAAAATTCTTACTCTCATTACCTATGCTCTTTAAAGATCAACATTTACTTATCATAAATTGAAGAGTGAGGTTTTATAAATATTATTTACATGAACTTGATTGAAAACACGACAATATATTTAACTTCTAAATTGATTACACGTTTCACAGGCAAAAAAACATCTTGAGGCCATTAATTTCTCATTTATCTTGTACGTTACTCTTTTCTCTTTTTCTTTTTCTCTTAATTTGAGGGCCTCCAAAACTTCTATAAAAGGAGACCTCCATAACATGTATATGCATCTCTCTCTCTCTCCCTGTCTCTCCCTCCCTCTCTATCTCTATCTCTCTCTCTCTCACTCTCTCTCTCCCTCTCTTCCTCCCTCTCTATCTCTATCTCTCTCTCTCTCCCCCCCCCCATCTCTCCCTCCCTCTCTATCTCTATCTCTCTCACACACACTCTCTCACTCTCTCTCTCTCTCGCTCTCCATCTCTCTTCCTCCCTCTCTATATCTATCTATCTCTCTCTCTCTCTCTCTCACTCTCTCTCTCTCTCTCTCCATCTCTCTCTCTCTCTCTCTCCATCTCTCTCTATCTCTATCTCTATCTCTCTCTCTCTCTCTCCCTCTCTCTCTCGCTCTCCATCTCTCTCTCTCTCTCTCTCTCTCTCTCTCTCTCTCTCTCTCTCTCTCTCTCTCTCTCTCTCTCTCTCTCTCTCTCTCTCTCTCTCTCTCTCTCTCTCGCTCTCTCCCTCCTCTCTCTCTCTCTCTCTCTCTCTCTCTCTCTCTCTCTCTCTCTCTCTCTCTCTCTCTCTCTCTCGCTCTCTCTTTCCCCTTTCCTCTTCTCTCATTCTGTTTCAACTTGTTTGCAACTGAAATATCCACAGTGATTACCCTCATATTTGCATCAAGGTGAGTAAGAACATCGTAACGGAGAGTGAAAGAAACCCAACCTTCAACCGATGATTTCCCTGCACCCCTTCTGTCCTATAGAGACGATTTTCTGGGGATTCAAGACGTGTCATTCCTTTCTTGATTATTACCTCAGATTTTTTTACGTTGTGTTTTGGAAAGGTTATATCTCTTAGTGGACATGTATGACAGAAGTTTAATCTTTGCTCTCCTCTTTTGCCCTCCTTGGCAGATGGGCGAGTTGAAAGTCGTAGAGGAAGCTCTACAGTAAATCATATCTATCTGGGACGCTGGTCAGAAGCTGGAGATGGAAAATGTGGAGACATCAACGAGCCTCCAACCGCGGAGCGCCTTCTGGGGGTCAGAAAGCTGGAGCAGAGCCTCCAACCTCGGACGTCCTCCCTGGGATCCCTCCGGTCTTGAAGACATGGGGTTCCCCAAACGGCATCAACAACATAGATTGTGACGAGGCGCATAAAAACATCTATACAGCCAAGAGCCCTGCCTGCTTCTATCCATTGCAGAGGCTCTGGGGAAGAATAATCCGAGGATGATATCCTCTGATGGTCTCTGTGCAAGTAAGCTTTCTGTAACGCTCATTCCCGACCCATTCTCCCTCCATCAGATTAGTCCAACATTAATTGAGACATTCGAGTTCTTCGTTTTGTCCGTGGGTTGCATACACATAATTTTGTTCATCTGCATGACACAATTTACATCTGAGGGATTTATTATCTTGCAATCAAAATATATACTACGATTTAGTCACAGTGAATTAGTTTTGACCTAGATACCCTCATTATTTCAGACCCATTACAATCACGTTGCACCTATATTCCACCCTTCTTCGATTCTTTATTTTCTTTGCCGCGGTGCTCATCTCATAAATTTTCTGGTGTTCTGGACTAATGTCAGCAGACCTAAAAAATTGGAAGTGAAAAAGATGTGACCACAAGACGTTGCATCTTCCACTAGCATATCATTGTGCTTCATTTCAAATATATTAGGAACCTTTTTACCACCTACATCACCTTAGGTTGATGGCATGAGGTCCGTATTTTAAAAGATTCGGATTAGCGTGTTTCATGTTCTCCAGCTAGTTCTTTCCAATTTTAGGCTTTCATTGATTTCTCTCATTATAGCCGACATTCCGTTACCACCCACGTTGTAGCAAGAAAGTGACCTTGGTTGTATATGCATGGCATAAATGTAACCCTCTTCCCCTCCGCTGACTGTTGCGTCCCGCTGCCATTCTCCACATCTCGAACCGGCCGTATGTCTCCGGATGAGCTGTGTTCCTCTCACTCGAGATCTCCCTTCTTGCTTGTCTCTGGGGGTAGATTATGGACATACGCCTCAAAATTCTATCATGGCAGGCGGATCGCATTAAGCTGGAAAAAACGAATGATATTTATGTTCTCCACATCTTTAATTATATTATAATTTTTCAATTAGTGTCAGTCAATATGTGTCGTTAAGTATGTTGTGACAAATATCACGTCCATTGAGAGTTATTTATCCTAGAAAACAATTAACGTACATTTCTAGATGACTCTCTCTCTCTCTCTCTCTCTCTCTCTCTCTCTCTCTCTCTCATGCATCGTGCCCATCTTTAGTATTTTCATCGTCATGTTATATAGATTAAAGTGCGATGGATATAAAGACGATGAGAAGTAGCGGATACTCTTGAACCGGAGTTTGGATGGATCTTCAACTATAATGACATCTTTGCTCCGTCCCCTGTGGGTATATGACAACTTGGCGGAGGACCTGGAATTGAAGAGCTGGGTGGCATGCGTTCGCCGTGCTATAGGGCGGCCGTTACTCGGAGAATTCAATCCGTTCTTAGCTCGAATGCTTAATTGCCGTCTTTTCTTCCTCTCTCTCTCTCTTTATCTCTCTCTCTCTCTCTCTCTCTCTCTCCCCTTCTCTCCGAACAATACCCCGTCAACCCTCTTATTTTCTCGTTTTCTCCTCTAGCAGCCAACCTCCTAATCTTTAGAGTTTTTCTGCACTGTCATTTCGCTCAATGTCCCGCGAAGCCGGAGCTCATGGGAACACCATGTGGGAGGCCATATCGCGGATGTTGTCTGGCTCTGAAAGGTCGAACAGCAGCGGCTTCTCCGAAAGCCTGATCTCTGTGGCGACGCCAACTCGTCCCGAACAGCCGGTGAACAGGGATGAGCAACCCACGGAGAGCGGCGAGGGGCACCGGAACACCTGGATCGGCAGCGAGTCCGTCCACGAGACAGATTGGTGGTCGGAGCGAGACTTAATATTTAATCTCCAAGCTTTTCTTCCTCATCTCCCCCCCAAGGTGAGAGAGAAACTACAAGGCAAGAAATGACCTAGGAGCCGCGGCGCGGATTTCGTAGGAAAATAATTATATATTCAGCCTATGAAAATATATTCTGGGAAGGCTCATCAGTTGTTCATCTGTTGCCAAGTTACTACTTGAACGAGCACTTTTGGCAGATGCCTTTCTTTTTCATATACAATCCATATTAATTGGCAGATATCTATGCGGTTCTGTTCTCTCCGATTCTTGGCTTACCGTTTTTTCCCTTTTCTTCCGAAGTAATCGAAAACTATTTTGCGTCTGATGCACTCGTATTCCATTGGCGGAAAGCGTTAAAGTCGATTTTTTGCTTCGACTTTCCGTCTCCTTGTCAGGCTGAAGACTGGGAAATCGAAGAGGGAGCTGTAGAGTATATCAAATCTCTCCGGGACGCTATTCAGAAGCTAGAGATGGAAAATAAGGAGACATCAACGAGAACCCCGGCGAGCAACCAGTCTTTGGAGATACCAAAGCAGGAGCAGACACCTTCTGCCGCGGTCCTTCCCGTCTTGAAGACTTGGGCTTCTCCTAACGTCATCGTTAACATAGCTGGGCGCGACGCCCACATAAACATCTGCACCTTAAAGAGGACCGGCCTTCTGCCTGCCATCGCGGATATCCTGGAGAAGAGGAATCTGAAGATGGTCTCTCTGCACGTCTCCTCTAGCGCTCTCACAACCATCCTGATGATCCACGCGCAAGTAAGCTTCGGCGACACCTGTACCCCACTCATATCCCCCCCTCTCTAATAGATTACCAGTCCATTAGATGGACGACGAATGCGGCCAATAGAGATGTTATTGTTTCACTGATATATAGTCGTATTCTCCGAGAATATCATCTGTTTTCAGAGTTCGTGTTCCTGCATGTGGTGCCCACACCCAATTTATATTGTTAGCATGATATATCTTGGAAGAATTGGTGCGTCGATGGGTGGGCATTTGAGAATCATTAAAAGTTGATTGAGACGATAAAATCTCGCCAGTAACCTTTTCATTTTGGGACGGATTTTCATTTGGCATTTCACCCTCATGTTAACCCTTCAAGACTTTATTTCATAATTTCTCATCACCTATGACTATATGATTTTTAATATATATATATATATATATATATATATAGATTTCATTGAATTTTTCGGTGCAACTAACAGGCAAACAGAGGTTCCGATGAGATTCCAGAGACACGAATGGTTGAAGAAGCTTTCAAATCGGCAGCAAAGGAGATTAATCAATGGATAGCTCAACATGATGCTACAGCTTCAACAAGCATCTAACAAATCGGGCACACAGCTAGTCACAGCCTTTTGGTGCATTAGCATAATGGATGGCCTTAGTGCTTGTCAAGCATAAATGAACAATATTTTCTTTGAATTTTCCTTCCGTCTTCTACCGTAGATTTCCTTTTGTTGAATCTCATTATCCTCACCACATAATCAAACAGGATGCCTTAAGTGTCAATTGAGGAATAATTTCTTGTTGGACATGCTCTTCTCTCTTCCACATGCTGAAACCACAACTCAGGAGATTATTATGAGTCCTGGTGGCTGTAAATCTAGGACAATGCCTGATAATCCATCTGCCAAGAATATGATCGTAGGCATTCTATCAATGAATATCCTTCTTGGGAACTCATTATAATAACTACAACGCCATACATAAAGTGTAAGGTGATTGTGTGATAATTTTTTCACTTTCCTAAGTATTGTCTTAACAACCACAAATATGACTTTTAGAGACTATGTAATGGTGAAGGTGAAAAAAATCATGAATAGAAATATAATGGTATTATCAAATAATAAATCGGAAAGTCATAAAAGAGGATAAGGATCGGAATGCATTAAGTTGTCCTTTTTCTCGTAGAGAAAGGAGTCAGCCAAGGAGTTGGCTCACCTTTTATAAACTAAACGGGGATAGAAACGTCGAGACTGCCTCACTCTCTCACTCTCATTCTCATCTAGAATCTTCTCGCCAATAGGACAGCTCTATCTCGAAACGACGCAAATGGGAACAAGAAGCGGATTTTACGGATCAAATGGCACAGTAATTATTATTCCCTCTGGCGGGGTGATGAAAGAAGAAGGAATGCCATATCTCCACCGCGACGAGAACGCATCGAGAAGACGCGATGAGTAGTGTCTGTCTGGAGCTGCGCTCAAGCGGATAGAGTCGCACAGTGGAATCTGTTCATCGACTCAGGAGAATAAAAAACCATGAGATTCTCGAGATCAATTACGAATGCAATCCCGAAGAATAAAAGAGAGAAGTACGCAATATTATCTCCTTACACAGGTCATCTTCTATATATTCCTCTTGGCCCTCAAAGACCACGGTTATATTGCGGGCCTTCTTCCGCCGTCCTTGGCTGTTGTAAACCTATATCTCCATCCCTGCCCCCTTCTTCTTCTCTCTCTCTCTCTCTCTCTCACTCTCACTCACTCTCAGTATATATATACACCTTCCTGCCTATCGATCTATATAAATACCTTCCTCTCTCAACCCACCAACATCCATCGTGGAGACACCAAAACTTGGTCATGTCCAATCACAGTTTCTCAGATGATAGCGCTTCCCGGGGTGACAAATACAGCGAGAACCAAATAAAATATAGTTCCAAAGCCCTGATCGCCTTGGGGGTACAAACCGGTCCAGAGCCACCGCAAAATACGAAAAGTCATTCTGTCGTCGCCGACGAGGGGAGGGGCGGCGCAAGGGCACTACTAGAGTCTGAACACGAGGTACGTTCCCAGTCTGAGAGGTCGAAGAAGATCAGAGATCTGTTCACAGAACTTCACTCCTTTCTGCCTCATGTTTCTGGCGAGGTGAGCAAAACAATTCCAGAACGAGACTGTTCCTTCCCTCCCGCCACGATGATCTTCAAGAGTACTCTCTCTTTCTGTCTCTCTCGTCGGCAGGATGAATATGTAGCAATCGTAGACGAGGCGATAAACTTCAGCAGATCTCTTGAGGAGACTCTCAAGGGTGTCGAGGAGGCATCACAAGAGGAGGATGCTCCGATGGAGCCGAGGGAAGCTTCCATGACTGTAGAGGTGAAGGGGCTCACTGATGAGATATATAATCCCCGTCCCCAGCAGGAGTATGAGATCTGCTGGGCGTCACCTAACGCCGTCGTGAGCGTCACCGGCGACCACGCCCAGATCAGCATCTGCTCCGCGAGGAGGCCTGGCCTCCTCCTCACCGTTGCACATGTGCTGGAGAAGCACAACCTTGCGGTGGTCTCCCAGCATGTCTCGTCCGATCAGTTCAAAGACCTTATCTTGATGCACGTACAGGTAAACGCTCGACAAAACCTGCTCTCCCCCTTTGTTTCGCGACCAAACACAGATGGTCGATTCAATATTTTTTTTTTTGCTAAAATTGAACAGGTGGGCAGAGCTTCCGGACAGTTACTCGAGACGCAAACGGCTAAAGAGGTCTTCAAATCCGCCGTGGATGAAATAATTCAATGGATATCGTGACATGATTTCACACACCTTCGCCGGCATGCGTGCAATGGAAATACGAAGATTGATTGGCAGATTCTCCTCAGATTCAGATCTTGTTGACTATGAGCTTGTATGCGCCCATATGTTCTCCTTTAGCACGTCTGATGAATGGCCTCTTTTAGTCTTTCACTTGTTCTCCCAATAATGTTGACTTATTGTTGGTCATATTGTAGTCGGATTCAAATTTTAGCCGCATAATTAGTGTTCACATCAATAATTTTAGACGGTACCCACCACATGGATATCTATCAATGTTGAAGTGCCAATGGGAAAGACTTTATGACTCTTTGCCTCAGCAAATATTAGGGTTTTCTTCAAATTAAATGTGCTTTGAGAAGCAAAAAACAAAGAAAATAATAATTGATAAAGGCTACTCGCAAATAAATAGTCATTAGATGTAATATACCAATTAGGCATCCTAACTTAGGGCCTAATCTGTGTAAATCACTACCACAATGCCTGATTTAAAACAGATTCTTACTACAAATTTCCACGATCAACATGGAAGGTCAAACATTTGTCCTCCTTGTCAAACATTTATTATTATTTTTCCTTGATGTAACATAGGTTTTTCTTGCTATTATTATTATATTTCCCTCATGTAACATATACCTCCCTTTATGTCCTTCTCAATGTATGTCGTTAATGGTAAGCCCATACCTCTTGATAGCATTTGTTATATGTCCATCAGAGCATCCACTAAGCTCATGACAAAATAAAAATATAGAATTGAAGGAAATACTACAGATATAAAAAATTGTGTTTACCTATGAAGATTGGCCTCACCCCTTGTAAAACTAATTTTAAACCCAATATTATTCGACAATTTCGAGATTTTCCGAAATAATTTCAAAGATTATTAATTTAAACCACACCGAGTTGACCATGGATGCCTCATGCCACAACTTAATGCTATTTTCTGTAAATCCCCTGTCACAATGTTCAATAAAATCATGTTGAAGGTTGTTTGTTTTGTTTCATATTATATATGTATAGATACACATCTTCTATTCACATAAGTCTTAATCACGGCCCACCAGGCAATGAGGGATTTGAACCATGAGCCATCTTAAATCCTCCTTGTTAACGGCAACACTCCATTAATGTTTTGCCATAAACCATAGTAATTTATATTCTTATGTTGAGAAAGTGTTAGGAGATTGATACACAGTTTTTTATTTGTCAAGTTAATGTAAAACGTTATAACGTAAAAATTGGGCTTTACCCTCCTAGTCGATGTTTTCTTCCAATTTAGTGTGTTCCTAGATACTCGAGACGAAATTTAGAAAACTAGTACTTCGCCCACATGGAAAACCAGAGAGAGTTTCTTTAGGCCCAGGCCGAGTGCCATGATCGGCGCAGTTTTCTTTGGGTCCGGCCCGATTCTTTAGTCAACGGAAGGCTGCCGCCGCGGTGGCGGCTTGACCGTGCGCGTCTCCTGGAATTCATCAGGGTCAGCCCACGCGTCAGGCATTGGTGCCCCCAGCTCCCAGCAGTGTCTTCCCCCCCCCCCCCCCAAAATTTTATAACATTTAGATCTTTAAAAAAATTCAGAGATCAATGTTAAAAAAAAAGAGAAGAAGGTGAATCCTTCGTCGTTGTGCCTATAAAGAACACGTCAGTAGCCGGTACTGCTATCCAGTCGCTGTAGATAGCTCAATGGCCGCCTCTAAACCGCTCCACTTCCGAGAGACGATGCCGGTGAAGAACACACTCTGGAGGGCCGCGGATCTCCTGATCCTCTCTCTCCTCACCGCCCTCCTCTGTTGCCGCCTAATCTCGACGCGCCGCCGTGAAGCTCTGTGGATCGTAGCTTTTCTGTGCGAGGCCTGGTTCACCTTTGTCTGGCTTCTGCACATTAACTCCAAATGGAACCCCGTGAGGCAGATAACCTACCCAGAGCGCCTCTCCAAGAGGTAATCCGCCATAGACCCTCTTCTCTTCTTGCTCCCCCCTCGGGAAATTTAGGGTTTCGAGGGAATTCCAGGTGGGAGGACCTGCCGGCTGTGGACATGTTCCTCACCACGGCGAACCCCGAGCTCGAGCCGCCCATGATCACCGTGAACACGGTGCTGTCACTGCTGGCGGTAGACTACCCGCCTCACAAGCTCGCCTGCTACGTCTCCGACGACGGCTTCTCGGCCGCCACCTACCGCGCTATGGTGGAGGCTTCGGAGTTCGCTAGGTCGTGGGTTCCCTTCTGCAAGAAGTACGCCGTCCAAGTTCGAGCTCCCCTCCACTACTTCTTCGGCGAGCCGGAGCCCTCCCCGTCGATCTCTCCCGATTTCCTCCATGACTGGGAAGCAATGAAGGTAAGCTCCGATCATCCCCCAAATCCTCCTGGGGAGAACTCATCGTCCGCAGCTCTGATCTCAACCTCCAGCGCATGTACCGAGAACTGGAGAGAAGAGTAGAGGAAGCTCATCTGAGAGGCGACACTGAGCCGATCTTCTCCCAATTCGACCGGGAGAACCATCCCAGCGTGATTAAGGTCAGAATTGTGTTCAATTTACATTAAAGTATGTAGATGCACACCCTAATTGTGCTCAGATCTACGTTTGGAGCAGGCCATATGGGAGAACAAGGGCGATCCGGCAGATGGCGTCCCTCATCTGTTCTATGTGGCGAGGGAAAAAAATCCAAACCATCACCATCACTTCAAGGGTGGAGCTATGAACGTCCTGGTAAGGTTCCCCTTTGAAGAGTGGAGCCATGAATATCTGACTCTGTAGGATTGATGGTCTGGATGGGAACCGCCCAGCTCGGGCCCTGGTTTCTCAAGCCCAGCCTCGAGTTCGTTGATTCCCTCTGCAAGGTGTGAACTTGATCTGTTCCCGGTAGAGAAACTCGGAAAGTAGGTTGTGGGTCGGACCTGTAAGAAACTCTAGCCATTATTCCTAACCACTCACCCTCTAGAGAGAGAGAGAGAGAGAGAGAGAGAGCGATAAAGTTCATGAGATAGTCAACAGCTAGAAGAAACACGTTTAGAACTTCTGGGTTTCGGGATCGGATGCAATTGAAATCTTGATTGTTTTTCATGCAATATTTGACACATTGTTCACGCATCAGGGAGTTATGTGGGGCAAGAACTCTTTTTATGGAGTCAATTACGTTATTACTGGCACATTTTTTGCAAAACTAGTTAGTTTGAAAATTGGCGTAGATTCTTTGAAGTTTTGACTGTATTTACCATTTTCGTCAAAATGTTTCTGTCGTTGACTTACCATGAATTGGATTTTGGAAAAAATATATTACAAACTCTGTTATCTTTAATTAAATTCATTTAGTTATTTTGGAAATTTCTTCAAAATTTGTAAAATTAAACTTTTTTTTAGTAAGGCTACTTTGAAGAAAGATTCCTAAATACTATTTTTTGCCTCTGTACTTTCCTATAAAAAAAAACTAATTTTGGAGCTACACTTTTGTTAACAATACCATTAAATTAATTAATGAAAATGCCCCAATTTTTCTTCTTCCTCACTCATTGTGTATGTATGACTTCCCGAACCCAGACCAGGGTCTCCGGAGTGATAACCAACGCGCCCTTCATGGTCAACGTTGACTGTGACATGTTTGTCAACAACCCGGCCGTCATCCTCCACGCGATGTGCCTCCTCCTCGGCTTTGACATGGACAAGATGAGCGGCTTTGTCCAGTGCCCCCAGCGCTTCCACAGCCCCCCCAAGGACGACCCCTTCGGCAACCAGATGACCGTCCTCAATCACGTACGCCGCCCCCTCCTCCTTCCTCCTCCTCCTCCCTCCTCCTCCTTCTCCTTCTTCTTCCTCTCCTTCTCCTCTTCCACCACCACCACCACCATCTCCTCCTCCGCCCGTGGGAACACTAAACCTCAATCTCGGCGCTTCCATGTTTCTCGTCTCGCAGTTCTTGGGGAGGGGGATGGAAGGGCTCCAGGGACCTTTCTATTACGGAACGGGCTGCTTTCACCGGCGGAACGCCATCTACGGCGAGGCCCCAGACGACCCTCCGCCGGCGAAGCCCTCGTCGGCAGACCTCCGCGGAAGATTCGGCCGCTCGCGGCGGCTTCAGTCATCCGCGGCGGACATCATCTCCGGCCTCCGCAAGACCTCCCTCGCCATCGACGACCTCGCCGCCTCCATGCACGCCGCAGTGGACGTCTCCAGCTGCTCTTATGAGCTCCATTCTCTGTGGGGCGACGAGGTGAATTCCCACGTGCTAACCACCCCCCCCTCCACACGTGCAGTCCTCATCCTCTTAATGGGATGCAGGTCGGGTGGGCCTACGGGTCCGCCACTGAAGACATCCAGACCGGTCTCCGGATCCACGCCAAGGGCTGGCGGTCCGTCACACTGAACCCACAGCCTCCGGCATTCTTGGGGATCGCGCCGTCAGGTGGGCCCGCCACCCTTACCCAGATAAAACGCTGGGCCACCGGTGTCCTCGAGAACCTCGTGGGTCAACACAGCCCGTTGCTCGCGGCGGTCAATGGGAAGCTGGGCCGCCGCCAGTGCCTGGCCTACCTGCTGCTCAACCTCTGGGCCGCACGCTCCCTCCCCGAGCTCTGCTATGCCCTGTTGACTCCCTTCTCCGTCGTGGCGAACACCTCCTTCCTCCCCGCCGTAAGTAAGAGATTGAGATAGGAGCGTTGACCTTAAGGTGAAGAGTTGACCGGCGGCGGTTTTGTGCCATGTAGGGACTGGCGGGGGTGGTTCCAGCGGCCATCTTCGCCATTTACAACGTGTACACGGTGGCGGAGTACCTCGCAGTCGGAGAGTCACTGAGGTCGTGGTGGAACAACCAACGGATGAGGCGGATCACGGCGGCAACGGCATATCTCTTCGGGCTGCTGAGTGTGGTGGCAAAGCTCGTTGGCTTGTCAGAAGCCGCCTTCGAGATCACAAAGAAGGAGGTCAACGCACCGGCTGCGGCCGTCAACACGGGAGGGTTTACCTTCGACGCCTCCCCGCTGTTTGTCCCCGCCACCGCTGTCGCGCTTCTGAACTCAGCGGCACTGGCGGCGGGCACGTGGAGGATGCTCTGGGCCGCACCCGACGGAGGTGGGCCAGGATTGGGGGAGTTGGCGTGTGCCACGTGGGCTGTCCTCAGCTACTCCCCCTTCATTGTGGGTCTCTTCCGTAGGGCCCAATATGGGCTTCCTAGGCCCACGGTCGTGAAGGCTTCAGTTTTGAGCTTTCTCTTTGTGCTTTTAAGCAAATTGGCATCCTCCTAGACCCACATAGACATTGGGCCATTTTGTTAATGAATCTAAATGAAGTATATAGTTTTGAGTACCATTGTCTAGATGGATATTGGAGTCTAAGAATAGACTTATATAATTTACAAAAATAATTTGGCCTTGACAAATGACAACATCCCTCTTTTCTATGATAGTCCAAAGATAAGTATGTGTACACTTCTTCTACTTAGTTATCATTATTAACATCTAACTATATAAGATGTTAATAATTATGCATGGCTACAAGAGTGAATGTGAATTTAATGATTTGATTTGATATTTGATTTTATAAATATAGTGAGAATTAATCATATGATTTTCTGCTAGTTAAAAGACAAGTGACCAAGTGTTAATAGATTATATAATATTTAGATGATATAAAATTGCTTAATGATTGAATTAAATTTCATAATTAGATGAAATAGTCATAAAGAACTATGTTTGTGAAGGTGAGAGAGAAGTGTTCTAAAGTAAGTCTAATATAAGATAATAAATCTTATGAATAATAATTAGCTAATGTAGTAGGATATTAAAATGGAAGTCTTAAAGATAAGAAGGTGGTTTATGAAGGTGACTAAAATAATATGGAAGGAATGATACTAAAATGGAGGAGTTTATGTAAAGAAGAACCAACTATGGGTACTTTAAAGAATTTTTTACAATGGTTAAAATCACGAGATCCAAAAATAGATTCAATAGTATATTATCATTTCTAAATATAATGGAAAGAAATATATTTCTATGAAAAGTAGAGCTGTTTACTTTCAATGTCATAAAGTTTATATATTTTCACACTATGAGTGTTAGCTTACAACAACATAGGCTCTTACATGTGAATGAAATTTATATCATTTTGCTTAAAGAGCGGACACAAATGTTTATATCATTTTACTATATAGTTTTCTTATTCATAATGGAAGGTGGGGATCAATTGATAAGAAAATTGATAGTGAGAAAATAATATGTCCAACATTAGAGTGAAATACATTATTGGAAAAATAAAGTTCTAACAAAGTTCGATAAGTGTTGAAATTTATATTTCACAATAAATTATACTGAGTCCTATCAACAAATCAATATTGATGTGGTCTTCATCAGGAAAGCACAGGTAAAATGACTCATCAACAATGATTGTGAAAAAGTATGCATAACTACAATGAGTAATGATAAGAAAAAATCCCCACATGTCATAGAGTACTAAGTTAAATAATTTTTCAAAAAGATGATTATGGCAAACAAAAAGTAAGCTTCATTACTTTACCAAAAGACAAATGTAACATGTTTGTGTTTCATTACATGATAGAGTAACAATAAACTAATTATTGTCTAATATGTCTTAAAACCATGGGAGACACATCCAAACCTATTTGTGTTATGTGCAAATGAAGACATTATAAACAAAAGTAGGCAATCTTTAAACATTGAAAAGTGTTATGTAGCAAAATAACAAGGTTGCCGATACGATCACCCTTGTCTGTCACTGTCTTCCAATATGGATCTTAAATCTCTAGATGATCAAAAGAGAAGCAAAGGTTTTAACATGAGAATGAGATGTTAGTATACATAATGTCTTTGAGAATTATCAAACATATAATATGTCTATGAGAATAAGGCATGAATTAAATGTCACATCACTAGTTAAATTAACAACAATAGTGGTGCCATCACAATGTAAATCATAATGTATATATCACAATGAAATAAATCATTTACATCACAATGTATATATATATATATATATTGAGGCATGAAAATCAACTATTCAAACCTTTATGAAGGAAGAATTAGAATTCAAAGTAATTGAGAGATATGTACTTGTAGTATAATATGTTTTTGACATGTCTTATTATTAGCTTATGCTAGCAGATGAAGTCAGATGTGTCAACGTTATAATCACAAATTATTGATACTGATTTGGGATAAGATCCTTTGAAAATAATCAACTATACTTGCACATTATTCAGTTTGACTTATAACTCCAAACTAATAGGAAGCTTGATTAATAGACATTTATTAAAAAATATGCATTGACTTGTAGCCTACTCCTCAGCCTCTTGGCTCCAAGCGACCTCCCTTTTGACCCCCTTCTGTATCATGGTGAACACCTTCATCTCCCCACCATAAGTAAGTGAGAGAGAGAGATACTTTAGAGAGAATAAGTGGCGTTGACCGCCGCCACTGCCGCTGAAGCAGGGAAGTTTTCACCTTTGATATCTCCCCCCTGTTTCTATCGGCCGCCGCTGTCATGCTGCTGGCGGTGGCCATGTGGAGGGCTCTGTAGGCTGAGCCCAAAGTGGTGGGCTGGGATTGGGGGAGTTGGCATGGGCTATATGGGCCGACGTCAACTACTTCCCCTTCATCAGGGGGGCTCTTCGACAAGGCCTGATATTGGGTTCCCTGGCCCACTATCGTGAAGGCTTCTGTTTTGGGCTATCTTCGTCTTTTCTCTAAATGGGCCTCTTCCAAAGGGCATTGGGCCCGACATGATATTGGGCCGTTCTGCTGTACCTGCTGTCCAAAGTAATCTCACTTTCGGCCTAAGACCATTAAAAGGCCCACTTGGAGAAAAACTCATGTTGGCCCCATAATAGCCCAAATTAGTCATTGCCGACCTTGTGGGCCTTGGTGGGCTCCACGATGGGCCCATCTGTTGGGCCTTGTTTCAACCGTTGTTATCAATCGTGGTCCACCCTCGGACTGGGCGAGGGGGACCAACGGTCAATTGGAAGGCGGTCGGTCGACGGGAGCCTTCGCGCGTGCAAGAGATGCGAGGATCACATGCTCTCTCTCTCTAAGTTCGGTCGGTCAACGACCAAATTTACAATTCTGGGCCATAAGAAACTGAGAGTTTGCCTCCTACCCCCGAAAAATCTCGATTTGTTTCACAAGGGTCCTCAAGAATAAAAGATAGTTAAGATTTAATTATTTTTCCGATTAATCCAGCATAGTAGTTGGAATTAATTAATAATTAAAAAAATGCATACTACTAGGGACTAATATTCGTCTTTTATAATGATAAAAAAAGCATAAGGATATATATACAATTTACTAAGTTTGTAAGGTATGCAATCGGGGATAAGAGCCGGTTCTAGGACAAGTGGCAAGTGGGACCCACCCCCCACCCCGCGGTCTTCCTCTTCGTGTTGGGCCTGGTCTGTACCTTCTTTGCGTGGAGGAAAGGTGGAGGCTTTATTCCCCGGCCACATGGACGGAAGGGTGATCCTCCCCGGAAAAGGAGGCCGCCCACCTCTCTCCAGTCAAACTCCCACCCACCTCACATGATTCTTCCCCTGTGTCTAGAGAGAGAGAGAGAGAATGTGCCTGGCAACGACGCAAGAGAGAGGTAGAGGAACGATGGGAGGAGGTGCTTCTCTGTTGCGCCGCCATGGAGGTCAAGATAGAGACAGACAGAGGAGAAAATGCTCCCAACGAGAGAGGATAGGGCGACGAACATGGCGAAATATGATAGTTTTAGAGAGAGAGAGAGAGCTCTACCTTCTCCCTGGAAATACAGGAACAGAGAAGTTCGCAGAGATGGGAAACAGGGGTGGGGAGGACGTCAATTAATCTGGAATAGACGTGTCGTATTGAGGGGGGAGAACAAATCTGCCCTCTGCCCTCTGCCCTCTGCTAGCAGAGAAAGGATGCGGTGGGCACGGCGCCGGCGGAGGGATGAACCTGGAAGTCGTCGGAAATGGCGAGGGAGTCGCCGGCCGGCCAGGCCGCTCGCAGGAGCTTCAGCAGCAGTTGCGCCTTCCTCTTTGCTCGCTCCGAGCAGTCGCTCTGCACCATCAGCAGTAGCCGCGTGAGGACCCCTCCGGCCACCGCCTCCCGCTGCAGCGCCTCCGACGCCCCACACAGTGCCGCCAGCGTCCCCGCCGCGTGCTCCGCTGCCCGGTCGGAGACCTTCACGGCCAGCACCTTCACCAGCGCGGCCACCACCCCGCCGTGGGCCGCCAGCGCCTCGCGGGCCCGGTCCACCCGGCAAAGCAGCTCCACTGTGGCGAGCGCGCGCTCCATGTCACCGCGGTCCAGCTCGCCGGAGGCCACCCTGTCGACCAGGTACTTGGCGGCGCCGAGCGGCGCCGCTCGCTCCCTGTTCTGCTTTACCAGGCAGAGCGAGAAGAGAGCTCTGATGGCTGCCTTGATCGCCCTCTTGGTACTGCGACGGTCTCTGCCCAGCATCCGAACCAGGCCTTCCATCATCCCCCCGGCGCTGCCAATGGTGGCGCGCAGCTCCGGCGACTTCGTCCCGGCGGAGACGGCCTCCACCACGGCGGCAGCGTCGGCCCGAGTCTCCGCCGAGGGGTGGAACGAGAGCAGCGCCGACAGCCAAGACAACCGCTCGGCGCTGCCGGCCACGGAAGCGCTGTCCTGCTCCGAGAGCGGCAGCATCGCCACCACCGAGAGGGCCTCCACCGCCACGGCGGACCCGCCGGCGGGGCAGCTCGACGGCGGGGCTCCCCGGAAGGAGAGGGACAACAGGGAGGCCCGATTCTCCGGCGTGGAAATCACCGCGCGGTTGCCATCGGAGTCGCCGGCCAGGGAGCGGAGGCGGCGGAGGGCGGCGACCCGGGCGGGCTCGGCGGAGGACGGCGACTCCGCCTGCGAGAGGAGGCAGCGGACGGCGGCGGGCTCGGCGGGCTGCTTCGGGGTGGGGATCCGCTCCACGCCGAGGGAGCGGTGGGCGACGCACCAGTCTTGGATGAGGCGGCGGAGGGTGTGGTTGGGGATGAGGGAGAGCTCCGGCAAGGGGGAGCGAGTGACGGGGCAGGTGGAGTTGCCGGCGGCGATCCAGGACTCGATGCTCATCCGGTCGTAGGTCTGTCCGGTGGCGACGGTGACGGGGTCCCTCATCAGCTCCAGCGAGATGGGGCACCGGAAGTGCCACGGCACCTGCACCGCCGCCATGTCCAGCGGCGCCACCCTCTCCGGCATCTCTATCGAGCTCTGATGGCCTCGCCGGAAGGGGAGTGGGGGGGGGGGTGGGGGCGGTTATGGGGTGGCTGCACGTGTGGGCGGCGGCGGTGGCACCTGGGAGAATCGTCGTGGAGGCGGATTGGTGGTGGTCGGACAGCTAGCGGCTGGGCGGCGCTGCCTTGGAGACCGCGCTAATCTGGCAGACCACCGTTGAATGCCGGATACCCCGGGAGTATTTACTTTCTCTGGCCAGAGACTGGCCCCTCTCTTCAAAGCCACCCCCACCCCCGTCCTCTCCTATTTTAAAAAATAAAAAAATAAAAATTCTAGAAACCCCCTCTCTTCGCGAGAAGAACCGCGATCGGGACCGTCCACCCGCCATCGGATGGACTTCTTTCTCTCTCTCTCTCTAAAGGTGGAGGAAACGACATAGGAGGGTGACCGACATCTGCCTTTCGCATCCGGTTAGGCGAAGGGGGAATCTCTGGTGGTGGGCACGCGCTGTCTGCGAGGTTGGGCCATCGTAAAACTCCGCCTGTCCCCGGTCAACCGGACAGGCCAGCGGATCGGCGACGGGTATCCCCGTCGGTCGGGGGATTCTGCCGTCCTCGCCCTGCCCACGTGTCGATCAGCCGCACGTGGATGACGGGGACGGCGCAGCGTCAATATCAATCTGCCAATCAGAGTTGATCATCATACGAGGATCCCGGGCCCACCCGGTCAACGAAACCCCCTCCCCCCAACATAAAGATTAATTTTTTATTAACATGATAGCCACAACCCTCTCTCTCTCTCTTTCTCTCTCTATCTCTAGATGGAGACGCAGAGATCGTTCAGCTGGACCCAGCCGAAGGCGCAGCGGTCCCGGATCTTCTGGACGGTAGAGAGGGCCGAGGCGCTGAGAAGGCGGGCCTGGGCGAGCTCCTTCTCGACCTGGGCCCCACCGCGGTGACCCAGCTGCGACCCGAACACAACGAAGAGGGTGAGCGAGGGCCATCCATCACATCCCATCGAATGAACAAAGAGAATCCAACAGCTGCAAAGAGAGAGAGAGAGAGAGAGAGAGAGAGAGAGAGATGGAGAGAGAGAGGGGTCAACCTTTTCGAGGCATCTTGCGGCGTCCAGAACGTAGCAAAAGTAACTCAGCTGCCTGTACAAGTCCGCCTCCGTGTACTGAAACGACCAAGATTTCAGTCTTCCGACAGTCAAATAATGTAGAGAGAGAGAGATGACGAGAGAGATAATGGGCGGGGGAGAGTTGGAACCTGTCTGACGAGACGGCCGTTGCAGCGAGGGTAGTTGGGGCAGATGGTTCCCCTCTCCGAGTCCCCAAGCACTCGGAGGTTCAGGCCGCGCGTCGTGTACTTGCACATCTCATCGTCACACTGCCAGCACCATCAACGAGTGATCGGAGAAGATGGCCATGAAAGAAGAAGAAGACGAAGAAGAAGAATACCGTCATTGAGGCCCTGTAGTAGGTGGACTGAAACCTCTCCACCTGCCGCTTAACCTACAGAGAAGAGAGAGGGGCAATCCTCAGCTAGGCCATCCACAGACTAGGGACTAGGCGCCGCCGTCGTCGTTACCTGGTTAGCCAGCGTAGCAGGGGACAGCCTGCTGGGATCGCTGCCCTCGGGACACCGCGTGCAGGCCATCCTCCGCCAGAAATTCTGCTCCTCCGGCGGCTCGCCGGAAAGCAGGCTGGAAACGGGGGGGCACTCGAACGAGCAGGAGCAGGCAGGGCACGACAGCTGCAACGACTCACAGCCGTGGTACCTGTGAACGAAACAGGAGCAAGGGCGGCGTTTTAGAGAGAGAGTGGGCGGCGCCGCCGCTCCAGTCGAGGGCCGGAAACCTGGTTACCTCTCCTCGTCGTCCATAGCGGAGAGGAGCGCAGTCGATGGGTCCCCGCTGGAGGATTCGGCCGTCCTCTGCTGGAACTGTAGAGAGAGAGAGAGTGGGGAAGATGTGACGTCAGAGGAGCAGCAACAGAGTGACGTCAGGAGTAAGAACCTCAGGGACCCACCTTCGCAGAATCGAGACCAAGGCAGTCCGCCAGGCGAGCAGGGCTGGTGCCCTGGATGGAAGCGCAGAGCCTTGAAACCACCGGATGAATCTGCGGGAACAACCCAGAGGTTTAGGAGGAGAGAGAAGCGGACGGGCCGCCGAAGAAAACAAGCTATAAAGGACCTGCTGGGAGAGGTAGTAGTCGATGTCAACCATCCACCCGCCGCTGTCCCTCTTCAGCTCGTCGGGGTGCCTGGCCCTCCCGGCCACCCCCGCCGACGAGCCAGAACCCGCATTCTGGTGAAAGGATCAAGAGTCGTCACCGAGTCTGCACAACCCACATAGGCCCTCGGTTGCTTTCTCGCGGGGCTCTCAAGTCTCACTTACCTCCTGGCAGCAGATGATGTAAGGGATCGTATCGCCGGCGGAGCAGCCCGTCGCGTAGCCGTTCTGCTTCAGTCTCAGCGCCACCTGTCAAGTGCCCAAGCTCCGGTAAGATGAGGCGACCCACACCAGCAGATAGTCATAAAAAGAGATCCCACCTGCACATGAGGTTGATTTCTGGCGTCTGGGTACTCTTCAGGGGGCTTCGTTAGGGTTTTAGTAATGATGTATTTCTCAAGCATCACCTCCCCGTTCCGAATTTCCTCCTGGACCTGTTGCAGGGACGAAGTGTGCCTTTACATCGCCGAATCGCTGAGAGATATTTCTAGGGTTTCTGACAGTTACCTTCATGAGAGAGCTGTGAATCGCCTCCACCACATCTTCGCAGGACCTGCGCCGGGCCACACATTGATTGAGCTATGTATAGTTCGCAGAGATCTTAAAGGGTGTTTGAGTGAATGTGGGGGGAAAGAGAAATACCCTCCGGATAGTATCTGGGTGAGGCAGAAGTCGCCCATTTCCTTCGACAGGAGACTCCAATCGCGCCGCACCATGTCGAGTCCCTTGCGTTCGATGACCTGGTTCATGAATGGCTGGGGATGTCAGCGATGTCGATCTCAGGCGCGAGAGCCGGAGGGTCGGCAGAGACTGCGAGGAAGAACCTCGTAAGGCGTCCCGTCCTTGAACAGGACCTTCACCGCAGCGTACTTCTTCTTCTTCAGAAGCAGCATTCTCTTGTACAAACCGTCGAGATCAATCTCCAGGCAGCGGTATTTCTTGTTGACCTGAGAGAAGAGGTAGTGAGAGAGGTGCGAGAATCTTCCAAGCTAGACGACCAGCATGCGGTCTGGGCGGACCGGGATATCTCGAGCAAGCTTACCTCTTGGATGACCTTTCCAGCCATGGCTTTGGCTTTGGCTATGTCGTCGAGGCCGCTGTACACCATAATTGAGTCGGTATCACCGTAGATCACCTGTCAGCGAACAACCACATTCGTGGAAAATAAAGAAATTAAATGGGCAGCTTGCGACAGAAATAAACGTCGGGTGTTGATGAACAGATGAGCGCAGGAGAAATCATAAGAAATGAAAGCAAATAAATAAATAAATTATCTCCATCAACACCAAATGGGCAGAGTCTTATGATTGCATTAGCAGATATTTTATTTCCGTATGAATTTGTTAAGCAGGAAAAATACCCTTGAACTCTTATTATTATTTTTATAAAAAGATGAAAAGAAAGGGTATTGAATAATACTCCCAACTATCCGGTAGCTTAAGTTTAGAATCATGGAGGTCTCATAAATAGAGGAATATATGACCCTCCACCTAAGTGGCATAGACGGATGTATTTTCGTTTCAAAATAGAAGAGGAGTGAAGCCCGCGATACAGAGGGCTGTCATGTGATTTTTCCGAATAAAAAAAAAAACTTCAGCATAACAACGCATCTCAAAGAGGGAAATACCTCCAAATTTAGGTTATTCTGAACAAGATCGACAGTACTTTGCAGGATTTCCCTTCCCTGTAGAGGAGATGGATTAGTTGTTACACCAAAGGATATTTTAATTTAATGAATTCAAGTTTAGATCCAGGAAATTCTTACTTGTAGTGTTATAAGCTCTGCAAGAGGCTTTGCATAAAATCTTGAATGAGAAAAACCTAAGCAACCATACATGCTGATGATGGGGAAAAAAAAAAAAAACTGACATCAGAATAACTGCATGTCCTGAGATTTAACGGGTTAAGATCGAAGGATTTCAACCTGTTTGCAGTCAGCTTTAACGCTTGCTGTTGAATGTCAAGCTGCTGAACCTTGAGACCAGAAGCATTCTTGAGCCAGGATTTAACCATTCTCCTCCTCTCAACCAAATTCCTCAGTAACTAAGAAGTAAAAGTGGAAGAAAACTAAGTATTATGAAAAAGAAAAAAGTAAGGTGCTGAACTATAATAAGCAATGCACAGCAAAAGGATCGCTGTATTCCAGAAAATTTATTAGAATACATAGCGGCCATCCTTCAGGACCAAGAAATTATTTGATCAGCATGCCATCTCAAAGTTTGAAGTGAGAAACAGTGCATTCTAGAAGAATATACTAGCATAGAACCTGTGCTGTGAGAAAACTAGGGAGCTAAATATACGACAAAAAGAAGGAACAGCAACATGAGATTAGGAAGAGTTCGTCATAATTCATGGTAAGAATCAGGTAGACACCTCAGGTAGAACTCCTCTCGCCTTGGAAGAAGGTAGATTAGGAACGAGTCCATCAGGAGATCTTTCGACGGTTGTGAAACATATGTTATATTCCTGCAGAAGTACTTAAACACGGTGTGAGTGGGAAACGTGATAACTGCACCATTTCTGCATGGTGCAACGGAATAAGCAAGAAATTATTTATGAGAATTAACTTTCACATAAGATAGAAAGTATTTGTAAACAATGATACCTGAATTATTGAAGGATAGAGACTGTTGAAATCCAAAAGTAATATGTACTTGTCATATAATCCTCTTTTAGGTTCAAGAACCAAACCCCCAGCATATGCAGGACCCTTTTTGCCTCTTCCTTGATCAGAAGGGTGGACATCATTCTCGAGAGACCCATCATTTAGACCAGCATCTTCACTGCCAACGCCTTCACTTATTTTCCTCTTTGACGCACTCACCTCTCGGCCCCGTGCACTATTCTTATCTGGGACAATGTATTTTTTGGCATGAAAGGCATGGAGTAAGAGATATTCGACTCGTTGAGCTCTAGCACCCTGCAAATAAAAAGAAGGTGATATGAATTTTCAGACAACAGTTAGGAATTGGAAAGGAAATAATATGGTCAAGGAATTTTCTAAAATAAGTCGGCAGAAGAAAGAGCAAATGTATAACTTACTTGCATAGTCTTTCCCCAGACATTTCCACTTATATTTGTTAACTGCCGTGTGAGTGGCAGAATGCTTAAATGAAACATAAGTTCAAGAGATAGCCAGGCATCAGTTTCTCCACATTCAACCTAGGTATAAGCGTTAAAATCACCATTCAGCTCCAACAATGGACAATGTTCCACATGAAATTGCCTGATAACAATAAAAGAGGCATCTAATATCCAGAATAAGCACTTACAAGTTCCATGAGTGATGCTGTTGTTTGGAACATAGATGGAATATCTTGTGCAGAAATTTCTCTCCTCTCTTTATTCAGCTGAGTCTTGGCGAGTTGCGTCAATGAATAGCTTACCTATTAATGGGCATTAAGAAAGTTCAAGAGGTCTGAGATAAGTAAACTAATAAAAATCTCAGGGATACATTACTATACCTCCCTCAGAAGATCACGCGAGCACATGTATGTATCACATAATAACCGGCCCGCTATGCAAGACATGATACCAAGACTGGCCCCAGAGCCGAAGATGGTGCTTCCTTTTGTGAGCTTAGGCATCACAGATCGCTTGAGACGACCGATTTTTGACCACATGCCACTTGGTACCTTGCAGACCTGAATGGTAAAGCAGCTAACATTATTCAAGAAGCCAATGTAAACAACTGGGTTCAATCCGTCTTTTCAGATGTAGACCAAAAATCATCCACCTTAGCCGATGGGGAGCCATCAGATTCCTAAAGTAAACATTTTTTTGCAGGCTCCAAACAAGAATCCTACCAAAAATCTACCAAATCATGTGCGCGTCCTCATCACCACATATTCATTATCAATGGTCACGTGATGGCGTAGTAAGCAACAATGATGGCCAAAGGTTCCAGCTAATTCATATTCTTAAACAACAGATCCATGGCATATCCTCTCGCTTCACTGATAAAATCGGCAGTTCTAATTTGTGACCAGACTACAAACTTTAAACATGGTTTCAAATCACAGTTGCGCATGAAGCTCAGCAATTTATCAAACCTGGGCTCTATGTAGAAGGACATCCAGATCGAATCCAGAGATATTATGCCCAACGAGAATGTCGCTATCCAATTTGTGCAGCTCAATCATTAAACGATTGAGCAATGCCCTTTCACTGCCAGGAAGTCCAGTAAACTTGGATTAATAGACTTAAACATAAAATCTAACACTTACTAAAAACGAAGCAAAAGGAAACTCTAGTGAGACTGCAGCAAATAAAAGATACCTGCTTTCAAATGCTAGAATGTTTGAACCAGCCTTGGTATTTCTATCAGCCACTTCTTTAGAGAAACCCATTGGAAATATTCCGCCTTCGAGTTTTCGAACAACAGTAACATGGGTAAGTATTCCTGGTCTCTTCCACTCTGACGCTATCATAGGGCCATCTATCTGAGGAGTTCAGGTTCGAAAAAGTTCAGAAAGAGAGGACATAATTGATCGAAACAAAAAAACAAATAATTTTTATATTTGTACATATCGACTTGGGACGGACATATTCTATTAAGTACAGGAGCGGGTAAGGGTCTGTATGTAGTTTATCAAAACGAAATAATCTACTCGTCACAGCACATACAATCAGTTACGAGTGGATATTAAAAAAGAAGAAGAATATTTTGATATAAAGGAAATAACTCTGGAAAGTTCCAGGACAAACATACCTTTGCCTTGTGGCAGCAAATTACAGATGCAGAGATTATTTCATTTGCATTATGCTTTTCACTACTAATTGTTTTCAAATTTATTGCTGTAACAATAACAGGAGGTATCTCCTGGTGGGTCTTTGAAGTAGAATTGCATACATCCTTTGGTGATTCAACGGTGACTTCAAATTTGCACCAGCTCACCTGTTTATCATTACTCTTATCAAACAATGAAGAAATGCAAAAGCTCCCACCCCAAGAAAATAAACGTGATCAATGCCACCTGACAAAGACTTGGAAATAACTAACTATACAGTAGAGGCAAACAAAATCCCGCTAAATTTTTGCATGTCACTGGATTGTAGAAAGAAGAAAGGGAATTTCTGGGAAACTACACCCGCTGATGTACTGGACAGCTCGAAAATTTTGAAATTGATAACCAGGAAGGTCCCTTTATTTTTCTCTTCACCAAAAATAGCTCCAGAGCACTGCAAAATAATAACTAGATTTAAGTTATGATAAATAACAATAACATAGAGCCAAAACTGGGACACAAAACGAAAACCTTGCAATATGTCAAATGATTGCAGTAGGACGACATTTTAAAGTAGGGAATTAATTTCAAATGGCAAAGCAAAGAAAATTCTTCGATTGACACATTCGACAATTCTAAAAATCATCTAAATAGGAACTTGACAGTCAGTGACTAGAGGACAGTAAAGGTTTGTTTGAGCAGACTAGGATACCATATAATTTTCCAGCTAATATCTATCATATATCAGGATCCAATCAAGTGCTAGACCCTCAATTCACCTTTAGCCTCTAAAGTTGAAACAAGTGTCAGACTTCGCCCATGTTATTCTACTGTTATTCTTTAATTATAGTTCCATAAAAAATAAAGCAACCACCTAATGACTCTGTATATGAGATGTGGAATTGATGAGCAAAACCCCTGCAAGTCATCTCCAGCCGTCGTGTTGACGCTGGCATCAACTGATATGCTTCAAATATCGATGGTTCCCTCCTACAACAATATACATAAACCTATGACCAATGGGTCACAGGGGACCGATTGACGACCATTGATGAAGAAATGAAAGATGTGAAAATCCACAAGATAATTGTGAGTACTTGAATAGTAGATTGGGAAGTAAGAAACAACCAATACTGAATTCAGACTCAGTTCAGAGTCTCTCCGTATTTGTGGAGAAGAGGAAGAAATCCAGGAATAAATCAACCCAATAATTCATAAGTCACCAAGAAAAAGTGGAGCCAGACCTTCGAGAAGAAGTATGCTAAAATGAAAAACCAAGTGTGGATCATAGAAAGAATAATTTACGATTATTTTCTGGCCTACAAGTCACTGATTAAAACTGTGTTGGCACAATGTAAAGTGTTTTTGCGACTAAGAAAAATCCATTCAAAAGCGAATCGAACAATAGAGAATGAATTGACAAACTTGGCACCAGCGTCTACAAAAAATGATACTGAATATGCCTCAATAAACGGACAAAGCAGCAGTAAAAGCGTTCTATTTATAAGGAAAAGTAACATTTTCCTTTTTTTCCATAAAGAAAACATCCCGTGAGTAATGGCGGTAACCCAGATTTGTTCCTAATGTGGATGTTCGTCGAGTGCTAAGACTGACTGATATACCGTTTGATGGAATCAACAAAATCGTCTATTCACCGAAAACCAGAGAGACAAGTTAGATAAACCTAAGAGATGACAAACATGAACAATCGTGTATGGTCTTTTCGCATGTGAGGCATATAACAGATCACGCAATCAATAACAAAGTACATAGCATGCCTTACATGAAAACGATACAAGAAAAAACAATTCTTACTTGTAACTTGTTCCAACTAAAGTAGAAAATTGTTCTCCTTTCAGATCTAATGGAAGCGGTGGATCCTGTATTGATGAAACGCAGCCAGAGTAAGTGATCTAAAACAAAAAAATTACGAACCTATGGAAGTCACAAACAAAATACTCCGCCCCAGTGGTGATGAGGTGTTCTATGGAAGTAGAACTTTAAATTTTATTAAATTCTCATTAGCAATATGAAAGAAAATAAAGTGTTCTAGCATCGCATAAACTTTAAACGGTAACCCAGATTTGTTCCTAATTTCTTGGCCAGTAAAATTTTTCCATTTATTGTCAGAGTGGACATAACCTTCATAATTTAGAGAATGCCCACTTAAAACCATTTTCAAAAAAAAAATTAATGGTCTGTAGTGAAGCAATCATGCCCGTCCAAGTCGAAGCCGTGACTTTCACATCCAGATATCTTGGGGGATTAAATAATTCTGTTGTTGACAACTCATTTCAAAGTAAATGAACGGCATACGTCGCAAAAAATAATGAAAAAAAGGAAGACAGCTGGTGATTGAACTAGTTGCAACATTTATATCCCCAATAAAGAGTTAGGATCTCCCAAACCCTTTTGTGGGTGAGGAACCCCAGGGTTCCTGACAAGTACAACAATAAAGAAACTAAACCGGAGTAAACTTGATATGAAGTACAAAGAACAAGCCGATGAGGTTCTCCGATTTATAAGATCAACACTAAGCATAGCAATGACTTGAAGAAATAACAGCATACATGTCTGGTTTGCCATTTATTTTTTTTAGTACTGACAACATCTACTCACAAGATACTCCCATTATGTGAGAACATTTGGCTTGTGACTATTGTGAGTAAAAGGTTAGAACCAGTGGCAAAAAGAAAAACTCGACTTATTAAGATGAAATAAACAGGAACTAAACATCTAAAAAGAATGGTCTTGCAAGCTATTAATCAAACTGTAATACCTTAAATGGATAAGTGATCTTAAGAACGTATTGCTCTCCAGCATGGATGTCAAATCGTTCAAAGGCATAACCCCTCTGTAAAATGTCCAGTATAATAAATATATTCATAAATAAAAGAACACTTGATGATAACCGAAATAACAAGTCACATGGCTTGGATAAGAACCAAGCAGTAACTAAACCAAACTGACCTTAACTGGAGTCATACTGAACGACGATACATTATACTCAACCAATTTGCTCGAAAGTTCATTCTTTAAATTTGCAGCCATGTCCTAAAGAGCAAGAATGACATATCTTAAGCATAATCTGAAATCAATGAGCATCTTGGCAGAAGAAATAGAGTGATTATAATTACAAAAGAGTATAACCCCTGAACTTCAAGAAAGTGAGAAAATTTACTTGCAGTTTCACCCGAAAATCGACAGCTGAAAGTTTTGAGCTAGCAACTTTTTCCTCCAGATCTAGTATAACACTGCGTTGAAACACAGAGCTGTTTGGGATTGCATATACACATCTCTGTGCATTTTTTACAACTACACAACAGCTGTGATATGAATTCCCCGCTTTCACCTGAGAAAGAAAAATGCGTCGCCATGTAGAGTATTTACCATCCGGACTTGCAATAACAAAGGAAACACAAAACATGCAGAGATACAGCACTGGACGTTTTGACAACAGTGCTGCAGAAACTCATGATACGAAGACAGTGTAAAATATAAACCAATAAGAGAAAATATAAAAGTGAAGGCACTCCAATTATTGGCCGTCATATTTCAGAGTTATTGACGTTGTAATATCAAGAAAGGCTAAACAAAAAACAGTCCGAGTACCTTTCCAAAAAGATAAATTGTCCCCGCATTAGCGCCAAATGACTCCTCGTGTGCATCAATCAAGTAGAAATTAAGTGACCCATCTGAATCTAGCTCAAATTCAGACTTCTCCTCGACCTCTGTACCCTCAACAGCACCTGTTCTGCAGTCAACACTTCCATTATCTCCTTCACAAACTGCCTTCCACCCGGCAGTGGCACTTGGTGTATTACCATCTTTTTCCACCTGTATCTTTGCATTAAAAGCAAAGACTTTCTCACTCTTCACTTCAGGCTCCAATTTAACTTCAAGAATATTGGCCTTCCCCACGTTTGCATGCCCATTGCTTAATGGTTCAGACTCACACAGCATGATCTTCTCCTGTTTCGCTTCCCTTGGCTCGTCCTTCACATCGCGTAAATCGTCATTTTCTGGAAAATTCTTCGAAGTTGCCACAGTTGACGGCGTGGTTAGCTGTTGCATTGCTGATGGATTGTTCGCAGGAAAACACATTCGTGTATCGTTACTCATCGAGACCGGAGGAACCATGAAGCTCCGAGCTCCAGGTACGACAGCCGTAGGGCCCACCCGGCGCGACCTCCTCTCCTCACGGTCAGCCTCATCGGGGGCGCACTCTGCAATGAGATCATCCACAATGCTCTCAGACGACATACAAGGCCCCTTGCCCCTGTCATTTTTTCTAAAGGCGGATGAAGTGAACATCGCTGAGAGCTTCTGCTTTCCCATCAACGCTGCGGCAGCCGTCAAGGATGTGGGAGCAGGCCTCCTGGCTGCTGGATCCTTCTTCACCACCTTCTTCTTCCTGGACCTGTCGACCGCCCCATCGGATTCACCATCTTCATCGGACGAAGGTGGGAGGCCGACGTCAGCCCAGTCCACTTCCTGGCCCTCGTCGTTGTACCCCATCCCGTCGTCGTCCACTATGAATCCTTTGGCGGCTTCCCTGCGCTCGGCCACTATGCGCGCATAATCCTCCTCAGCAACAGTGTCGTAGATGGGCTCCTCGATCTTGATCTGGAAGCCAATGCCGGCACCTGATTCCGACCGGCGACCGCCCGCTCGTCGGAGCGTCTTCAGGCGCTCGAGGGCTTCCACACGGGCAGCGGCATCGGCAGATCTGCCGGACCTTCGACGATTGGAGACTGTCGAGTCCGCCATTCCTCCTCCTCCGCCGCCGCGGCCGCCGCCGCTCTCTCACTCTTCTCTGCTTCCCGACGGGGAATCCCTCTCCTCCTTCCCCTCCCTCTCTCTCTCTTCCCCCCGCCGCCTCCCGCTCCTTTGTCCCTCCCCCTTTGGGAGGAAGCCTGTTTTGGCGGGAAAATAGCTGAGAGGCGCCAACTCGGGTCGAGTTATTATATTCCCGACTCGGGCCGAGTCCGGGCCGTTCTCGACGATTCGACCCGACTCGAGTATTTGGCTCTGCCAAATCCATTCCCATGGGCTTGGAACCTTCACCCCCCTATAAATTCCTTATCTCTGGGCCGGCTATCTCAGTCCTACGAAATCTCCTTGACTCCGTCTCTCTTCGGCTGATCTCTCTGAGCGTCTATGGCCATGGCACGGCCGTGTTCTTCCCGATCTATGGCGTTCGATGTAAGGCACCGATCTCAGATTAACTCTCTGAATGTGTTCCCGTCTTTTTTTCTTGTTTCTATTCTGATTATTTCTAAGATGAACCACCGTGAGATCTGCAAGTACCTCTTCCATGGAGTGCTTAGGGTTAGAGAAGGGTGTTTTCCTCCGGCGCCATCTCTCCCTCTGCTGCTGTGACTTTCCACATACTCTCTCTGCTGCCGAACTTGCAGGTGATCAAGATGATGCAGAGCTTCTAGTCGATGGTACTTTGAAGATATCTTCGGGTGGATTCACGGCTGTCGGCATCTCACAAATGACACGATCGGAGACCTCCATACCTTTCCCGAGACTACCGTCGCAGGTCATTCCTCCCCCAATTATGAGCCGTAATCGGCCTGCTTTACTCCGATCTTAGATCTCGTGTCTTCTTCTGTTATGGATCTACTGACGATACCCCCCGTTTTGAAAGATTTTGCGGTGGATTTTTAGAAAGGACGTAAATGAGTCAAGTTATATGAAATTATGCAGACTTCGGGATGTAGATCGGTCTTTGGCCCATGGATCGTCATTGTCACACCCCTCGCTCGGTGGAACAAGGTTCTTCCGACTGAACCTCGGTTGCATGCTTGAGGGCGTGACGACGTGAGTGTGTCGGTGTGCTAGCGCGGCACGACACGCACAGGGCCGCAAATGCATGAGCGAGAGAGCGTGCAGTAGCGTGATGTCATATCAGGCCGGATTTTCTGGCGCAGAAGCCCATAGCCGATCGCCACTGCGGACCTCGGGTTCGATTACGTCAGCCACTGGGTCCCACAAATATGTTTGTGGGCTCCACCGTTTCCCCGAGTCCTGCGGGGCGGTCTCCTGAGGGGCAATTAAAATTATAAATAAATATATTATATTTTTTCAACTGTAGGCAAATAATAAAAAGTTACTATGCAAAGTATGACATTATTGCAACCGACAAATTCTATTTAAACAGAAGGCGACTCGAGTCTCGGCTCCTCGTAACGGGCCCCCGGGGGTTGGGGCGGCAATGCAGCTCGGGCTTATCTGCATGAAAACGAGGGAAAACGGCGAGCGACACGTGGCCCCCTAATAACTACAGCAGCATTATCTCTCTCTCTCTCTCTATCTCTCTCTCTCGCTCTAGGGATGTCATTCCCGGGGCTCGGGGGTTTTACTGAATCATCCGCATAAGGGTGCCGCCGCTCATTTCTCCGGTGTTTCTTTTCCCGGTAAAGCTAAGCCGGCGCGCACGCGGCTTTCTGAAAGGTGCATGCAGTCGGGAGAGAAAGAGATAGAGAGAGAGAGAGAGGGAGTCCTCGCCTTCTTCGTCCAGGTCAGTCGGCGTGATCTCGCTCTAGCCGTCGGGAGACAGATTGTACTTGTGGCAGGCAATGGATATTTAAAGTTGAGATAAATATTTAAAAAAGTACCCACCCTTCACCACGCAGGAGTAAGAAACTCTCTCTCTCTCTCTCTCTCTCTCTCTCTCTCTCTCTTTCTCTACTGGCCACTACGAGTGATAGAAGCTGAAAGATACACTGAGTTCAAAAAATTCACACCGACAGAGCGAGGTAAGAAACAGACCCGACTTCTGTTCTTCTCTCTCCTCTCTCTCTCTCTCTCTCTCTTCTGCAACTGGTCCTGTAGCTCGGGAAGAGCCACGGCGCTCTAGAGTCAGATGAAGCGAACATTCGAAGCTGGAGGGGAAGAAGACGAGAAAAATGAGGGAGAAGGTTGGGCAGGTGTGCGCGTGACCAGAAGAGGAGCCCATTCGCTGGATCGCCCTCCTTTGGACGGATTGGTCGAGCGAGGGTATAAAAACAAAGCTTCCTCAGCGTCGGCCATGGCCGCCGGCGCACGGAAGGGGGACAGGTAGAACGTTGGAATTCAAGTGTGGGACAGCCATTAATGATTCTCAGACGAAAGAGAGGAAGAGAGGGAGATCTCGTGAGGGAAGATTGTATCTTTCTCTCACTAGAAACCCCCGTAGATGACCACGAAGCAGGGCAAGATGGCCCTAGGGTTGAAGACGTAGAGCTCGTCCATGGTGGAGTAAGCTCCGGCGGCGCCGGCGATGGAGTCGTTCTCCTCCGCGGAGGCTTCCTGGTTCTTCTTCACTCTCCCGGCAATCACCCGGCATACCAGCATCGCCCTCGCGCCGCCGTCCGCCGCCTCCCCCGCCGGCGCATGGGCGGCGTCGTGCGCCCTCCCGCTGGTGGCCATGGTCGCGATCCCTTCTTCCCCGACGGCCCTGAAACCGTCTCTGATGATGCTGCAGACGCCGCAGGGGGGCACCGCCTGGCAGAGGCCGGCTCGGCCGCCGGCCCCCAGGGTGCAGACCAAGGAAGTGCAGTGGAACCTCAGGAGCTCGTTCCCGTCGGCGGCGCACCGGGGATGCTTCTTGGGGAGCTTCCCGGCCCTGGTCTTCACTGAATCTCTGTACTCCTCGAACCTGGAGATCGTCTTCTTCGTGTTGTTGACCTTGAGGATCCTCTCGATCTTGCAGACGGGGGTCTCCTTCTTCATCCAGCTCGACTGGAAGATGATCTCCACGATGTTCCTGCTGGTGTCGTCTGGGCCAAGCTCCATCACTGCGAGGGAAAGCATGCGGAGAGATCAGGAGGACGAATTCCTCAGAGCTTCGGAACCATGGCGGAAGAATTGCAGAAGAAAGCCCACCTGCGTGCCTCGCGGCCTGGTGGAGCTCCAGGCTCTCGGGCTTCAAGAACATCTCGCCGCAGTCCGGGCATGGCGAGATGGTTCTCAGAGAAGAGTCCCTCACTGCGCCATTGACGGGGTCGCCCGCCGTGTGGCACTCGTAGCAGCCGGAGAGCCTCCTCAGGTGGAGGACACGGAAGGACCCCCCGGCGGAGGAGGAGGAAGAAGACGGACCAGTCGTCAGAGAGGAAGAGGAGAGAGAAGAGTGTGAGGAAGATACAGCTCCGCTGGCGCCGGCACCGGCGCCGCCGCCGGTGAAGCATTTCTTCCTTGCCGGTGGGGAGGGCGTGGCAGGCCGGTGCATCACCCTCGAGGCGTCCTTGATCTTTCTCAGCGAGCCGGAGCAGCCGATTCTCCTGTTCCTCGCTCTCCCCGCCTCCGCATGGCGGCGCTTGCAGGTGAGGATGCCCCAGACAGCCCCCCACGACGGCGGTGGCGGCGGCGGCGGCGGCGGCGGCTTCACGGGCTTCTTCCTGTGGTCCTCCCTCCTGTGCGCCTTCCTGGAGCTCCTTCTTTCCGCCATTAGAGAGGACTCGGAAGCTCGTAAAGCGTTCACTCCGAGGTGGGGAAGACGAGGGGAAAGGCTGCGGAAGTGGTGCCTTTTATTCTTCGTGATCCCCTTCCGCCGGAGGAACGAGAATCCCACCCAGAGGTCCCCCTCCTCGCAGACGACTGGTCTAGCTCCTTTATATCCTTTTACCCCGTAATTAGGGCAGACGACTGGTGGAAGAACCAGACGCAGTGATTCACGTAATCACCCCGCGATGAAAGAAGGTGCCTTTAATGGCGGCAACACGGCCCCTTCAATGATGGGCAAAACATAGCCGTTCTCGGAAATTTGAAATGGCAATTTTTAGATCTACCCCCGTAATATTACCTATGTACCCTTGTAGTTACACGTTTTGTCAGTTTCACCCTTTCGCCCGCAATAATTCCGAGTACGAACGGCCCCACCGGCGCAAGAGGGCGGAGCGCTCCTCCGTACGCCCGGGCGGTGAAACCGAAGTGTGGTCACTTGCGGTAGGATTAGTTTATTTCACCGCAGGGGAGATTCTCTCCAGAGCGGCCATGAGGAAGGGGGGAGGGGTAGCTGGGAGGTCACTCCTCTACTCGCTGTCTCGGCGGCGATCTCCACACGGGAGATGAATTGTCATAACCATCCCAGCACGTGGAGGGAGCGTGCGGGAGCAGCGAGCGCATCTAGCACCAGCACGTGGCGGCTTGTAGGCCCCACGGCCGGCGAACAGATTGACCGCGGTGCGGCGGCCTCACTAACCGTTTGTTTCTTTTAAAAAAAATAAATATCACGAGTCATGTTTTTCATAAATTAAAATATTTCCCCGTTTTTTTCCTTTTAACGTTAATTAAAACTAAAATATTTAATTAATTTCGTGATAATTTAACATATTACATAAACCAATTATTCTTTCTAGAAATCAAATATTTTATTTTCCCACCGCAACGGGCCAGTGCAGGATGCCACGTGTTAGCATAGTCCCGCACTGCTTTATTTATAAAATAAATAAATAATGTCACTTATTCGCTCATAGTCAACTAGCTAATTGCTAGATACCCAATTATTTCTCACAATTTAGTACGGTCCCCGAGCCTACGTTGGGTATTTTATAAGCTCATTTAAATTGGTCTATGTAATAGGGCCCGATCTGCATCTCAATTTTTTGGGCCTTTCCCATAAATTTTGGGCCTCGTAAAGGAAGTCTGGCTTGGCCCAAGTTATAATTTAAACGGAATTTCCATAAGTTTCGGCCCGATAAACATACAAACGGGCTCAGCCCGAAGTTATTGGGCCTTTTAAGAAGAACCTAGGCCTTAGGAAAAGATAGCAAATAAATAAATAAATAATTTCACTAATTAGTTAAATATTTATTTAATTTATGCTCTAATCTCGATCCAGCTCATTCCGGGTACCTTCTTTGATCCTCTCCTTCTGAGACCGCCTTTGACTAGGGCCGAATCCTCCCACCTGCCAAATCTAGCAAAGCTATTGGATAACGTCACGTGCGCCGACGTGTCAACGGGAAGGAGGTGGGCCCCGACAAGACCCTGAATATCCTCCGCCCCGTTGACCGCACCTAGCAGAGAGTTCCACGTGTACTCGTCGTCCCCATGAGGCGTTTCGTCGAGTATTCTCTGGGCATCTCCGGCTCGCCCTGCTCTGCAGAGGATGTCCACCAAGCAACGGCGGTGCTCCGGCGACGGCGCCACCCGATGCTCCTCCTCCATGGCCCTGAAGAGATCGCAGGCTTCTCCGACCAGGCCTGCATGGCGGCAAGCAGAGAGGGCACCGAGGAAGGTGACCCCGTTGGGTTTCATCCCGAGCTCCGCCATCTCCCGCAGAAACCCTAAAGCTTCGTGGGGTCTCCCGTTAATGGCGCAGCCGACGATGGCCGCCGTCCAGCAGGCGGTGTCTCTGCAAATCGGAGCTCTGAAAATGGCGATGGCGTCGTCTACCTCGCCGCATTTGGAGTACATGTCGATGAGAGAGGTGGCGGTGGCGTCTTCGCCGGCGAACCCGAGTTTGATGGTGAAGGCGTGGACCTGCCGGCCGCCGGCGAGCTCCGCTTCGCCGGCGCAGGCTTTGAGGACGCTGGAGAGGATGAACTGGTCTGCTACCGCTTCTCCCTGTCCGCCCTTCATCTTCATCATCTTCTTGAACAGAGAAAACCCTAACTGGTTCGATCCTCGTCCGACACAGCCGGCGATGATCCCTCCCCAAGAGATGACATCCTTGCGAGGAAGATCATTGAACACCGTCAACGCCCTCCAGAGATCTCCGCAGCTGGTGTACAGCTCCACGAGGAGGGTCCCCATGACTGGATCCGACAGATGCCCATTAATGGCGATCAAGCCGTGGACTTGCAGCCCCGAGCGTGGATCCTGCGAGTCAGCGCAGGCCCTCGCCGCAGAAGAGAGAGTGTAGGCATCAAGAGCGAAGCCCCTGCGGTGGAGCTCGGAAACCAGGCGGAGAGCAGATCTGCAGAGCCCATTAGAAACGAAACCGGAGACCATGGCGTTGGAAAGTGCCAGGAGATCTCGAGCGCACCCTCCGTAGTCCGCATACTCTGCAAAAGATTTCATGGCTTCTTCCATCGCCGCGCAGCTCGAATACATGTGGATCAGAGATGACCCGCAGTGGGAGGATCGAAGGCCGGACTTGACCAGGCAGCCATGAATCTGTCTCCCCATTTCTGCAAATCCCAGACCTCCGCAGGCCTTCAGAGCGCAGGGGAAGGTGAACCCGTCGAAGCCATGGCCGTCTCTGTGCATGAGACAGAGGTACTCCAGAGCCTTGGGGCTCTCCTTCTGAGCAAAGCCGGCGATGACGGTGTTGAAGGAAACAGCATCAGGGTCCGGGAGGTCGAGGAAGATCGCCTCCGCTTCTTCTGATCGATCCACCTTGAAGTACCCACCGATCATTGTGTTCCAAGAAGCAGCGTTGGGGGAGGGAATCCCGTGGAACATCCTCCTGGCTTCTTGGAGCTCCCCGCAGTGGACGTAGAAATCGAGCAGAGAGTTCATCAGAACAGTGTCGGAGGAGGGTAGATGGGCTGCGGCGATTCTGCCGTGGATTTGCCGGCCGAGTCGAAGATCGCCCGCCATGGCGCAGGCCTTCAGGGCGGCGGAGAGGGTGAAGGAGTTGGGCGGCGCCTCCTCTGGTCCAGAGGCCAGCATGAGAGAGAAGGTGCCCAGAGCTCGAGAGGGATTTCCAGCGTCGCAGTGGGCGGCGATGGAGGCGGTCCAGGAGGCCACGTTCTTCTCGGGCATTTCATCGAACATAACTTGCGCGTCGTAGAAAGCTCCAAGATCGGCGTACATGGCGATGAGGCTGTTGGCCAGGAACGTGTTGCAGGAGAGCCCATTCTTCAGCAGCAGGCAGTGGAGCGATCTGCCGCCATTGGAGGCCCCCGATCGGCCGCAGCGGCGCAGAGCTCCGGCGATGGCGCTGAGGTCTGGAAGGCGATGGAGATCTCCAAAGGGTTCCCAGAACCGAGGATTTCGAAGCATCCTCGACGCTCCTCCCAGTCCACTCCGAAGATCATCGCCACCCAAGAAACCCTAAAAGAAGAAGAAGAAGATCTATCACGCTCCTTCACCCTCCTCTTCCTCTTCCTCCGTTGTATGATCTGGTTGACATGGTGAACCAAATCTAACAAACCGTTGACTCATTAATAACTTAGTATGGTTGATGGCCGGTGTACATAGCCAGAGTTTATAGCCTGAACTATTTGACGCTCATATTATGTATACTTTTTAATTATTAATATAAAAATTGTTTACACCTGAGTTATCACAATTTACGAGAGAATATTAGATTAAATTTTATTAGATGCAGTTAATATATAAAATGCATGTTTCAAGATTCAAATACTATCCTACAAATAGGTGTACATTTATTGTGGGGAAAATAGTAACATGTTTGATTAATGACATAAAGAGGATGGATTATCATACTGGACTTATGAAAGAAAAACCATGTAGAATACTGGAAAAACAACATAACAGAAATTGATGTTGGATTGTAGATTTATGATGACCTTTGTATCAATCATGATGGTGTCTAACCCATAATTTCAAATGAATTAAAAATAGTGATTGTATATTATTATTCCTTGCTTAAGAGCTTCAAGGGTCAACTATTCCATACTAAATTATGACAAATAAAGGTTACAAAAATTTATAATAATAATAATTATTATTATTATTTAGGTCACTAATTAGATGACAAGATTATCAATCAATGTGGTTACCACCTCAAGTTGCTTTGACGGGCTTCAATTATCTCAAATTCAACAATCTTGTGCCTCTAAATATCAGCAAATTCTCAAGTAGCTTGTGCATTATAATTTATGTAGTTTAGTCCTTGGGTTTTGATATCAAATATCTCCTAATCTATTTTCTTTAATTAAGACATAATTAACGATTGGAAATGAGCCAAGTGGGGTCCAGAATAATATCGTATTGGACAAGAGGAGAATAATTGAAATCCTTACTAATGTTCATCAACTGAATTGATTAATATTGTTGGTCGAAAACCTTTTTGCAGTTTAAATCAAGCCTATTTATAAACAGCATATTAAATATATCTAGTTGATCTATTTGACAATAGTAGATGAATACATAAAGCTGACTCACAAGAGACATCGACAAAGTTATGATAATCACTTCATTTAAATAGTACTTACACTGTCCATGCAATTTTTCAGCAGAGGTCTAGGTTCAGACCTAGTGAGAGCATTGAGGTCTCTCTCTTTTCATCTCCTTTTATTTCTCTCTCTTCATCTATGGCATCTTGCTTATTTTGTCTTTTGCAAACCTACATAAAAGGCATTCCTTTGGTCATACATATTTGAGTGGATGTGACCTTCTCACTGCAGTTACTTTCTTACATGTACTTAGTAACATTACATGTATTTTGAGGATAATATTGTATTAATTAAGATTGATATAGGTAAATGAATACAGTCAGATTATTTCTTTGGGTATATTACATTTCTATTACTAGATGAACTATGAAATTGTATCAAAGAACTGGTTGACTTCGTACACTAGATGGCATATCATACTATTTCAATGTGAATAAAAGACCCTCGATGTCCCTACCATACTAGGTGTCCCTACCAAGAGGTATTTATTTTTATGAATTCTACCTACTTATTTGCTATCTATTTTCTCTCCCCCCAGTGACAAGCACCCGAAAGGGGTTAACATGGTTCTTCCTTGATGTGGAAGCCTGCCAAGACACGGCGCGATAAGAGGGAACGCACCTGTAAGGAGTTCGTGCCCATGGAGAAGGTATCCAACATCCGCTTCCATTTGCTGGAAGATGATTTCCCTCCGCTCGAGGGCAGCAGTTCAGCGGGAGATCCAAGAGACGGACCTGATAGAGATCATCCACAGTCAGAGACACAAAATCAGCTATTTTGAAAAAGAGTACAACTTTGTAGAGAGAGAGAGAGAGAGAGAGGCCCGATTCTCCAAGTAGTCGCTGGTTTCTCCAGCGGGATTACGCAGCCCGATCACGTGGCACCTGTAGAGGAAGCAGAGTGAGACAGATGTTTCCTCTGGGCTGCGCTGTACTCTGAAGTCTAGGGGGTGAACGGTGTTGCATGACTGTAGGGTGTCCACAATATTTTCTTATTACAGAATTACTAAAATCAGAAAATTTGTAGGGGAGGCTGGTGGGCTGCCCCGTCTACAGAATAGCTGCGATAATAAGGCTCTCGGAGCGAAGAGATGAATGCTGCTATGACGATCAGTCATCAGGCCCATAGTCATCATCGGAGCCATTATCTAGAAATGAACCGAGGGATTTTCTGAGGATGCTGAAAGATCTGTCATCCTGCACGGAAGGAAAAACTATCAGAAAGAATTTAAAAATGGGATAGCTCCTCAACTTTGTCAGAGAGAAGAGATATACAGTAGATTTTTAAAAAAATACTGATTTCTTGGAGCTTTCGCACAGACTAACCCGGATATAACACAAAGAAAGCCCTTTATCTACTACGCAAGTACCCTTTGAGGGTTCGCTCACTGAAATATTACAAAAATAGTAATATTCGATCGTTATGTTTACGCCCACCTGTTTCTTCTTCTTGAGAGATTCCTCGGCTGCGGTAATCTTGCTGGTACAAGCCTTTTCAACTTCAGAGAGGGCAGCTTTTTCTCTTTTACCTAGAAGCGAAAGAAGATTCATACACATGCTACAGAAGTCGGGTAAGATTCTGTAAAAGCTAAGGTTTTTGTGGCTCACGCTGCTGTTCATAACGTACGAACAATTTTTCCTTTTCATCTTCAAATTTGGAAAATATTTCTGGAAAAAATTCAAAATCGATGATCAGTAATTAAAGAACAGAGAAGATGTTAAGAGCCACATGGATTTCAATGAGAACAATCGCGGTATGGTTGTGAGTATGTAGGACGATTACTGAATGAAAAAGAAACGATGCCCTCGCATACAATCACGTCACTCACTGCTGGCACGCTCATGGAATAAATCAAGTTTAAATTGGCGTTTTCTCTTGGAATCAGCGACTATATAGTGTCAGTGCATAGTCTTGCGATGGAAAAAAATCCCAATAAAGGCAGAGCAACCCGTTCACGACTTCACGTTTGAGATGCGACAATGTGATTGTAAGAGATAGAAAAATGATTCGAAATCCGATTCCAACATCCAAGCGGTGCCTTTGATATCTTCTCCAGGGCAGTATCATTCACGAATCCATCGGTGACAGTGACACAGATGCCCCTAAAATTCAATAACAATCTTTTCTTGGTCAAGTTCAGATCCTCTGCCTATTTCTTCATTGGGAAAAAAACAATAACTGTTTATTTTACTGCTGCCTTTCTTACGTTACTCATTGGTTTGAATAGGAAACTACCTCAAAGCTAGTCACTCCATTGTCAGAAAATAGATTTCAGCAATAGCTCATGGTTATTAAAGTTGCAGGTAAGGAATACCTAGAAAATTTTGCTTTCAAATCAATTGTAATTTACCTTTAAAAGCCTGTATAAAGTTTGCTTTGTCTTTGCAAAATTTCTCATGTGCTGCCTGGAACTTAGCGTATTCACTCCTAAGCAAACTTTCACACTACAAGGTAAAACAGTTACTGGGTTAATTGAATGTATACTTCAGACTCTGTCCTTTTAATAACAAGTAATTTATTTTACTTATATTTAAATAATCTTCACACCTCTTTGGAGTTTTTTGTGAGAGCCTTCGTAAAGGTCTGCCTGTAATTCAGGAAAAAAATGGTTAATAACAGAGATTGTCGAATAGAATATGCATATCAGTGAGATAAAACCTCCAAATATACTATCGTGTTCCAGCATCTTAACAGTAACCATACGATATTTTGGATTCATCCTTATAAATCGATACAGGTTAGTCCATCAAGGAGAAATCTGGGTTGCTACCTGTCTTTCTCGATTTTAGACTTTGTATCATCGAGCATTGCCCGAACTTCTGATGCCACACTGTAATGCAAGCATAATTAGATACATAGAAATCACCAATAAAAGACAGTAAGTATTCAACCAAAATACTTTCTTGATGAATCATCTCATCTAATTTCTTGTATGAATCTGTATTTTGAAAGAACCATAAGAACTAAAATATTAAGCACGAATAACAAAAAAACATTTCTCTGTTTTTCTAGCTCCTCGGTTTCATAGCAAGCAGATGGAAAATGCATTGTGATCAGCCATAAGTTTTGTACCGTCATATGAGCATAGAAAGATATGTGAATCCCCCAGAGTCAAACTGAAACTGATGACTAGATATTAGGAATGTTAAACTATTTATACTATGGCTACGAACAAGTTGCAAAATATCCAAATAACATACAAAAAGTCAAACTAACATAAAAGCAACAGAGTACGGCTCTCTTAGAGGGCATCACAATCACAAGGATGCCCTGGCATACAGCACACAGGTGCTTTCCTCTAATGTCGCATTCAAGAGCATTAACGAAGAGGATTTACCATCCAATTGTTTCCTCATTCTTCTTCTGTCCATCTTTCTGAGCCTTTTCTCTTATCTGTTGCAAAGCAGAGATGATCCCTTTGATGTCACTGGACATCTCAACAGTTTTGGCAAAACATGGAAGAATAAGATTTCTTAGAAATCCACAGAGAGTAACGTCAATTAAGAGCTGAGGAGATGCGCAAGGTTGCACCTGGATAGATCGAGCTCTGCATCCAGTTCTTCATCCACTCGCATTTTCTTCCCGGACATCAATGGATCGGTAGCCTTCCCTCTCCCCTTCCCGCTCCTCTTCGCTGCTGACATCTTCCGACGCAATTCCGTCGATCCTTGATTCTCACCTCAACAACGTGCTTCCGAACCCCACGGTCGCAGATCCACCGGCGAAGGTTCGGGGCGGGAGGAAGACGAGGTGGCGACAAGCTCTTCTCTCCGATATTGAATCTGGCGCCAAAACTATCCTGTTATATATAGATAATCACAAGTAGCTTGGTGACTGCCTCACAAGTATTTAATGTATCGAAGACTTCCAATATTACCCTCGATGTATAACTGAACACTTCTGTTGTAATAATTTACTCATAAAACCCAAGAAATCCATGTCCTACAGAAAACTCCCATCATTTTAAAATGTAGTTGTATTGACACTGTCTAAAACCGGAAAGTGTTGTGAGTTGACATTATGCATTTATACCTCACCAAACATCAGAATTATAACTGTATCCTTTTATCGGCATCCTAATTTTATAACATGTCAGTCCAATAAATTATAGTCTAATAAGATTTACCTCGTAAGAATGTTCTCTCTCTGTCTCTCTCTATAGGCCTGGGGCATTAAATGAATGAAGTTGAGGTTGAGAGAGAGAGTAAAGAATGGCCTCCGACATTAAATGAATGAGAATATGATTGTGAGGATAATTTAATATTCATATACACATATTTTCATATATTAAAAATAACACCTTTTCAATGTTTTTTTTTGTATATATAGACACTTTAAGGGCTTTTTAAGTCCGACAGAAAACTAGAAAGGTTCACTCGTAATTCAGTCGGCTTTATGCATGGTAAGAAGAAAATAATCGTAGAAGCAAGGAAATTGAGAAGGGTTATTTCGATTTCTCTACATTTTAAGGCCACAGGGACAATTTATAAACTAGTTAGTGTATTTATAAATTTCAAGATTTTGAACGAAGCTCACTGAAATTACTCAGAATAAGAATAAAAAATAATAAAATTTACGCGTTTAATACTGAATGACTAATTTGCCCCTGAGTAGATCGGTGTTGACTGTTCTCGTAGAGAGACGAAGCGGAGATTTCTGAGGTGCACCTGATCTTCTTCTCCATTGTGCCCCCGCCCAGTTTCTCCTCCGCAGCTGCCGCAGAGCCTGTACCTCACAAGGTCACCTCAGAGTTCCATTCCTCGTGGGGTTGTGGGGGTGCATCGGGAGCGGATCTCGAATCAGAGCGGTGAGGATTGGGTGTAGTCACTTCGTGCTACCTCTGGCTCTTCACTGGCGTCTGGGAGACGGAGTTTACAAACTGAGTTGAGGACTTATGCTGATGCCCTGTTCATACATTTGCTTCCATTTCTGTTGTCTTTCGCCTGGGATTTTTTCATTGATGCATGCAATGTTTCTGCCTTTTATCGCCCTTTTTTATCGAGAGATGGATTGTATCTTTGGCTCTCGCGTGGGGGAACTGAACTGACAATCCATATATCTTTCTGAGGAAATGCGTGCATACTTTGGCTGTTGAAGGACGAGCGGAAGAATTCTTAGCGACTTTTTTTCAGTGTCAAATGGGAAATGCACGAAGATGGGGTCGTCAGAAATTTGACGGGAGAGGCTTCGTTTCAGAATTTTGTCAGAACATCGTATATTGAAAATGGTGATAAAAATGACTCAATCGGGAAGATAAGATGCATGCATTATATAGAAGAAATTACACAAATTCTACTGGCTTTCCAAGAAAATGTTCTCTGGTTCAATTTTTCTTTGATGACTTAAGCCATTGAAAATTAATTTATTCTGAATTTCCCCGATAATTCTTTTCTGAAACCGTTTTTAGCGGTCATGTTTGTGCATTGAATCATTCATATATTTCCAAATAGTGCGGCCAACTATCTTCTGATAATCTTCGTTTAAAATTTGTGTTGAATTTGTCAGGTAAGCTGCGAGGAGGCATAAAAAATGAATCCATATTTTATTGGCCTCGTTGTTCCCGTTGTATTCACTTTCATGCTGCGGAAAAACAAGGATGCAAAAAGACGTGGATTGCCTGTTGATGTTGGTGGAGAACCAGGATATGCAATCCGGAACTATCGTTTTACTTCTCCAGTTGAAACTGCGTGGGAAGGAATTTCAACACTGGCTGAATTGTTTGAGAAATCATGTAAATTATATTCTAGCAGAAACCTACTGGGGTCCCGTGAGCTAATATCTAGGGAGACAGAAGTAACCACGGATGGAAGGTCTTTTGAGAAGCTTCATTTGGGAATCTACCAATGGGTTAGTTATGGCCAAACTTTCGAAGATGTTTCCAGTTTTGCCTCTGGTTTGGTGGGGCTTGGCCATGGGCATGGAGAACGTGCCGCAATATTTGCTGATACAAGGGCGGAATGGTTTATATCCTTACAGGTACTCAACCATTGGACTGGCATTCATCCATAGTATCTCTTGGATAAATGTTTCTTAGTATGTTGAAGATTTTATACCCAACTTTGGAGTTATTTGGTTCCATTCCAACTATTTGAAGAAAACCATGTAATGTAAACCTGATTTGTGATTCTATTTTTCTTACTCTTTAATATTCGGCTTACCATAGGTGAGGATTAGCAACTGGTTCTGGAGAAACTGTACCTTCAAAATCTTTTTGACAATTTATCGGAAAAGCTTGCTTTGATGTTTCCAGCATTCTAATCGTTTATATCCTATTTAATATGTGGTTATCTATTTCTTGCACGTTTTTATACGGTGTTCCTGGGCAATAGGACATCATTATAAGAGGGGAGGTGATGTGATGATAGCCTTGCTTGTCACCTCGAATATTGAGTTGTGAATATTGTTAGATAAACTTATAAAAATTCATATTATTACGAAGCTATATTATCCCAATGGGAGTTCTTAATCATGAACAATTAGATGTTCACAAGTGGAAAGGATATTGATAAATTTTTTAGCCAATGGACTCTTTAAGTAGACCAATGTTTGCCTATTGACTAGTTTTATCTGATTTTGGGGTTTAGTGACCTAGTGGTAAACTATCTAATACTTGATAAATATTAAGGCTTGCAACAACGAAATTATGAGGCATGCCTACAATGTTTGATCAACTAGTGTGATAACACTTGCATGAAGGCATCGATGTTATTTTCTCCAAACAAAAAATTATACAATTCGTGATTTCTATTATATGAAAAGTAAAGATGACATGTTTGATAAATTTTTAAAAAATATGGCTTATTCTATTTTCTATTTTTTTGTGTATGACTTTTTAATGAGTGTCATAAAATCAAATTCCTGTGATATTGATCGGCATCGAATGTAATGTAGATACGTGAATATTAATGCCTATGAGAATCTTAGCTCAAACCGAGCTTTATTAGGGCCATGACTTTTGGCATAAGTGGTGAGCTAGAAGAACAGCGTGCTGCATATTTTATTTAGCCTCCTCAACTGCTACAGATTCTTGTTAACTTTAAGAAAAATCTCTTTCATAGGATGGTTTTAGGATGTTACATTCGAGGGAGACTGTATAATTCAGATATTCTACCAGTATTTTGATTTGTTTCCTGCAGTTTGCTAATTTACATGTTTTTCTTGGATAGGCGTGCTTCAGGCGAAACATCACAGTTGTCACCATATATGCTTCCCTTGGCGAGGAAGCCCTTTGTCACTCACTAAATGAGGTTTCATGTCTCACACTATGTTTCTATTTAATTTTTTGAATTTTTAATTGTGATTTATGATTTAGTTCCTTATCAGGAGGGAGAAGGATAGAAAGAACAAGAACACCTTTAATTTTTTTAATTATTCACGTCTTGAAAAGAAACAGAGATAAACCATGATAGAAGTCTGTTATTTCTTAGTACCTCTATCTGTTGTGTGATTTTATGATACACAAACCAGAGAAGATTTGTCTTAGGTTAAAATTAGAATTTAATCTTTTTGACATGTTTATATTTGCCTCTAGTCATGGAAAAAGGGAAAAGTTCTCTCGTGTGAATGCTGAATTCTCTTTTGTGTTGTTGGTTCGATATTATCAACGTTAACCTTTCATATCTATTTTAAAGTCCATTCCGATTGGAGAACTGCGCCTCAATAAACTTTAATACTTATATTTTGAGTTTTCCTGAATAAGATACTGCGAGGATGTTTCTTCAATGAGAAAGTAGTTCCCGTGTAGTTCCACCTGCAAGTTTCTGAGAGGTCGAAAATCCAAAAGCTCAGATAACATTCCATGGGGGTCCTACAAATAAGTTTCTTTATTGTCTGTCATCCAGAAGCTCGGCTAAACATCCATGGCAGTGAACTGAAGATCCTTTCTGTTTCCAGCTGCCAAATAGCTCAGCTAAAAAAAAATGCTATTCGATGATAGATGTCTGTTCAAGTATGTTGGGCGGAGGAATTAATTGCTAGCTTAGTAATGAGACCATGGGCTTCTGTCTTCAACTTGAGACATTGGATAGAAAGAAATGCCAAAGATCAATATTCGGCGGAAAGAAGTCACCAACTCGACCTCTTCATTTTCATGAAGCATTATTGTCATACTTTGGCCAAAATGCTGGGTAAAAGTATTGTAATAATTATCTTTGATATAAGGTTCATTCTTGCTTTTGCTTGTTTACGTGTATAGAAATAGCTTAAAGCTACGTAAAATTGCATTTTCTTGTGCAACAACCACTTCACCGTCCATTGTTTTATATGGAAAGAATTTTTAGCTTTCTCCATTAGCCGAAGATAAATAGTTATATCTTGCCCCTAATATACAACGGATCTGTGCTGTCAATTTATTTTTGATTTTCATATGCATAAAGTTCTATTGGTCTTACTCTGATAGTCAACGTCCCCCATCCCTGATTTAAAATCGTCTCAGCGTTTCTGAAGCAAAAAAAATCCATGTTGCTAAAATTTTGTCTAGTCTTATATGCGGAGGAAACAGCAAAAAAACTTTCCTGTAGCCTCGTTTTCATCGGAAACAGCAGTCAGCACTCAATTTCGTTATTTCATTTTGGTCATTCCAGACTGAGGTTTCAACTGTGATTTGTGGAGGCAAGGAGTTCCAGAAATTGGTTCAGATTAGTGGGCAGCTTGATACTGTGAAACGTGTTGTCCATATAGAAGACGAAGGCATTTCTACAGACGTCTCACTGGCAGAGAGAAACACCAACTGGAAGGTCATATCATTTGCGGAAGTCAAGAGACTTGGCCGGGAAAACCCTGCCGCTGCACAATTGCCTGCCTCAGCTGACGTAGCAGTGATAATGTATACTAGTGGCAGCACTGGTTTGCCTAAGGTTTTCTCAACCACTGAAAATATTATGAATGTATCTCCTTTTGTACTACTGTCGTAAAAGATGCACTATTTAAAGTATTTGACATTATTTGAAATTGTCACGCAAAATTTTCGGTATTTTCATAAGTTGGAATGATGCTTTCCTCTTTCTAGTTCGTATTTCTCACTTAATTAAAAGTGGTAACGTTTTAGGGGAATTTACAACTTCAAATTAATTTGACTTCATGTTAGCAATCGAATTTATTTTAACTATGTACAGATTATCTGACACAGTTAATGTTGCAAGTAACTATTTAAAGGATATTTTTTTATGAAACCAAATTACTTTAGTAGAAATGCGTCATGCTATCAATCTCAATTTTTTTCTCTCATAAAAAAATATTGAAACTTTTATGCCGTCTTATGTACCGTGCCTAAAATGGCACATGCAATCTAGTGATGATATATGATTCCGGATTTAAATCATCATATAGACTATGCCAATAATTGCGCAAAAAATCTACTGATAGCATATTGTCTATCATTTTTGTTGTGGATAATTTGCATTTTCTTCTTTAACTTGAATTTTCTTCCCTGTTCCCCTGTTTTCCTTGTTTTGGACCGATTTCTGTTAAAATAAAGCCTCATTCTTACGTTTTCGTTGTTTTCTTTCAATGTCAATGATGGCTATAGATGCATCATATATACTAACAACCCTCACCATCAACTTACCTTGTTTTCGCTAATTTTAATGGTTTAGCTGCTAAAATACAGCCTACTACACAGTCTGTTTTCCAAGTTTAATTTTCAGTATGGCTACCAGTTACATACATGCAACAGATGCACGAGAACTATCTTGAATTATCGTTCCTCTTACTGGGTATCCATTCTGACATTCTCTTCCCATAGGGCGTGATGATGACACATGGAAATGTATTGGCTACTGTTTCTGCGGTCATGACTATTGTCCCTGGGCTTCGTAATGAAGATGTTTATCTGGCATATCTGCCCTTAGCTCATATTCTTGAACTAGCAGCTGAGGTATGGCTTCTTAGGCATTTGATTTTTTCCCTAATAAATTCCTTTTGTGATCCGGTAACCAACTGATTCCTTGGGATGGCAGGCTGTAATGGTCGCTGTTGGATGTGCTATAGGATATGGCTCCCCGCTGACTCTTACCGATACATCAAACAAAATAAAAAAAGGTACAAAAGGGGATTCTTCAGTTTTGGCCCCAACACTCATGACTGCAGTGCCGGCAATCCTTGATAGAGTCCGGGATGGTGTTAGGAAGAAGGTAATCCACTTTTCATGTGAAAACGTTGACATTTTATGTTTAATATCTCTTCAATGAGGTCTGGTGAGAGCCAAAGTTTGCTTGCTTTTCAGGTAGATACGAAGGGTGGGCTTTCGAAGAAGTTATTTGATATCGCTTACAATCGCAGATTGAGAGCAATCAATGGCAGCTGGCTTGGAGCATGGGGAACTGAAAGGGTTCTATGGGATTTTCTTGTCTTCAAGAAGGTACGGGCAATTCTGGGCGGTCAAATTCGGTTTCTTCTGTCTGGAGGGGCCCCACTTTCTGGAGACACGCAGAGATTCATTAACATTTGCCTCGGGTTTGTTCCTTCTCTCTGACTTTTTTTCCTTCATTGAGAAGCACGCTCCGTGGGTTCGTTTTTCTTCTTGAATTATTATCTCAATTCGGATCTTATTCTGCTAACAAATTTTATGGTCACAATGGCTGAAAGTCTCCAGGATTTTGACTAAAATTTGTGAAAAAATGGTGTGGATAGTAGAGATTCTGCAGAATTGTACGCAGATCCATTGATGATGTTTCTCTTGTTTTCAGATCCAAGTGGCAGATGTTTATGTGAAGATTTTTCTTTGTTCTTGAGGGTTGCATGGACCACAATAGGAAAAACATGAGAGAGACATTCTTTACCAAAAGTGTGTGGGGGCGGGGGGGGCTTCTTAAAGAGGAATTGATTCTTTGAAACCCGGGGAGAATCTCAAATTGAGGTTGAGCTACTTGCATAGACCTACAGAAGGATCTGAGCTAAGCCCCATGATGACTAATGTTCTGTGGATTCTTGCAGCCATGAACAAGGACAAAGGCATTAACTGCTCCTATGCTAATTTTACGTTTCCATACACATGCATGCAGTGTGAGGCAGAACTATCATGCCCTTTTGCGGGACAATGAATGCCGAGGGCACCATTTTTTTTCAGACCAGAGGTTCTAAATTTAGAAAATCGCCAATCTTTTCTACCAGTGCCTGGCTTTATGTTTCCTAGTCTCGTGTTTTCAGGGCTCCAATTGGGCAAGGATATGGCCTCACCGAGACCTGTGCTGGAGGAACCTTTTCTGAGTTTGATGACACATCTGTCGGTCGTGTTGGTTCTCCTCTCCCTTGCTCATTCATTAAGGTAATATACGAAGAATTGAGCTAATTCCACTTAGTTTAAGATCCTTGCTGATATCTCAGATAGTAAAATAAATAAAATAAATATATCTATATATATATATATATATTATCACTGTGGTATCTTGCCATTTTCTCATCTGATATGATCCGGTGCGAACTGCTTTTCATGTACATATACATTATGTTGCAGCTTGTTGATTGGCCCGAAGGTGGTTATCTCATCAATGATTCACCGATGCCTCGGGGAGAGATAGTTATCGGAGGCCCGAATGTCACTGCCGGATATTTCAAGAACGAGGAAAAGACTAAGGAGGTCTACAAGGTATAAACAGATGTTAATTTTAGGTTTCAAGACCGAGTTCCTTCTTTTCTATTAAAGAAAAATCATCAAATGTTTTAATCGGGCTTAAGGTGGATGAGAGAGGAATGCGGTGGTTCTACACTGGGGATGTAGGCCAGTTCCACTCAGATGGTTGCCTTGAGATCATTGACCGGAAGAAGGATATAGTGAAGCTTCAGCATGGTGAATATGTTTCCCTGGGAAAGGTACGGATGTCAAGCTCAATCTACCTTTATCGTATAATATTTGCTCTAAGTTCAGATGATTTCCTTATTCATTGACCTATCTCCGATTCATGCTAATGGATTAAAGCATGTAGTCTCCCCAGTATGGCTGCCCGTTTGTAGAACTGACCCAGGCCCAATTTGAGGCCCATTTTTTTGTACGTTGAATTTTTTTTCTGCAAGATTACATAAAGCAATGCATAGTTTTCAACGTTGTTGGGAGAAATATTTAATAATCTTAATCTAGAACCCCAAGTGTGTTATACTTTCTGATATATACATAGATATTATATCATATCATATCTCGGTAAATCTTTACAAAGGTGTATAATTTAATGCACGATGCTTTCAAACATTTGTATATATGGTGCAAAGAAAGGGAGTGACAATGGCACAAGATATATTATTTTAATGGGCCGAGTGAGCCCATGAGTCTCTCCATAGTGTATCTGTCCTCTCTCGTTTCTCTCTGTAACGTGTCTTGCATTGCATACGTTTCACTGCACAGGTGGAAGCTGTGCTTGTGGCGAGCCCTTACGTGGACAACGTCATGGTGCATGTTGACTCTTTCTACAGCTACTGCGTGGCACTTGTTGTTCCTTTACATCAGGCCTTGGAGGACTGGGCCAAGAAACAAGGCCTATCCTATTCTGACTTTTCAGATCTATGTCTGAAAGAGGAAGCTGTCAAGGAAGTCAAAGCGTCCTTGGGACAGGTTTGCATCAATTTTTCATCTTTTGCCAAACATTCATGTGCTTCTCGTTATATGAAAACCATGGTTTTTGAGGCATCACCTACGCAGCTTGAAAGTTTGCGGAACCTTTAATTAATTATTCACGTTGATAAACATACCATCATTCGATTTTGGTGAATTTAATTATTAAATTCACCAAAATCATTTAAATTAATTAAAGCTTAATTAATTCACAATCCATGAATTAAAGCTTGAAAGCTTAATTAATTATTGTTTGAATAATGCCCGAGGAATCATTTAAGCTTTCATTGCTGCCCATCTATATGCCAAGCATTTATATGAAGATCATGGTTTTTAAGGCATCTCCTATGCACCATGAAACCTTTCAAAGATCTTAATTTTATTTTTTAAATTGATAGCAAAAATTATTTATCCATAGTATTAATATCCTATGCATGCATATATATTATTTATATTTGAACAAGGCATAATTAATCAATGCATTTTTCACGATTTAATCCTTTTTTCATATTTTTATTGTTAATTTAACATTTATATTTAGATTAGTGCTTAAAAATTTCAAAATATATTTATAAAACTCATGGAGTCTAGTCCCCTCTCCCTGTTGATCAGGCATGAGGTAGTGGACCCCCCTCTGCTCGATTGCATTAAAGACCTGTTTAAGTTACCTTTGACTTGACTATTTTTGGTAAGTCAAACTTACATGCATTGAAGCTAGACAACAGCGGGGGCTATTTCAAATATAAAAAAGAAGGTTATTTTCTAGAGTTGAGATTTGTCTATCCGTCATGAACATTGTGGGTGGTAGAAGGACCCACACTTGTTCTTTTCATGAATGGAGTGTTTGCATCCGACAGGCTGCCAAACAAGGGCGCTTGGAGAAGTTTGAGATCCCTTTGAAGATTAAGATCCTTCCGGAGCCCTGGACCCCTGAATCAGGGCTGGTCACTGCAGCACTCAAGCTCAAGAGAGAAGTCATCAAGAAACAGTTTGCAGAGGACCTTGCCAAGCTCTACAGTTGAAAACTGTGGCAAACTTCTATGGACGAAAGTTTTGGGCCTCATGAGGTTAGTGCTGGATCTGCATTCTCCCTTCTGTCTTCCTCTCTCTCTCTCCCTATCTCTCCCTCTCTGCCTCTTGGCAATTCAGTCCATCCATGCTTTCTCTCCCTAGCTTTGGTGTTATTCAAGCGAGGAGGTTCTACTTGGAGTGTTGCAGAAGTAAAGTGATAGTAGAAGTTCTCAGTCTCTCTCTCTCTCTCTCTCTCTCTCTCTTTAATCCATCCTTATTTTCTCTTTCTAGTTTTGGTGTTATTCGAGCAAGAACAATCCACTTCAATTTTAGCTCAAACTAAGTGGTAGAAGAAGTTCATAGTTTTCTCTCACTCTTGGCTGTTAATTTCCCCTCTAGTTTTTGAATTATTCTTGCGAGAATAATCAATAGTTTGAGTGTACAAAAAACTAACTGGTAGAAGTTCTTAATCTGAAGATGGAGCCATGAATATAGGGACGAGGGTATTTAACAGGTCAAGGATGTTGGAGCCCAATACAGAGAATTGGCATAGCCTCACCCGGGTCGTGTGTACTTGCAAGAGAGAGAGAATACATCCATATTTGGGTATTTTCTTGTGGATGAAGGTACTTGGGATCGACAAAGCGACAATCGGGGTCAACACAAGTGAAAAGCCAAGTATGGTTTGAGACCCTCTATGACAGAATGGTATTAGAGTCAAACATTGAGATGGTATGGTAGGTGAGTGCGATAACTTCTTTTGGCTGAAGGTACGTGGGATCAACAAAGTGAAAATCAGGGTCAACGCAAGTGATGAAGGCCAAGTATGATTTGAGACCCTTTATGACAAAATGGTATTAGAGTCAAACTTTGAGATGGTATGTGAGTGTGAGATCCAAGGGTAGAAGATTAGTTGTCTAGATGAGATGTCCCAAGTCATGGTTGAGATTGATGAGGAAACCCATTTTCAAGATCATCATCAAAGAGGACCAGCATATCAAGATCCTTTATTTGGCACCACTCAACCTAATTGATGTCACATGTGAAACATAATTGCATATTGTATTGCAGCAAGGTCCAATAGACTTCACGGTTCTGTTGATAGATAGCTTTGGTGCTATTAGGGGGGTTGACTTTCTCATGAGAGCCCAAACATGAAGTTCTCTTTACAACCATACCCAGACCTTATAGCCATACTGATGATGATGCTTTCATTATACGTATGTGACAGTTGATGTAGATGTTGGATTTAAGGAGGCTTGTGATGTTCACTAGCATGGATTGATGAGGATCACATGAGGATGCCTTCTACAAGCTGGCATGGGTATGTGCACAAGAGATGTACACAATGGATATGTGTGGGAGCAATGTGCATGGCAATGTCAACCATTGCAATGAAGGAGATCCCTCAAGAAGGCCCTTCTAACTCAACTACCACTTTGGCTGGAGGTGGATCATAAGATTAAACTTTCATCGGGAACTCGTCCATTGTCGCATGCATCGCATATAAGATGTCACTTGTGTACCTCAAGTAACTATGCTAAAATCTTGACACATCAATCCTTTCAAGTCTCTATTTGGTGCCCTCATCCTTTTCCAAAAGAAGGATTGATCCACAATTATGTATGGATGGGGCAATATTGGACGAATTAATTGGGAAGAACATTTCTCTGATTGGTCCAATTTAAATGACCTTTATGGCTACTTGTGATGAGGATGGTATACTTCACTAGAAGATTTACAAGTCTTGAATCAAGAATGAGATGAGCAAGAGACAATGTGTATGACCAGGTGTAAGTTTTTCGAGTTCACGGTGATGGGTTTCATGGCCTCAACAACATCCCAATGATGTTCTTTACATTGATGAGGGGAACACAAAGCACAATTATTACGTGTGTTTACTTAATTAGTCAAGAGGGTTAATGTCATCTTAGATTAGTGAGAGGACAACAAAGTAGGACAATTGAAGACGAATTTCCACATCTACTTCATTTTCAAATAGACAGTAAAACTTGTAACTGAGTGAGTGAGAGAGGAGAGAGAGAGAGAGAGAGAGAGAGAGAGAGAGAGAGAGAGAGAGAGAGATTTTCCCTTCCGCATCAACCGGGCCGCTTCACACGGTAGATTCCCCACTTCGGAACGCTCAGGCCATCCGTCTCGACAGCCACCGCAGAAACCAATCAGAGTAGCGCGCAGTGGGCCGGCCGGACATTCAATCACACGTGCAGCTCTTAAAAGCAGAAAGCGACCTCTTTGAACGAGCCCAATCAGTTGTGTGGCTCCCAATCCCATGACGTCAGTAGTATGCCCCGACATACCCCCCTTATGGCCCAGATTGCACCCGTCAAATGGTGAAGACATACGATATCACCGGCATGAAAGGTGAAGTCATGAAGGATAATATATTTACGTAACTAGAATTCCCAGAGTAGTTCTGGTAGTCTTCATGGTTTTATTGGCCCAGCCACATGGGGGTAGAGAGAGAGAGGGAGATAAGATGTCTCTCTCTCTCTCTCTTCGGGGATTGCTAGGGGATGAGGGGGGAATATAACATCTCATCGACCTGTAAGATAAGAGTCGTGAAGAGTGTATATTTGCGTAACTAGAATTACCGGGGGAGTAGTTTTGGTCGTATGCATGGTTTTATTGGCCCAGCCACCCCAGCCACAAAGAGAGAGAGAGAGAGAGAGAGAGAGAGAGAGAGAGAGAGAGAGAGAGAGAGAGAGAGGGAGGGAGGGAGGGAGGGAGGGAGAGAGAGAGAGATAATATGTCCCTCGTCCGATCTTTTTGTACTCATTCGCTGGAGTCTCCCCCTCCCCCCAACATCCCATTCCTCTTCCTCGCCCATGAACTGCCTCGGAGCGGAGGACACCAGGGGCCTCTGCGAGGCCCACCCCCGCGAGGCGGTGGTGGGCGTCTGCGCCCTCTGCTTGAGGGAACGCCTCCTCCTCCTCCGGGCCTCTCGGCAGCGCCGCCTCCAATCGCCGGTGGCGGCGGCACCCTCCGCCGCCTTCCTCCATCCTCCGTCCACCAGGCCCCTCTTCGCTGGCCCAAAGCTCTTCTCTCTTGGCCCTCTCTGTCGCAACCCCGGCGATGTCTCCGATGGCAACTCCCTCGTTTGCCTCGATGGTAACATAATTCAAGATCCTCTCTCTCTCTCTCTCTAGACCTCCCTCCTCGATCTCGCAGTGGGTCACCAGCTGGTATTCACAGAGGCTAGATGTCACTCAGAGAGCCTACCCGAGCTCAGACGTCTGATATTCTTGCTCTCTCTCTCTCTCTCTCTCTCTCTAGATTCTTATATATATATATCCGTCTCATCTCTATATCTGATGTTTCTTGGCTGAGCAGACTCGTTCATATCGATCAAATTCGAGAAAGACGGGCGCGCGACGTGGGCGGCGGACCCCAAGCCCGTCTCGGCGGCGGCAGCGGAGGAGCACGCCAGGCCGCGGGACGCCCTCAGGCGTATAGGGCGGCTGCTCCAGTTCTCGCGGTGGCGACAGGCGAGCAAGGCCACGTGCCCGGGGCCGCCGCCGCCGCCGAGGGCCGTCAAATTGGCGGAGGGTAGCGGCGGCGCTGCAGACGACCTCCAGCGAGCCCATCAGCTTTCCAGGGCCGCATTCTTCTAGTTTTTTTTTTTTGGCAGATAACTAAGCTCTAAAAATTCACTTAAAACGATTTACATATATATACATGCACATAATATAAGATCTCCATCTGCCTGTCTACTGTGAGATTAAGGGGAAGGATTCATTGGAATGGCATCCCACTTAAATGATGATTTGACCGCTGTAATTCGAATATGGAAGAAGCCTGCTCTACTCTACTCGACGGGTCAACTCCTTTTCGAGGCACCGGGGAGTACACACAAGTTGACTTAAATTGGTATGATCGCATGAGTCAATCGTCGCAACTATTTGAAAACTAAATGCCCAGTAAAAAAAATAAAAAATAAAAAAAGAAAAAAAGAAAAAATGCCCATATCTCTTAAGTCTGAAACAATCTCCTCTTAATGGATATGGCTCCTATTTTCCACGAAGAATCAACACTTCACAACTTTGTTTGAAAACTCGTCAAAATTATCATTATGTATAAATAGTTAAAATCGTATAAACTTACTCAAATATAAAACTAGATGTCTAAATATATCTAAATTAGGCGGGTCTATCGAAAACAAGGTCCGGGTTAATCTGGGATTAGCCCGAGTTGGACCGATTCAGATCACAGCCGTCTTGTCTTGCCGTCGTAGACATTTTTGGTTTTGGGCTTCGCCTGGAGCCTGTTTCGTCGGGCTTTCCTAGGCCCATGATGACCAGGCCCAATAGAAGATGCCCAGATGTCTTTAAAATAATAGTAAAACAAACACAATCCAATCCACATGAAAGTCAACTACATTCCGATTAAAAAGGGCAGAAAAAGGAAGTAATCCAAGCACTAGAGGAGATCCAAAAGACATCTAATTTAAGTTCTAAAGGGAGGAGCAAAAACCTTAAAGAGCTAGCTAATCTGACTCGACATCAGCATCTGGCACTCTCTTGTTAAGCCTGTAACATGGGAACGAATTAAGTGAGAACAAACATGGGATTGGAGGATGATGTAAAGTGCTGAAGAACATGCATACTTTTGACCAAATGTGAACAATGAGGCATGGTTGATGTAGGACAAACTATGTAATGTTGAAGATTCTACACTGCTTGAGTTCATGGGTATGCTCGAATCTTTTAAGATGATCATGGATATAACCTATAAAACTTTTAAAGATGTATAATCTTGAGCCCATGGTCTTTTAAGATGAAAATGTTGAAGAACATGTCTACTTTTGACCAAATGTGAACAATGAGGCATGATTGATGTAGGGAAAACTATGTAATGTTGAAGATTCTACATTGCTTGAATTCATGGGTATTCTCTAATCTCTTAAGATGGTGATGGATATTCGTACAGACCATAAAACCTTAGGAAAACAGGAGCATTATTTATAAGGAAAGCATAAAGAATGGAACAATATATGGAGGAAAATAATTCTTGCCTTGTTCAAGTGGGCGATATCATTCATGGGCTTCAAGCAAAAGACTCTCCAGAGAGGTTCTTTTGGCCCTTCTCTTCCGTCTCCTGCTTCGGGTTGGGAGGAAAAAAATGGATGAGTTTGTTCTCGTGTGCACATTTTTCTTCCTTCTCCGATGATGATTCCCGGCCGCCTTCAGCAACGGGGGTGGGGACATCTACGCAGATGTCGTTCCCCATCAGCCGGATAGTGACGGTCTGATTCCCAGTCGGTGATGACCCCAATGAACTTTCTCCCTCGGGTGGTGCAGCAGAGAGGTGATCCCCATTAGGTCGGTAGTCAGAAGTACCAGATGAGATGAGATCATGCCTGACTCCCTGGATGCCATCATCAGGAAATACATCTTGCTGAGACGCGGAGGGGTTCCTCGCCGGCGCCACCACGGGGGACTTGTTCAGCTCACTGTTCATCGTCGCTCTGAACTTCGTGATAGGAGGCCGAGTGAGATCGCGGGGGCCGTGAATCTTCTCCATCTCCCAGGGGTTCACCATTTTTGAGTTGCGTTGGCCATCTTGTTCATCCCAGGTGACCTGATTTGGAGAGACGATAGACCGTAGGAGAAATGAGGACGAGCATGCGCTACCATCCAGATGAATATCCATACCAAAAAGAAAAGCTCGCCGAGGTTTTGAGAAATGAGTCTACGAATAGGAAGTGAAGAAAAGAGAGAGGAATTTAAAGGTAGAACCTCCAGCGTGCGCCACGGAGAACGGACGAATGGACGGGGATGCGTGATGATGTCAGTCACGGCCCCCTGGAAACACGGCATCCTGGTGGAGTCCTCTGTCCCCATCTGCGATTTCACCATGATCCCCGGGAACCACAGCTTGTTAAGAGCTTGATCAACCTGATTCCTTCTAAGTACGAACTCCGGGAAACCCCCGGTCGGGTAATATGTGACCTCGAAGGGACGGCCCATCGATGCTGCACGGACGGCCTCGAGGACAGACTGAGGCGTGACCCTGCCCCTGCGATTTCTCGAGAACAGTTGTCCGCTGGTAGAACATTCCCCGGTGGTCGCCAACATCACTGAGGGGCCTGCTCTCGGAAGACCTCGTGGGAAACCTGCGCTTGCTCCCGATCTTTCAGTTCGGCGCAGCCCCACGTAAATTTGGCCGGTCCTGTCCTTGATGAATATCACGGTGTCGCCGGCTATCAGCTTCTTGTTGTTGACGAAAGCGGCCCAGTACGTTGTGAGGAGGTGCCGGCGAGGTGTTCCCCTGTAGATGTGCTGAAATCTCAACTCGTTACCTTCCAGATCGCGAACGAACAGAGCCTGGGAGGGATTATCCTTGGTATAGTCCAGTGACGGGAAGACCCTGTCCGCGCAGAGCCTCGGCACCGAAAAGGCCCCGCCGTTGTTCGCGTCGCTAGGCGTCAGTACCTTCGCGACGAACACCAGTTTCTCCTCTTCCCGTTCGACGCCCTCAGACGAGACGCCTCCGGCGGAGGAGAACGGCTTCGGATACATAAAATCCCGTTCGAGTCTAATCTTGGCGAAAACCTCGTTGCTGCTCCGGCTTGCCAGATGCTGGACTCCGGTCACCCTACAGAAAAAGAAAGAGAGATCCTCGGCCTCCGACTCCCAGTCCACTTCGCCCAAGGCCTGCTCTGCGTGGCCCTGCGGGAAGTAGTAGACCGACGTTCCCACCGCCGGGATCGTCCCAGATCTCCCCGCACAGGCCTCCCAGATATCAGGATTCACACTAAAATCCTCAACGGCGACCGCAGCTGCTGAATCCGAAGCCATCTCTCTAAAAACGCACAACCAAGGGACAACGCTCTCCGGGCAAGGGTTTCAGGGAAAGTAGCGAACACAGCAGCGCCGTCTCCACTTCCCTCCCTCTCCATTTATCTCTCTCTCTCTCCCTCTCCCTCTCCTCTCCCCCTCTCTCTCTGTTGTGTCTGGTTCTTCTGTTAGAACGAGCGGGAAGCGGAGCCGTCCTAGATATTTGATAACAGAAGCCGAAATCGGCGGTCGTCCAGTAGGGAGTCATCCTTGCTGTTGGTTTTTAAAATTAAAAGGACAAAAATACCCTTCAATAAGTTGAAGTAGACTGGAACCAGCCTCGGAGCGTCCTGCATGCTGTTTTCAGGGGGGGGAGAAAAGGAGCGCTAGCGGAGGAAGAGGAGGGAGAGCATGGGGTTGGTCTCCGCGGTTTGCGGCGTTAGATAGAAGAGAAGCTCCGTCAAGCAGTTCCGGTTGACCAATGGAGGCGGGCTCGGCAGATAAGAGGTTAGGGACGAGAACTCGAATCGTCTCCTACCTTATCTCCGCCACGGTGACGATCGTCGCAACTGGTTCGCGGTGCTAGACAGCCTCAGATCAGATCCCCAAAATGAATCTTCTGGCTACATCTTCCTGATGATATCTCTCTGGATGAACGAACCGTGAGAGATGTGGCAGACTTCGTGTCGCTGTCAAATCTTTGAATTCGTTATCCTGATCTCTTACATGGGAGTTATCCTGCGTACGATACCGATTGCTGCCTTTTTTTTTAGTGTTTTCCTTGACCATTTCGGTTTATCGACTTCACGATATCTAGTTTTCAGTTTAAATTGCGCAGGAAAGCCTCGGCGGCATGGATCATGATTTCGATCCGCCGTTCATCGTCTGTTGCAGAAGGTAAAATTCTATGTGGGGCTGCTGCTTCTCCTCCTGGTTGATCTCCTTCCTGGGGAACTCCACCGTCCGGCGCAGGCGATACGCCCGCTTCTCCGCCGCCGCTGCGGACTGCCAGAACGAGAACTGGATCTCCGGCAACAGTCTGTATAAGAGACACCCTCATCTCCAGAGATTGGAAGCTTGCGACAACTCACCATGGCAGCTCTTCCCGGTCCTCACCTACATCATCGTGTCCGGCCTCTTCCAGAACCCCTTCGTGGCCAGTCGCGTGCTCCACATCTGCTGCAATGGCGACCCGCCGGACCTGAACTTCGCCACCGTGGTTTTCCGCCAGATACGGCGGCCCAACCTCTTCTCTTGGAACACAATCATCAAGGGCTTCGCCGAGTCAGAGGACCGCCGCTCCATCGCCTTCTCCTTCTACCGCCAGATGCTCGACAGGGGTATCCTTCCCGACAAGCACACATTCCCTTTCCTCCTCACTGGTTGCAGGCCTCCATCCACAGCCAAATCGGGAAAATTTCTGCACGCCCACTGCGTGGTTCTTGGATTTTCCATGGACACCTTCGTCCAGACAGCCCTGGTGAACATGTACCTGGGATGCGGGCATAAGACGGATGCACGGCACCTGTTCGACAAAATGACCAGCCGCGATATCGTCTCCTGGACTTGTCTGATCTCCGGCCTGATCGCCGGCGGTCACCATGAAGAAGCCCTGGAGGTCTTCAAAGCTCTGAGGAGCGACGAGGGCCAGTCCGCTGTCAAGGCGACGGTGGCGACGATGGTCTCGGCGATGGCGGCTTCCGCCTTCCTCGGCGCCCTGGATCATACTCGTGCCCTCCATGGGAACCTGGAGAAGACTGGCTACATGGCGGACACCTTCATCGGCAACTCTCTGATCAACGGCTACGCCAAATGTGGAAGCATCGGCTCCTCCTCCAAAATCTTCCAGCAGATGAAGGACAGAGACCTGCTCTCGTGGACGGCGATCATCTCCGGGTTTGCCGCAAATGGGATGGCCCAAGAGGCCCTCGGCGCGTTCGCGGGCATGAGGGCCGCCGGAATCGTTCCCGATCCGGTCGCCTTCCTCGCCGTCCTCTCCGCCTGCAGCCATGCGGGGCTGGTCGATGAAGGCGTGGAGAACTTCGAGCTGATGCAGAGGAGCTACAAGCTCTCCCCGGGGCTGAAGCACTACGGCTGCATGGTGGACCTCTTCGCAAGGGCGGGGCTCCTCCGCAGGGCCTGCGAGTTCATCTCGGCGATGCCCCTGCGGCCGTCAATGGCGGCGCTGGGCGCCCTGCTGAGTGCCTGCAGGGCCAAGGGCGAGCTGGAATTGGCGGAAGCTGTCGCTGGAGTGATCGTGTCGTCCGGCGAGAGCGCCAGCGGGGCCGGCGTGCTGCTGTCCAACATGTACGCCGACGAGAGCAGGTGGCAGGAAGCTTCCCTGGTCAGGAAGAAGGTAACGGGAGGAGGTCTGAGGAAGCCTCCCGGGCATAGCTGGATCGAGGTCGAGGGTGTCGTCTACAGGTTCATGGTTGAGAACGGGTCGGACCCTCACCTGAAGGAGATCATATCCGCCCTGGATGCCTTCGCAAAAGATGGACGCAGCTGAAGGAGAAGGTGTATCGATTCTTCGTCGGGAAAAGTACCTCAGATGCTTTGAGATTTACAGCCTTATATGATTGTGGCTTATATAGAGTTCCGGCCCATTTTTTGCTGCCACATTACTCTCTCTCTCTCTCTCTCTCAACGCATTTTCTCCTGTCACAATACCACTCAAAATCTCTATTCTTTTGATCCACTTCATCTTACAGCATTACTATTCTGTGTGTGTGTGTTAGGGTCAGCAGCAGCAGAGGGGTCCAGCCCAAAACTCTTCCACTCTCATTCATGATCTTTCTAAATGTTCAATCCATTCAAAGATTATAAAAAATCATATGGGCAACTTCACAGACACAAAATTCGATGTGATCAAGCTCCCAAAAGCACCTATTATCCTCATTTTCTCTCCTTTCTTGGGAATAAAAAATGCCACTTTGTAGCAAAAATTAAATTTTGATGCATAAGGAGTGATATTTACGTTTGCTACGAGCTTGCCTTATCTCTATTTCTTCTTGCTTTCCTGTTCGAAATGTGAGGAAAGGCACCGAGAATGTTGTGAGCCCTCAGATCCTGCCTCGTCAGGATCCCCACCAGCGGAGCCACCTGCGTGATGAAAAGCTCAATCAACGCCTGAGGGAAAAATCTCCATTCCATGGTTAGTCCACTCCTAAATTATCCATGCTTTTTCCTCTAAAATGATGTCCATTTTATGGTTCTCAATGGGCTGGACTCTCTCTCTCTCTCTCTCTCTCTCTCTATCTGTCTATCTATCTATCTCCGTATCTATCTATCGCTCTCCCCCTCTCTCTCTATATCTACCTTTCTTTCTTTCTATTTTTGGGAAGAGAGAGGGTTTGTTGACTTACCCCTGGACCTTGGTTCTTGGGCACGATCAGCAGGTGACGGAGGCCGATCTCCCGGAAGAGCACCACCGCCTTGGCCACCGACATGGTCTCCACCACCGTGTGGGGCGTCATGTTGGTGAACGGGTGCAGGTCCACAAACATCTCTTTCTCCTCCTCCGTGATCTCCAGATCGCCGACGCTCCGCCCCCGTTCCGCCAGGTCCTCGGAGGTGAATCTCTCCCTCGCCTCCCACTCCTCCGTCCTCCTCCTCTCCCCCAGGAACCACCTCTTCCGCAGCACGGCGATGATGTGGCTCCTCAGCACCAGCCCATGAAGCTCCGCCACCACCGCCTTGGGCCGGTGGTCGACGACGGGGAACCCGTTATGGGTGGTGGAGTTGAGCACCTCCAGGAGGCGGCCCACCCTCTCGACGCCGGAGAGGGAGACGACGGTGGGCTTGGCGGCGGCGAGCTCGCCTACGGTGAGGTTCCTCATCCATGGCTCTGGATTGGGCTCCAGAAATGGCAGCCCCTTGAGTTCCAGGATGATCTCGTAGATGCTGGGGTTGAACACGTCCCCTACGGTCTTAGCGATGAGGAGGACGATCATGGTGATGGGCAGCAGCAGCAGGTTGTTGGTGAGCTCGAGGAAGATGACGCAGAGCGAGACGGTCATCCTCATGGAGCCCGCCATGAGGGCGGCGGCGCCGAGCACGGCGTACAGGCCCTGGTCCAGTTGCGTGTAGGGTTTCATGGCGAGGCCGAGCAGGCGGCCGTAGCCGGAGCCCATGAGGATGATCGGGAGGAACAGGCCGGAGGGCACAGCAATGCCGAAGGTGAACAGCCCCAGCACGCAGTACAGCGCGAAGAAGACGAGAAGCGCGGCCGGGCTGTACTCGGCCGGCGCGGCAGTGGCGGAGAATATGTGCCGCACGGCGTCGTCGTTCGTGGATTGCAGCAGGCTGGCAAGGTCGTTGTAGTACCCGGCGGCGCAGTTGAACTGCTTGAACTTGCCGGTGCGGCTCGTCGTCGGGCACACGCCGGCCGGCAGCCCCGCGTCGCACGGCGTGCACCGCCCCAGAAATGGCAACGAGAAGACGCACAGAGAGGTGAAGATGGAGACCGACAGGCTCAAGATCAGCTTCGCTGCTCTCCCTTTCCTGCACAGACAGCTCCGTCAGAAGATGAAGAAGACGATGAAGGAAGAAGATATGGCGGAGAGGGAGAGGCCTTACTCGTTGATGAGGCTGTAGAAGCGGAGAACCTTGTGGAGGAGGAAGTTGTAGAGGCTGCCGAGGAGGCCACCGATGACGCCGATGGCGGCGACGGGGAGGAGATCGGCGGCGTGGTAGGTGACCTGGACGTCGCCGACGTCGAAAAGGATGAGGCCGCCGCGGCCGAAGAGGCCGCAGCTGCCGGAGTCGCAGAGCTCGGTGAAGCCCCTGAGTACCACCACCACCACGGCGGTGCTGAAGAAAGTCCGCCACAGGAGGGCGCTGCGCCACCAGGTGGCGACCTCCTCGAGGGCGAAGAGGACGCCACCGACCGGCGCCCGGAAGGCAGCGCAGACGCCGGAGGAGGCCCCCAGTGTGATGAGGTCCCGCCGGTCCCTATCGTTGTCGATGTACCGGAGCCACCTCCACCTCCGCCGCCCCCCGGCGGCGCCGCCGCCGCCTTGCCCCAGCAGAGCGGCGATGCAGGTGCCGATATGAACCAGCGGGCCTTCCTTCCCCAGGTCCAGCCCCGCCGCCACCGCCCCGATGCTTCCGACGATCTGCAGCATCACCACCACCATGGAGGAGGAAGAAGATCGTCAGGGAAAGGAAGACCATCTCCGCCATGGAAGGGGGAGGCCTTACCTTGACGAAGAGCGTCGACGCGCCGTACATGTTGGGGGTGTCGACGCCATTAAGGTAAGCTTTGATCTCGGGGATGCCGGGGCCGGCGGCAGTGGGAGCGATCCCCACGCAGAGCACGGCGGCGATGGCCGTCAGGGCCAGGTTGATGCCGGTCAGGTAGGCCACTCCGGCGAGGTACCTGCAAGAGGAGGATATGAGAATTTTGTCTCCGCCGTGGGGGAGGGGGGGAACATTATGGGCGGCGCCCCCGCCGTTCCCACCTCTGCTGGTTGACAAGGCGCGTGACGGCGATCATCTTCGCGCCGGCGATGTTCTCGACGGCGAGGTTGATGAGGGAGGCGATGGCGCCGGTGAGGAGACCCACGAGGAAGGCCAGTGTCCACTTGAGGAAGACATACTGCAGGACCTCCACCCTGGATCTGCTCCGCCAGTCGTGCTGGAACAGATCGTTCTCGATGATCCTGCATCGGATGGAGAAGAAGAAGACGGAAGAGAGAAACCCTAAGCTCGCCGCAGAAGAGGGGAGAACAGGTGGTAGGTGGCCAGCGGATGTACTCGTAGTCCAGGCTCTCCATGCGCGAGACCTTCGATCCCACCATGGCCAGATGGCTGGTCGTCAGCGAGGGGCTCCTCTTCAGCAGAGGCTCCTCCAGGTCTCTCTCTCCTCCTTCCTCTCGCTCTGCGTCCATGCCGACGCCGGCTTCCGCCATTGGAAGAGCAGAGCCCGCCGGAGAGGGAGAGAGAGAACAAGCGAGAGATAGTGAAGAGTACGCTATCCAGATGGCGGGGCTTTAATACCTCTGCGGGGCCCCAGGGAGGAGGAACAATTGGAAGGTGTTCGCCGGCAGAAGAAGACACAGCCGGCGCCCCCATGGATGGCGGAGGAGGCCCCGCCGTCAGCCCTCCGGTGAGAAGAAGGGGTAGTAGAACGGAAGAAGAATATTCTGCCAGGACGAACGACGATAGATTAGAATAGGCCCACCAGATCCCTGGTTTCACCGTGGACGGCCTCGCTGACGCCATTGACGTCCTCCTCTCTCTCTCTCTCTCTCTCTATAACCCTGTGAAGAGGAAGGAGCAGGAAGGAAGACGGAGTTCCTTACTCAGCGGGCCGGCGAGCCCATGGCAGCAGATAGGAGGCTGACCCTGCCTGATTTACGGCCGGAGGGGAGCTGTCGCCGCCGTCTACGTCGGTGGCGGGGCCCGGCGCCGGTGGGGAGCGGAAGGGGCACCGCCCGATCGGCTGCTCAAGGGTCGCCCTCGCCGCATCTATCTGGACCACCATTATTGGGGGGAGCTCTGGTTTCTCCAAGCTCGGCGCTGGCTCACTCCATCGGAACGTGGGCTCTCAGCTGGCTCAACATTTCGTGCTGACGATTTGTCAACATTTCGAAGATGAAATATCTCCCACCTAAATCTCTCCTACTGTTGACGTGGGTTAACTAGATGGTGCTTTACGAATCCTTCCGGTTGCTACTCAGCTGAGGTTTCAGGGCCCAACTGGTGAAAACTCGAACTCGTCACCACTTTAGAGAGACAGACAGACGGAGAGATCAGGATACCTATAAACAGTAAAGTACATCCAAGTTGAACAGAAGAGAATCCAACACCGCCGCCCAAATCTAGAGAGAGAGATCAGGAAGCCCATAAATACCAATGTACAACCCAGTTGAACACAAGAAAATCCAACATATAGAGAGGGAGAGATGTTTTTGGGGGGCGTGGGGAGCAGGAGGGACGGCGGCGTTTAGGCTTTGATGGTGACGGTGCAGAGGCATATCCCCGAGGGCTTGAGCGGCGACGTGCGCCATTCATCGCCGGGGGCAGCGGCGGGGTCGTACACCAGCGTCTGGTACCCGGCGTCCTCCACGGAGAAGAGCAGCAGCTTCCTGTCGAGTACCCCGAACCGGAACCCCACCGCGGCGGCGCCGCCGGTCACCGGCACGGGCACCGACGCCCACGAGCTATCCGCGGCAGTGAACACCGAGAGCCGCCGCTGGTTCTTCCACTCCATGCAGAACAGCTGCCCCCCCAGGGCGGCGTGGGCGGTGACCATCACGCAGCCCTGCTTTATCTGCCCCCACGCCCCCTTCTCCGAGTCGTAGACGTCCACCGAGCGCGAGTTTCCGATGGTGAAGCTCGAGCGGCCGCCCATCACGTAGAGCTTCCCGGCGAAGCCGCAGGCGAAGGCCCCCCATCGCGGCCGGCGGAGGCTCTCGATCAGCCGCCACCGCCCCGCAGCCGGCTCGTAGACCTCCGCGCTGGAGAGGCTCTCCCCGCCCGCCCCGTAGCCGCCCACCGCGTATACGGCGCCGTTGAGCTCCGCGCAGGCGAAGTCAAACCGGGCGACGTTCATCCTCGCCAGCGCCGTCCACCTGCAACACCCTCCTCCGTTCAGAAAATCTCGACCGCCGTGAGAAGAGAAGAACCCAGAACCAGTCAGCAACTGAATCGGACCCTCTTCACCTCCTGTGATGCGATCAAGGTCCGGGTTCGAGCAGAAATTTGTAGGAAATGAGATGGGTGATTAATAAAAGCATCGAATTCAGGATTCGCAGGAACTGGACTGCTAAAAAGAGATGATCAGAACGAGCTTAGAACCAACCTGTTGAGGCGGGAATCGTATTGATAGACCTCCGAAGAGACAGATTTTGCGCCGTCGTCAGAGGAATGATGACCGGCCATGACCAGGAGATTCCCGCCGAGGACGACGACTCCAAAGCCGGCCTTCACGGGCCCGGGCATGGGCGGAAGCAGCATCTTGCCTTCTCCCAGCCTGCTGCTGCTGCTGCTGAGGACCTCCCAATGGCTTCCCTTCCCATCTGCGTCCCCAGTCAACACATAAAGCCATTCCTCGAGCTTCCCGGCCTCCTTTCTAATGGTGAGGAACTCCCTGCTCTGGACGTAGGCCCTCCACCGCTTTGAGACGGCGCCTAGAACAGGAAGATGGCACCGAGGGATGAGAGCAAGGCAGTATTTTCCCACGTCATCTGGAAGCCCAGGTATGACCGGATCGTCAAAGTCAACTGGGCCTTGTCGGGTTGACTGTGAGACAGTTTTTGGAAGCCTCAGCGGCCGCTCCTGGGTTGCAGGAGAGAAGCACATCTCTGCCTAACCAGCCGCCTGCTGAGAAGAAGCTCCTCTGATGATCCAAGAATGGTGTATGACCTCGAACAGTATGATTCCCTCAGAGTAATCTAAAGATGCTAGGAAGCTGAACACAGATTTTCATGGTATCCATCGCCTAAAGGGATCTTGAGAGACCAAGGCTCAAAGGATGCAGCCGGGTAGACAATCTGAGACACCAAACTAGATGTTCTGTTAGCTCCAGCTAGCTTTGATTCAAATGCCATGCCAGAGTTGCTTCTCTTGATGTTTCTTCCAATGGTACCAACTATCTTACTGTGAGAAGCTTTCTTCCCCTCAAACATCGCCCCAGAACCTGCACAGCGCGAGGAAATGGAACGAAATTCAGCAAACCAACAATCTGCTGCAGCATTTTTTCATGGAGATGGTTAAGAAAAATAACAAAGAAATATAGCATATGAATACATCATATGATTTACAGCAAGTAAAATATCGCCACATACATGAATACGTCGAGATCATACCGATCAAGGCCATATAGATCGGAGACGAGACTTAGCCTCCACAAGCGTCCATCTCGTTAGGCAAAATAAGCTGCACCAGATCAGAGTAAAGATCACAACTGGTCCATTTCAAGAACATCCACAGGTTTGGCAGATCATCGAGACGGGCAGTGACAGAAATGGCAGAAGCATAACAAATGATGAATGAACTTGTGATTCGGGAAAGAAACATCGGTTTATCTCCTTTTTGATCTTTATCATGTATCTGTCTGCTTCTATGCTAACAGCCTCTCTGAAAGTGAATGGAGGAGGCTTGGCATAGAAGAGGAAAATGGAAATAATTGGCTCATCAAGCTCACAATCATAGAGCGCCATCCACAAACGCACAGACATAAACGGACATACAGTCGGTAGAGAGAGAGAGAAGAGGACCTTCGACTGGATCTGACTTATTCGAAATTACATAGAAAACGCAAGCCACAAGTTCGATGTCTCGGCGATGTCTGGTCAAGTGGGGACGGAAACATTTATCTTCAACAGGACGAAGATATCAGAGGATGCATCTGAGAGCGTCAGAGAGGGAGAAAAAGAAAAAGAAGAATAGTTGATGCGGAGAGATTCAGAAATAGATGGGGGGACGAGAATCGGTATCACAACCGAAATATAATCCGTACCTTAGAAAGGGGATGCAGAGAGCTCCGCCTGCAGAGGATCCGCAGGGTCGGTGAGACGATGGAGCGCGTGCTGGGAACAAGGGAGATGGAGGAATTTTATAATGGCGGAGAAAAGGGAAGATGGGGAGGAAGATGGGGTGCGGGATGACCGGAGGTAGACGAAGAACAAGATAGAGCCGCCAGCCCACGACCACCTTGGCACTTGTGGTCAAAACGTTTTCCAACGAACGGAAGTATTTACGCCATTTACATAAAATAAGGTGGTTTTTCATATACAAAACAGAAAATTCCCGACTCTTTTGCAAATAAATCCCTAATGGTATAATAACATCCATGCTCGGTCTGCACTGCACAACATATTACATTTAAGTCCTCAGGAATAAAAGAGGGCTTTGCGTTAAAATTTATTGTCTCCTTTTGGTCGCAGAACATTATCCGATGTCCTGAATACTTCACATAACTCCCATAAGACAGGATATTTGCTCAATAACAGAAGGACGTCGGACTTTTTAGAAAATATTCTAAAAATTACATTTAAGTCCGCATGAAATGTGTTATTGTCTCTTTCCTATCTCCGCATCAAATTCCTATGTGAACGTCGACAGCATAGAGAAAATATTGGTAGGGTCAAAAATTTAACACATCACTAAAATAGGATTTTTTGTTAAAAAATCCTAATCTCCTTGGAACCCACGCTCTGTGTCACGTTGCTCCTGCTTACGTGGACAAACGCCATTCAGAAGGGACAGAAAGTAGGGTTCTTAAAATCACTACGAAACTATAATTCATATTGTTACCATTAAACTTTTTAATACAGAAAATGTCCTAAAAAGCTGGGCAATCGCGCCTTATCAGAGGATATTTGTACAATTTTATCATCTAAAAGTATGGTTTAGACAATGTACGACCTTTTAGTAAATAAATAAATATAAATGATGGAGACACGTCATTCGGACGCTCGATATCGATGGGTCGGTGGCTGGCAGGCGCCATCAGCACGTGGTTCGGCGGAATCGAACGGTCCTAAGTGCTGGCCCATTCGGTAGACCTGAAATTTCGGGGGGCTGGCAATGTCGGAGGAATTGGTCATATTTGTCCCTCATTATCAACTTTTATAGCACATATATCCTAAACCGAGTAGTTAAATACAAAATATGAAAGGATAGTTCCATGGACGTTGGCGGGAAGGAGACGAGAGATTTGACGGTTCGAATGGATCACACGATCGGGGCCACACGATTGTAAAGGTCCATTGATTGTGCGGTCTGAGATCCCGTAAAAAGGAGCCTTTGTGCGAAGGATGGATGACATGGGCCGTCGTATATCTTCGTCGGGCCCATTTGTAGGGGATGAGATCGAGAGAGAGATGACAAAGATGTATGTATGGCCTTTCTTCTCCCACTAATCGATGATCACTTCTGCCCAAATAAAGAAAGTTATCCGATGATATCATCCTCTTTCCAACGTGAGGAAAGCTCTTCATACGAGAGAGAGAGAGAGAGAAAGGGGGAGGGAAGGAAAGATGGGTACCAGACAAGATTGCCTGCGACGAGAGCAGAGCGCAACCCAGGAAAAGTAATGGGCTGCCTTCTCATACACGTTAGAGAAAGAAAGAGAGAGGGAGAGAGACCCTTCCTGTGCGATGGCGATATCCCCCCCCCCCCATTCCGTCTCTTGTCTCTATCTTCTATGGCCACCCCCCTCCGCCCCAATAAATTCTCTCTCTCTCTCACGCTCCATCTCTCTCTCTCTCTTGCTTTCCATCCCTCTCTCTCTCTTGCTCTCCATCTCTCTCTCTCTTGCTCTCTCTCTCGCTCTCCATCTCTCGCTCTCCACGTCGCATGGTTGCATGCCAAAATGTGGGGCCTGGGGATTCAAAGGAATCCGCCCCGAAACTCACCTCATCTTCAGGCCCGACCCGTTTGAGGGTCCCAGGGCACGTGTACACAAAGTTATTCCCTTTTTTTGAAATAATTCCCACCTCATTAATTTGCAATATGACAAGATGAGTGGTATTCCAATGATTTTGACCCTTTTGAATAGGAGGGTTGACTTTGAAAGATGTCACACATTTCTATGGTATTCCGATGATTATTACTCAAAAAGGAGTGAAGCAATTTATTTTTCTTCTAGTTGTTGACTAAATGCCCTTTCTACGAGTCTTAGTCAACACAAGAGTCAGCTCACCTTGTTCTGGCCAAACTTAGTCATAATTTAGGATCGTTTCTAATCAATCTCAATAGATAAATTGACCCATCCACTTGAATCCTTCTCGATCCTCTTACAACAGCAACCCATTATAACATTTATTGATTCGTAGACCTTGGCTAATCTTCCCAGATTCACGGCTCTAGTAGGTCAACGCTCAATAGTGGCTTGCTACCATACAGATATCCGACTCTATCGCTGACGCCTGATCTGGGATTTCGGCTTCACTTATTCGCTGTAGGAAGCATCAAACTGAATTCTCCTGACGGAGTAGGGAGAGGGAGAGGGAGAGGTAGAAGGAAGGGGGGTGAAACTCAGCTGGCCAGCGTGGTGGGGGAGCAGCCCTCGTGGACACATGCGAGGACGTCTCTGTAGTCCCTGGAGATGGTGAAGGAGTCGTACACCTTGCCGTTGCTGCTCTTCTTGTACTCGAACAGAAGGGAGGAGTGGTTGAAGGCGGTCAACTTCACGAAGCCGAAGTCATAGTCCTTGAAGAGGCTCCAGCTGGTCTGGATGGTGCTGAAGGTCGACAGGTGGCTACCACCGCCGCCGACGACAACGTGGATCGTCCCGTTGACCACCCCCGAGTAGTGGGACTTCTCCTCGTTCACGCACTGGTTCTGCAGGATAATGAGGGGGATGGAGCTAGCGGTCAAGAACTAAACAACGCTATCAAATCACGGGGTGCATGAAGCTACTGATCAAAAACTTTCGTTGACTTTTTGAAAATACGGCAGAACAGTTTGGAAAGTTTGAATCGGAAAAAATATTTCATATTTCATATTTTATATTGGCACAAGAACAAGAATATGGGTCTGATGGTGGCTGATTGGCATGCGAAGCAGTAAGATTCGCAATCTTATCACATCCACCAAATCTCAAGCGGATGTTCATCACTTTCAGTTTTAGGGTAGGAAAATATTTCTGAATGGCACAGCAACAGCAAGAACATGAGGAAGATCTTTGATGATTTTCATGCAAAAGCAATGAAAGCTCCCAATCCCATCATAAATTGCATTCGGCTGACCTCAAGAGGGATGCCAGAATTCGTATTCTAGATTTACATTCGGGTAAAATCTTAGACTCGGAAAATATAATTCAATGCAAGCAGAGAAATTTGCCCATCACCAAAGTTTTTATTCGGCAAGTCCTGATTTCCAGAAGCAACCATCTTGGAATTTCTACGATGTTCATCGGTCATTGAATAGCGTAAGAAGCAATCGTTGAGCTTCCGTGATCTTAGTCAATATAAAAAATTATCTTAGTGCCCGTGTACACAAATTTTACATGGTCTAATCTCATGAGGTGCCAATTGAAAAAAATAATGGATAAAAGTCAACGTGGTGATTTGAATAATTACAGTTCATGCATACCTGGTAGATTGGACAAGTCCTCTCGTAGTTGTGAACGTGACCATAAAATGCAATGTCCACCTTGTACTTCTGCCAGAGCTTCTGCAGGCTATCCCTTCCCATGGGCTCCGAAAGGCTACCTTCTCGAGCATACCAGTAATCAGATGAATACCCAAGAACACGATGGGCAGCGAATATCAACCACGGTTGTTTCTGCCTGTCGACTGTCGAAAGACAGTGCTCTATGAATTTGTACTGTTCGGAACCCTCCCTCCAATCATGCTCAGTGTCGGCAATGCAGAAGCGGAACATACCATATTCTGTAGCATACCTGATAGGACATTACCATAGATTATTCTCAATTTCTGATCGCAAGGTTGATTGTAGTTTGTAATTTTTTTCAAAACTACCCTTGTGTAAATATATATGTATATATATATATATATAGATAATTTATTTCTTATTAAGATTATCATATACAAAGTGTATATAAGTAAATAATGAATTTACCAGAAATTGGCTCTGTTTTCTGCAGGAACATAGAACATGGTCTCTGCCAGCACCCCGCATTCCCCACCCGAATCCATCGTATCATAGAAGGATCCTGACCCTGGCCAGTCTCGCTCGTGATTTCCACTGCAGCGCAGCAAGATGACAAGAGTGAAAGAAACCCAAAGAAAAACCCTACAAGTTCATCTTCAATGGCGTTTATTAGCTTTAACACAGTGAAGGATCAGACAGACCTGGCAGTCATATAAGGCACGGTCGACGCAATGGGTTCCACCTGTGATGTGAATTGGTCCCACTGTGAGAGGTACCCATTTGCATAAGACATGTCTCCTATGTGGAAAACTATGTCGAAATTTTTCAAGTCCTTAATAAGCTGATCAGTGGTGTTCAGGGAGCCTGGTTGATAGTTGCTGTACTCGTTAGAACCGTCGCGTTCGGCCTGAGGAAGAACATCATCACGTTTTATCTACCATTTGAAAGAATGAGCTGAGAAATGTCACCAGATTAATATAAACAAAAAAAATTCATCAAAGGAGTAAAGTCTCGCCTTTCCCATGTCACCAAATATGATGACTCGCTGCAAGGAATCTTGCCCCGGGTAAGGCGATGCCTTGAAAGAATATTCCTTGCTCCAGACATAGGATCCATCAAAAGTTTGATGTCCAAGCTTGTAGGTATACCTGTTCCACTTAAGTAGGTTAGGATTGTGTCTAAATACTTTATGCGTTGTACTGCCAAAAATAGCAATCTTTGATCTTCCATACACTTTGTTGGGCCAGAGGTCTTTCAAGAAGCTTGTGTGTATGAAACCTGGGTCTCTCCATCCAACGGTGCGTGCTGGTGCGCCTGCAAATGAGAAATTACAATTGGCTACTTACGGATCGGCTGAGCTTGATAAAAAAAAACATAAATTTCAAGTAGTTCTTCATACCATAAGACGCAGATTCAATAAAGTGTCCGCCTCATTTCTATTGTGCATCACCGTCTATATAGTTTCATGATTTACAGACAGACACAAGGCCCAAATAAAATTTCGCTGCATGCTGATAGTGATCGGGTTCATCAAAGATTGAGCTTATTTATGGGTAGTAGCCCACCAATAAATGGTGTGAAATTTAAAATAAAATATTTAAAGGATCCTAGGCTTGTAAAATCTGAAGTTTACCATCATGAATGACGCTCAGAGAAGCATTCGTCATTTTCAAAGTTTGGTAGATCATGACTAAAAAAATTAATCGAGGGGGAAGTACATATAGCTGGACGTTGGCCACTCATTCTTGAAAATTATAATAACTAGATGGATTTTGTCCATTCTGATGTAATAAATGAACGAATTGGATTTCTACATAACATATGTAGAAGCTGCTCTAAAATTTTAATTGAAACAAGATTCATGATATGGTGTTAGACAAACTCAGTACGATAAGTTTTGAGTCACAAATTAGCATTTATAAATAGAGTTATGAGTTTTAATATAAGGAAAGTTAGACTCGGTGGGGCAAACGTGAGGGAATTCAACAGATTTTACTTTTATATCTGAAGAAAATAAATATTTATACTTTTCATGATAAGAAGAATCATGACTTGTTCATGTACAGAAATTTGGTTGCAAAGAAAAAGTTATCCAATGCTCCTAACCATCCCAATACGAGCTAAATGATGATGCATACCGCACATGCTGCTACGTTTGAATGTCAATGTTCCAGCTGGTGAACGGGTTTGAGGTTCTCCTTTTGGTCCCCATTCAACAAAAGGAATTGCTTCATTTATGTCATAACCACTCGTCCATGTGACGGTCATCTGCCAGAAAAAAACTGAATTCAGAAATGTGGGCATGATCAGAGACAAGTCATGCTTTTACCCTTCACATCCTGATTTCTGATAATCAATTTAACACAGAACGATTTTTCATAGAATGGAATGGTTAAACAGGATTCCCATCCTCATCCCCTATTATTGATGTATAAGAATGATGATGAACCTAAATGCTATGGAGTCTACAAGAGCGTACTTAGTGGAAATATTTAAGGAAATAAACCATACAAAAAAATATAAATTCATTAGAAAGATAACCCTCCAGATAAATTATCAGACAGCTGATGGACTCAACTATTGCCTGGGGTTGCCTTCTCCTAGACTCCTATATACTTCATGTTTCCCCTCTGAATTTACTTCACTTTCACCGAACGCTTTGGTTCAGAATAGGCCCAAGTCTAACTTCAAGGGAAAAAAAGCTCAAAAAGGCCTCTAGTGCTATAGAGTGAGATGTTAATCGATAGATATTTACCCATTAGAAGGAGGGATACCATAGTTCACAGAAATGAGCAAAGTCAATTGTAGTGCTACAATATAGTACTTTGTATCAAACTAAATCTATGAAGAAAATCACGCAAAAAAGTGCAGAGCAAAGGCGTGATAAAGAGGAAGAAGATATGAATTGGCTTACTTCGTCCCATAACTTTCCTTGAGCAAGACGTGGATATACAGGCGCCTTTGGGTTTGCGAATTTGACGACACTTGATACTGCGACAAGATTCGGCTGCTCATCCAAACCAATGTATCAGTTTAGATGGAACACATGAAGATAAAACGACGGGCCGTTTCCAATTCAGAGAAGGGGTAAAGAGAAGGCTAAATTTCCACTGAAACGTATAAAATGGATCAGACATTTGAGAGATGAATACATACATTAGAAAGGCCTCCGGAAAACAATGCAAAAGCGAAGTTTTCTCTCTGGTTGATTAGTTGAAGCTTCAGATAACTTTTCCCCGTCTTCAGGTAGTTTGGGTTGGAATAATTTGCAAATTGGTACTGAAACGCGAAACATCAGGCCTCGTATTAGAGTCACAAGACGCATATTTCATGAAAATAACGCTCCATTTTCAGTCTATTTCGCATCAAAAGAGAACGTGCAAAATTAGGAGGATACTGAACCTTAATTGGTGCCGAGCAAATATGAGGTGCCTCCTCCCATGAATTTTCTTGTTGAGCAGAACAATCGGATGAGCTATCAGAAGGAGCAGAAAATTTGTAAAACAATCCCTCCACAGACAAGGTGGTGAACTCTCCCCAGAACTTCAGAAAGAATTCGAGTAAAACCAACCCACGGAACAGGAAAAATCTTCCGGAGAGAGCAAGAGAGATTACTTGAAGTTCCCTGGAGAGAATACTCCAACCCAGTCATTACTGGCTGGATTTGGGGACCAGAGCTCCACTGTTACCCATTCGATATTTTCCCCCTGCAATCAAGTTCACTTTAAACGCTTCAACTCGCTCAAAGGGCCACAGGTTTAGGAACAAGTTATTTAGAGAAGTACCCGCAGACCGAGGAGACGAGGAGAAGCCTTAACGTAGGCGGAGGGGTCCAGAGCCAACGACACCTTGTGCATGGCAATCTGCGACAGGGGATGAACATCTGGAGAACGCTGATAGACGGGGATGCCTGAGGCGGAGGCCGCTGACAGCGGCGCCGATAGGAACTGCAGCAGCAGCAGCGGAAGCAGCACACGCAAAGACGTAAAAGTAGTAGCAGAAGAAGATGATGCTCGCCTCGTCATCACCATATCAAATATCCAGCGACGAGACTGAGGTGAACCAGAGAGGCTACATAAACGTCCAGATGAGGAACCTACTACGGAACCAGACATTCCTTCCCTCTTCTTAAATATCTCTTTCTCTCTCTCCCTCTCTATATATAGAGATTTCTCTCTCTCTATCTCTCTCTCTTTCTTCCTTCTCGGAGTATAGATACGTAGAGACGGCTGGCCCACTCTACCGGGTACGGCTGACCACGGAAGGCCTGATTACTAGTCCACGTCGGCGAAACAGCGCCAGCACGTTTTACGTGTTCTCGGATCCCTCCGCTGACACTATGAAACAATGACCTGAAACCGAGGTCGGGATTACTCCTGACGGGCCCGGCCCGACGAGCGCCGTTTAGAGTGTCGGTGCAGGTCGGGCCGGGCCCCACATTACTGGATCTGTCAGGTCTAATCGATAGCCGGGCCTGGCCCGCTTTATATTATAATGGTAATAATATGAATAACCTTTTTTAATTATATAACTTTAAAATACTTGATGGCTGCCACGGAGGAAACAAAAAGCGCGGGGAAATTGTTGGCAGAACAGGAGCCAGGGTGTACAAGGGTGTATTGGTCATTTCCTGCTGAGATGAGTCGCTCGTTCTGTTGCTGAGTCGTCCACTGGAGGCAACCATGCTGATGCCTGTATAAATAGAAGCACCGGTTGCCGCTCAAAATATTTTCGAATCTGTCTGCTAATCCTGTGTTCTTGATCGTCGAGGGTCCAAAGGGAGTGAGAGTCTCCGCTTCCAGGAACCGACCGACATGGTGAGTAGCTAAAATCTCGCTCTGTCTCTCTGTGTCTATTTATGTATCTCTGTCTCAATCTATCTCTATAACTATCTATCTCGCAACTTGTCTCCTTTATTGCCCTTCAATTTTGGTTAATTTTAGTCGTACTGCAGGTTGTTGCACAGAGATTGAAAGAAGCAGAGATCACCGAGCAAGATTCTCTGCTCCTGGTAACACCTTCCTGCTCCTCATTCAAGTAATTTTAGTTTACTCAGGAATTCCATGGTTCGTTTACGTCTCTACGTTTTTGTCTCTCTGATCGGCTCTCATCCCATGGGAACTTCACATGGTGATCTGCTCATTTGAAGCACCCTGCTGTAGCATCTAAATCTATATTAAGACTGCTCACTTGGTTCTGATATAAGACCAACTCAGCATTCTCTCAGACATGAGTGAGCACATGTTTAAAGCATGTGAACCTGTCTGATGAGCTCCTATTTGCCTCAAAACTTCTGTTCTTCATTCAAAATCCATCTTCAGCACTCAGAAAAACACCCCTATCTCTGTGTGTCTCACTATCTATGTACGTCACTGCCTTCATGCATTCTTCCCTGTCTCCCTCATTCGGCGAATCAGACTAGGAATCTTCTTCGGATAGCGATCTTCAACATCAGTTACATCAGAGGTCTCTTCCCGGAGAAATACTTCAATGACAAGTCGGTTCCTGCGCTCGGTGAGGCAATTCTCTCTCCGTTGAACATGATTATTAACATTCAATATTACCTCTGGGAAGAAATCATTCATGACCACATCTTCGTTTCCTGCACTAGAGATGAAAATTAAGAAGTTGATGCCCATGGACACTGAATCGCGTAGACTTATTGACTGGATGGAAAAAGGTTTTCGTCTTTTGACTGCTCTCACTTGCTTCAATCCTTTTCCGTTAGAGATAATGTTTTACGGTTTTTTAATTCGAAGTTTAAATTCAGGTGTTTACGACGCGTTACAGAAGAAGTATCTGAAGACGCTTTTGTTTTGCATCTGCGAAAACATCGAGGGACCGATGATTGAGGAATATTCTTGTAAGTCTCGGAATGCCATTTACATGTAATAATGAAGATAATCCAATGGGCGACGATTTGACGAATCATTCTCCTATATGTGTTCTTTCGTTGTTCTCAATTTTGTACTGATGGTAGTCCATCGCCAAAATTATTATTTGGCTTCTTGTTCCTTCGCACTTTTTTCCCATCGCGATTTCACAATCTAGTTCCGAACATAGGGACCTTATGATTCAATGATTGTTATCTTTAGAAATTTTGGACTGTTTCTAGGCTTATGACGTACTCGAACCACGGAGGTTTCTCAATGTACCTCAATAGATGAAGAAAATCACTTACATCCTCCTTCTTGTCTCTTTGTTCAGTGCCCTACGAGGCATTAAGATGTTTTGATGCTATTCTTTGTTGCAGTTTCTTTCAGCTACTCTAGTTCAGACACCGAAGAGGTATCAATGAATGTAACTCGATTAGGGAACAAGAAGCAGGGGATGACATTTAAATCAAATTCCATTGAGATCACTCCAGATCAAATGAGGCATTATCTCTTTTTCTTTGATCATCTATCCAGTATCGGTTTCTTACTCCTTTATTCTACTGCCTCAGAATGTCGTGTGTATTTTACTCGAGAGCAGAGATAGCTGCCATAGTTCTGATGGGGAAAAATTCATATCGCAGGAGTTCTGCCTGCAAGATGGTGCGGACACTAGTTCAGCTAATGCGGACTCTGGATCAGATGCCCGATGAGGTAATATATGATTCCTTGGAAATAATCATTTAACCGAGATGCCTTTTGGTTTGGGACTAAAACAATCTACCTCATATCCCTCTTTCTCTTCAGCGTACCATCCTGATGAAACTTTTTTACTACGATGATGTTACGGTATGAGAAAAACTTTCATTTCTTTGAGATTTTTATTTAAAGTAGAAATCTTTGAGAAAAACTTTCTATTAGATTACGAAGCGTTTACATTTTCGTTTTGACTCATCTTTTTCATGCACAAAATACAGTTGGACATTTGCTAGATAGCAGATATTTTCCGTGAAGGCAATGATTGTCTGTGATTCTTGAAGACCAAAAAAAAAATGAGCTATTAATCGAACCTTTTAGAATATGTTTCTGGCTCTTCCTGCCGATTTACACTTTTTCAAGAATCATAACAGTGCTTGATAATTTTAACTTAATTTCTGTTAATTTATTTTTAATAAATATTATTTCATGGTCCCCCAAATACGTTGTCAAAACTTCTCGCATGAGGTAAATGCACAGTTTCTTACGTAGCTATAGTGACTCTCAGCCAGAAGACTATGAGCCCCCATTCTTCAGATGCTGCTCTGAGAACGAAGCCAATAATTTGTGGAGAAAAACTCCTTTGAAAATGGAGATTGGAAATGTCAATAGCAAGCATGTTGTGTTGGCTCTAAAGGTGAGCTGTAGTAGCGACGAGTTATATTCTTTCGTCATACTGAATGAGTCTAAGGAAGTGTACGTTGCAGGTCAAGAGCATCCTTGATCCGTGTGAAGATGAGAACAACGATATTGCAGACGATGAAGAAGAAAGCATGGGAGCCTGTTCAGGACACGAAGACGGGTCATCATCTTCCGATGGCGAGGCAAGACATCCCCTCAAGAAAATAAAATTGTTTGTCGGAATGCGTAGATAAATGGTTTTGAGAAAAGATAAAATATTAAAAAATCTAGACAGAATCTGTTGCCATTGTATGGTTTTTTTTCATTATTTTATCTATAAATATTCCCTTTTGTTTTGCCGAACGCGGACATAGACAAGGTTGGTAACTTCTTACCTTATTTCTCCCATCTTGCAGGACCAATACATTGTGGCCCCTAATGGTAGACTTTCAACTTTATGGTTGGTTTTGGTGATGTAGCGCTGTATTGAGTAATGCTGAGACTGGTTTAGCAGGTGAAAAGCGTCCATGTGAAGATACCCCAGCGGTTCAGGGAGGTTAGCTTCTATGTTCCACAGAACTCACGTTCTAACATTCGACAGAAAATGATAAACTAATGCCATTCTGATTATGACCTCACAAAACGGTGTGAATAGTACGAAACTGCGGTATTTAATTTTGGTTCTTATTTGTTTCAAATTCCTTTGTTTTGAAAATCCTGTCTTGCAGATGACACTCAAGATGTTGACCACGAGGAGCAAAGCACGGCACGGATAAGGGAATGGATTACCTCCAGACACGTGGACACTGTGGAACTTTCTGAAATTCTTTCAAACTTTTCCGACATATCGCTGGTGATTACTAGCTAAATCTCAGCTAACAAGTCGTTCACTTATCCGTAAAGTAGCCGATTGAATTATGCTTTTGATTATGCAAGATATCTTGTGAGATTCTTCCATGTACCAGAATAATTCACACGCTTCCTTGATTCCCAGAAATATAACCTCGCTTTCTAGTCTTCTGATGGTTTTATCTATGCTTTGCAGGCATTGACCGAGGGTACTAACTAACAAGTCCACTACCACCGGCATCAATAAAGATATACGAGATAATTTCGTTGAACTTCTTTAGTTACCGTTTTCTTACACAGTTCTGTTTTTCCAGAAATTTTAGACAAACTACTGATAGAAGGATTGCTATCAAAATCCGGTAAAGATAGATACACCATAAACAGAGGGAAGGTAGCAGAATTGCTCTCGTACTCCGGATTTTCTCTAGTACTGCTTCTTATCAATCGCCTTCGCTGAAGAAAATAGCAACTGGCAGGATCTCCAAGAAGACATCCCCAAGGTCAAGGAAGAGGTTGACATGCCGGACGTTCCTCCAACTGAGAAACAACTCAGGGAAGATCACATGTACATGAAGGTGAGTGAGCTAGGCAATTTGACACCTCTGGCTCTGTGGCCTCCATTGCCAACGGACATCTGATTCGCTGCAGGCATTATATTACGCTCTTCCGATGGAGTACGTGTCGGTATCAAAGCTTCAGAACAAGCTAGACGGAGAAGCCAACCAGAACGCGGTGAGGAAGCTGATTGACAGAATGGCCGAGGATGGGTTTATCCAGAATACAGCCAACAAACGACTAGGTAGAGTCGCATACTAGGAAGACTATCCGCTTTATTTTGTGATGCCTAATCTTTTTATATTTTGCAAAAACACTTGTTCGTGATATGTGAACGGAGAGGACGGTTCACGATATTCTGCAGGCAGGCGCGTCATTCATTCTGAGTCGACGAACAGGAAGCTCGTCGAGGTCCGGAAAGCCCTCGAGAGAAATAACGGGGTAACATTCTATCCGATTTATCATAAAGCTTTTTTTATTTAAATCCTACAATCGCGCACCCCATTTGTTTGATTCGTCATCGGCTCGTGGGTTCGATAGGGAGTAGAGAACAGAGTTCGCCACCCCTTTGATTTCAACAGCCTCGAGTTCCCACCAGACGGTACGTTATCCCCCCCCCCCCCCCTGGTTCATGGCCCGAGTAGTCAACGGTAAAATGACTATTTTGGTAATAAAAATTACTCTCAAGGACTTGGTATTCCTCGGCACTGCTAGGCTGTAACCCGAAGGATGGATCAACCTGTGCCGCGCTCCACTCCATGGGTTCCGAGCTCACCCGCACTAGAGGACGATCGGACACGCTTCAAAATGGTTCGATTCGCACCGGGCTATCAACTCTGGGGAGGCCGCAGGAGCAGGGGGGCACTCCCATCAGCAAGCTAGAGGTCAATACAGTTCAAACGTTGACAGTTACTAGTGCTATTCTCTTATCTAACGGAATGGCGCCTGGCGCAGCCAATTCCTACCATGGAGAGCGGCACTGCCGGGAGAGAGAACGGGAGACCGAGTTGCCGCTTCGGCCGCGAAGCTGACGGAACCCTCCGCAGCCACTCCACGCAGGATAAGAGGATCCGGAAGGCGAGCACAGTACGTTCTCTACAACAGGCATCTCTCTTAAGTAGCATTCTACTGAATCATTTCAATCATTATACTCGATTCTTACCATCTTCGCAAAAAAAAAAAGAAGAGGTGGCGGAAGATGGTCTCCAGATAGACAGCTACAGTACAGAGTTTGTCTTCATTCTTGTGATGCTCTGCAGGTAAAGGAGCCTATACGTCAGTACGTGAAGCGCCAGAGGTCCCAGGCAGAGGGAGAGCTAGCGATGTCCCACAACACGCAGAACTGAACTGGGGCGGTTGGAAGATTCCTTTCCAAAATAAATTGCTAGGCCTACTGCTTCTTCTTGTGGTATTGACGAGGGAACGGTCTCTTCAGAAATCGGAAAGACAAATCGACGCCTTGAGATTTCAAAATGGGAAGATAATACTCAAACCTCCTAATGCAATTTCAGGCTGGGTTCTCGCTGGGCCGGCTGGTCCGGCCCAGACTAGCCGGCCTGTTAACAGGAGATATTTCCACGCCATCTGAGGGCGAAAGCGGCCCCCGCCTTCCCAAAAGATGACCCCGCCGCTCCCGCCAAAGTTTAAAATTCGACTTACTGAGAATCCCCTCCCTCCGCCCCCCGGGAAGATTTGGCCGCAGCAGGAAAACTGGTGGGAAGTCAAAAAAAATCAAAATCCTCCCTCCCACGCTATAAATCCCCCCATCCTTCTCCTGGAAGCTACGTCTATCTCGGCCCCCTTTTCTCTCTGCTATAAATCCCCCCATCCCCTTCCCCTGAAAGTAGTATCCATCCAAACGACCCCCTTCCCTCTCTCTCTCTCTCTCCACAGCACCTCTATCGATCCATCTCCTTCCAGAGCGAGCGAAGATGCCATCGATGCCAGAGGAGCCCCTGCTGGCGCCGAACCCCGACCGGTTCTGCATGTTCCCGATCAAGTACCCGCAGATCTGGGAGATGTACAAGAAGGCGGAGGCGTCCTTCTGGACGGCGGAGGAGGTAGACCTCTCCCACGACATGCGGCACTGGGATCACGACCTCACTGACGACGAGCGCCACTTCATCACCCACGTCCTCGCCTTCTTCGCGGCCTCCGACGGCATCGTCCTCGAGAACCTGGCCGGCCGCTTCATGAAGGAGGTCCAGGTCGCCGAAGCCCGCGCCTTCTACGGCTTCCAGATCGCCATCGAGAACATCCACTCCGAGATGTACAGCCTCCTCCTGGAGACCTACATCAAGGACTCGGACGCCAAATCGCGCCTCTTCCGCGCCGTGGATACCATCCCGTGCGTGGCCCGCAAGGCCGACTGGGCCCTCCGCTGGATCGACTCCTCCGATTCCTTCGCCGAGCGCCTCGTCGCCTTCGCCTGCGTCGAGGGCATCTTCTTCTCCGGCAGCTTCTGCGCCATCTTCTGGCTCAAGAAGCGCGGCCTCATGCCCGGCCTCACCTTCTCCAACGAGCTCATCTCCCGCGACGAGGGCCTCCACTGCGATTTCGCCTGCCTCCTCTACTCCCTCCTCCGCGTCAGGCTCCCCGACGAACGCCTCCGCTCCATCGTCGCCGACGCCGTCGCCATCGAGCGGGACTTCGTCTGCGACGCCCTCCCCTGCGCCCTCGTCGGCATGAACCAGGCCCTCATGGCGCAGTACATCGAGTTCGTCGCCGACCGCCTCCTTCTCGCCCTCGGGCACCCCAAGATCTACCACGCCGCTAACCCCTTCGACTGGATGGAGCTCATCTCCCTCCAGGGCAAGACCAACTTCTTCGAGAAACGCGTTGGCGAGTACCAGAAGGCCTCCGTCATGTCCAGTCTCAACGGCGGCGACGGCGGCCTCCACGTCTTCAAGCTCGACGAAGACTTCTGAATCCCCCCCCCCCCCACCCCCATCTTACCCCGGGTACTCCTTCCTCTGCACGCTTCCTCTTTTTTTAATTTTCTTCTTCTAATAAACTGTAATATATTCTGATATTTATGGATTTTTGCTGACTTTTAACGGTTAAACCCCTAAGGGTCAGCCCTCTTGGTCAGCGTTGCCTAAATAAATTGGTATACAGAAGGCCCGGTTTGAGAGCAATGTTTCCCAGTATCTTTTTACTATTTTCCTTGTATTTGGGTATATAAATAATTATAAAATGCCTTTTATGCGGTCGTTATGTCTTCTTTTTATTGAGGCTCTGTTCATCCGCTCTCGGCCCCGGAGGAAGAGGGCACGGAAGCGTGGATTGAGCAATTTGTCTACAGGGGCATTTTTACTATTTTAGTTGCATCTGGGTATATAAATAATGATAAAATACGAAAGCCTCAGTTTGTGGGCTTTGGGATCAGAAATTGGTTCCCATGGGCATTTGTACTATTTTAATTAAAACTTGGTATATATGTAATTATAAAATGCCTTTTAGGAGGTCGTCTTTTTTTTTTTTGTGGCCTCCTTCATCCGTTCGGGCTCCTCTGGTTGGAGGTCTCAACGTCGAGCGTCTCTGCTTCGTTCTCGCTGCAGGAATCGGGGATGCTGTCGAGGGACCAGCTCATCCACCTCTTTGACCGCTTCGCCTTTCTTACTTCTCAGGCGGGTGAGTCTCGCGCTCACTTCTTCAGCCTCTCCGAAGCGTCCCACTGTTCCTTTTACCATCACGGTGAAGACCTGCCTTGTTTGTTTCAGATGTAAAGAGGCGGATCAAGCAAGCTGTGAATGACAATCAGGTAGAATACTCGGAAAAGATCCTTGAATGTCTGATCGGTTGTATTCCTGCCCAAGATCTGACGCAATGCCTAATCACTCTTTGTGGTTAAGGCTACTCTTTTGGCACTCTGGTATTGCCGTGCAATATCTCTAGGGACCGAGGACAAACGGAAGTGGCCATCGTGAGCTCGATTATTTTACTTGCTTCTGTGTGCGAATATGTCGACGCTATTCAAAATTTCGTATCGTTATGCGGAGTTTTTCCTCCTCGGCTTACGGTTGAATGGCACGACGCGATTCCATTCTGGGAATATCCCTATCCTTTGTCAGCTGTATGTTTAATTATCGTATTCTAATAATTCAGGGAAATGGACAATTTATTTTGGGTGTAACCTCATCCTCAAAGGCTAAACTCTTAAGAAGTCACATATGGGAGAAGAAATGAAATGAAACAGAGTTCCACTTTGCTATAATTACCAGGAGATGCAATCTCACACTAGGAGAGGTAATCAATTGAACTTTCCTGTGCGCAGGAGGCAGTTGCTGTGACTACCACCATCCAAGAGGAAATATTTACGGAAATGGGAATCGGTAGGCCACAGTGTTAAATGTGATTTCTATTTGTATTCCTCCGGTTGGTGCTTCATTTCTTTCATGCAGAAAATTCCGTTCGAAACTACCTGAACTCTGGAACTTTCGTTATGAACCTCTGAAATTTCACGCCTATGACAGTTAAAACCAAGGTCTGCTTACTCAGTCTTGATTTGCGCAAGGATTTCTTGATCAGTTCAACCCCGGGCCTTATATGGCTCGTACCATAGGTTTTGATGTGCACCATATTTGTCTGACTTGCATGTGACTCATGCCATAATGTGCTGTTTCTGTGAACTAACCCGAGCAGATTCATGACGGTTCGTAAGGTTTTGTGCAATTCTTTTAAGACAGAATGCTCTCAACCATTCGTGAGATTTTTCCAAGATTGCAAAGTTTAGAAGTTTAGTTCGGCCTTCATTCTCATTAAGATTGTGTGGACCTGGATTAAACGAGGAATATTTTTCGAGAAATGATGGTCCTGTGAAGGGTTTGCGCATTAAATGTGAAGTCTAGTCATTCATCCCTTTAGGAATCTAAGAATGGAAAAATGAACAAGGGTGTAGAAATCATTGCCAAGTCCACATTCACTGCTATCGAGTCAAGCTAGAATCTAAGATATTGTTTTTCTTGCTTGGTGAATCTACATTGAAACAGTATCTTACATAGTCTTTGGGAATCCACTTCTATTTGGATCCATCAGAAACATGTTCACGAAATTTATTTTGATGACAGTTTCCATGATAATGCCATAGTGAAAGCCTTTTCCTTGTTCATTTTGCTAGAAAGCTATAGCCTTTAATCTACTAAGTCCACAGAGTAGTAAGTGAAGGACAATTACACTGCCACAAGGTCGTCCGTTTTTCAAGTGAATAGAATATAAAGGACATTTAATTGATCTCTCAGAAGTCTCTCTAGATCAGCTTTTATTGGAATCAATATTAAAATGAAGTTTTTTAGAAATGTTAATACTCCTTATACCTGAATGTTGGTCATCATTTTAAATATGTTTTAATACAGAAACATCATAGTGAACCCACATATATTTTATTTACGATTCAGCTTGTAAATACCCATCATCAATGTTCATTGAACTTTATTACACGTCAATGAGAATAATTTGGATCCCCCTTCTGTGATTATTCAGGCACTACCCGTTTAAGCGTCATAATTCTCAAGGCATTGCAAGAAAAACAACATATGTGCCAGTTGAACAAAAAGTTGTGGATACAGTTGTCTTTAAAATCTTTGTATGCCCGCATCTGTGGAAATTTTACTCGTGAGGAATAAATAGTTCATCTCAGGTTTAGCATGATGCTTCAGGTAGGGAGTAGCAACGGGAATCTATTGATGGAAGCCCAGGGTGTCCACGTTTTGGAAGGTCTTCTGAGTTACCTTGATTTATCTTGGCCTCTCCCTGGTCATGAGTTCCATGACTGTTTTTTCTCTCCTTTTATCGGGAGTGGTGGATTTGTTTGAATTGAGTTTCTAGTGAAGAAGAAGAGAAATGGGAAGCTCGACCTGTGCTTAACTACCATGTGATTATCGGTTAAACGTTTGCATTTGCCAACGTTTAATTTCTCTCTCAGAGAATATCCTTTGGCAGGAATATGCCTCTTCTGCACTTAGTCTATCAGAATATGACGGAAAATGATACTTTTAGGTCTGTAATGCGTTCTCTTGATGTATGGTCTGGCGCTATTGATTGCACTACTTTCTTGGAATCTGAGACTCATCTACTGCTGAACTGCAGATCCTAGGTTCGGTATTGCTTGCTTAGGAAAAGTTAATGCAGTCTACGAGAATGATAGGGACCTGATGATTCAGTTCTATCGATTTATTGCCAAGTATGTATTTTTAACTCTATACTTCTGTTCTTTATATTCCTTCTTTGTTATAGTTTCCTTCTAATGCCTGTGGCGGTTTCTGCAATCAAAATAATTCATCCAAACGTTTGAAGTTTTTCGAGGAGATTGCTTCTTTGTAGTTCCTTCTGTCTTGGGAATTAAGAAATGCATGGTTTCCATTCTCTATCAGCGACTTAAAATTTCAAAAAATGCATGTGTCTATTTTATGTTTTTGTATTTATTCATTATTTTCATGAATTTTGACCATGAGCATGATGAACTGCCAGGTAAGTTCTCTCTAAGATTTTTTGTGATCCCGTGAAAGAAATATTTCATTCTCATTTCTATGGATGTGGATAATTACAGCGATTTAACTCTTGAATAAATTTTTCTTTGGTTATCTCCGAAAATAGGCATTTGTTTTTCCTCCTAAATGGAAAGTGGCACACTTTTCCAACGTAGTTGCCAGTACGTAGAGAGGGCATAAATCTGACTTATGAAGCTGACCTGATTTAGGCTTCTGGTAGAGTCTTGGGGGGAATTCCAATCCAGGTGACAGTCCACAAATGAAGTAAATTTAACGTAGAAGGTTTGGTGTGATCATTGACGACCATTTCCTCAAAAAATACCAATCTAAAAGGGCTTGATGAAAACTAAACTAAAAGTCAATGCCTCAGACGCCAAGAACATTGGAGGTATTTGTTTATTCAGTAAACGATCTTTCTTTTCTTTCTAAATTAACAGTGCAACTGTGCCTCAATGAGATGGTGGGATTTTGACTCTGTCCTGCTTCTGTACCAATTTGAAACTGGTTGTCTTTCTCATTTATCACCGCCAAATGTCATCTTTTGATAATGAAAACTGATTCTTAAGTCGATGGACCTATTTTTTCCATCTTTTTATCTTGAGTAGTAAGATCATTAAAGTCAACGTCGCCTCACTAATTTCCTTAATCCCTGATAAGTTGAGAGTGGTAAGACCATTGAAGTCAATGCCACCTCTTTCATTTTTATTTGACCTATCATTTTTCCTCTGCCTCTGCCTTAACCTTAGGAAAATCGTCTTGTTTTATACAAATCTTTTAGCCAGACGATTTTTATAAATAACATGACTTTAATCTTTTGCGCTGCAAGCAAAATAATCCCCAAAAATGTGGTCGCTGCTTCCTAAAAAAAGGAACTATAAATTAAAATATAGCTTGAAAATAACTCGTATAACATCTTTACAGGATCCTAAAATACAAGAAATAGTGGGTTCTCTCCATCGCCGCCATCAACAATTTTTTTTAATTTTTTTAATTTACGTTTTACGATTTGTTATACGATACATACGCTCTTTTTTTTTTTATATAGTATTCGAAATATTTTCTTTGTAGAGAAGAAAATGATACTCGTCCCTGGTTGATTATTCGGCATTGTTTATGATACTCTAAAATAATAGTATGATGCCGACGCACCCAAGGATGCATATTTCTTCTGATCTTTTGCCAAATCCGGAAGTCTTCTCACTTCTCCTCCCTTTTCTAATTCCCCCGATGTTGGGGCTCATTTGCTTAGTTTGGTGAATCCTTCAGGGAGGAGCTGGCATGCGATGAAGCAGAGCTCGATCCCGATGAGTTCTCAGAGAAGATGCTCTCTCACCACAGACTGCATGAGCAGGTATCCCTTCTGCCTCCTCAGACTTTAATCTCTGCTCATTTATGTATGTATTTATATAAAATTTGTATGTATTATAGTATATATATTTATTTATTAATATCGAGAAGATTTCCTTATGTGGAAAGTGAAATCCTACGCAGCAATTGGAGATGCTCAAGTACATGCGTAGATTCCATCCAGACGACCAGTCCGTGATTCTTGAAACGGTCAGTGCTTCCATTTCCTCTGTGTTCATCTGGGTTCTTGCGTCTGTCCTTCAATGGCTTCTTGGGACCCATCCAGCCCATCTCTTCTCCAACGGCCTAGTTGACCGTTGACTGTTGACATCTGCAGCTCCGCCGGCAGATGGAGGGCTCCAGCTTTGATGGCGGCGCCGTCCTCTCGCCTGGACATATTGAAGAGATCGTACGGTCTAGAGCTTCCCCATCGCCCAGAGATTCGAGGTAAGACCCTGCTCGCCGTTGCTGCTTGTTCTTATTGTCCTCTTGAGTTGACTTTCCTCTGTCATCTGGATTCGTTGAGAACTCATTCCTGTCAGAAACGAACTAAATTCTGATGTTGGGCCTGATAACTGAAATATTGGGCCGTTTTGGGCTTTGTGCTTGGCCCATGTTTTTATTGGGGCTCAATCCTGGGCGTCCATCCCGATCATTTCACGCCTTCATGGTGGTGCCTCATAGATCGAATGGGCATATCCTGCGTATATACCGCCTCAATAATTGCATCCAGCTCTACAAATTATTATTTTTTTGTCTCCGACCCCTATAATAATGCCCACAGGCGTTCCTGGCCTTGAGGATCATACCCCTGTTCTTTCCTGTACATTAAATACTGTGAATGTCAGGGTGTAACTGTTATGCCCATTGAAAAGTAGGGGTACGGATGTAAGTCGTTTTCGCGTCCAAATACGATGAATGTTGGATGATCAAAAAGGCCCGGGAGGGAGACGATGTGTGCAGGCAGATAGATGGGGAGCAAAATCTATCCGTGGTCTCGATGGGGCGGCGCCGCCGCCGCTTCGCCGGCGGTGATCAGCTTGATGCCGGCGGCGATTCTGGCAATGACGGCGGCGCTGGGGGCCGACGACAGGGAGGGGCTTGGCCGGCTGGTCGAGCGGTCGCTCCAGGGGACGCCGCAGGCGGCGGCGGGGGCGGAGAGGAGGCGGCGCAGCCACCGTCGGCGCTCCGACTGCGACGCCCTCCGCTCGCTACGCCGCGTTGTGGAGGGAATCGAGGCGCAGATCACGCCGGCGGTGGGGGTCCCCCGGCCGGAGACGGACGGCGCCTCCGCAGCCGCCGGAGCCAGCGTGGAGAGGGCGGCGGCGGGCGGGTGGCGCCGCGGCGGCGTGGAGTCTGTGGAGGTCGTACGGAAGATCAGAATATTGTGATAGAACCCAGCCTTCGCCCATTTTCCCTCTATTTTTGGGTGGGGGAATATGATAAAATGATATTTATTTGGATAATTTTCTATGCCTTTTAACGGGCCGTCCCTTCAATAACCTTGCATGGCCCATTAACGATTGAAAATTGGAGGAGAAATTGGCCCAACACGTCCTAGGTGTGCGCCAATATGGGCCCAGAAGGCTCAGGAGAGAAACCCCGAGCTTGGATTGGCTTGATCAGAATCTGATCATTCCATAGGCCTATTTATAGAAATACTACCAATTACTTGAAAATAATATAATGTAGTATAATTATTTAAACCCAAGTCTTCTCCTTCTTCAAAGGCAGCTACCGATCTGAGTGCTAATTAGTCAAACATGAAATGGTTATGGCAGGAAAAACCCATGGATTGGTTTGACCATTGACCATTTACCTAGTCTGGTGGGGGTGTCACTTTCCATGAGGGAATCTATAAAAGGGAAACTCACTTCCCTTTCTTTCTTCTTCCACCACTCCTATTCATGGTCTTGTCTTTATCCTTAAAGGCTGATTGACTCCACTTCAATGAGTAGAAAGTTGGGTAGCCCTCTTACTTCAATAACTTACCATATTGGATGCAAGTGGGTGATGAGTAGTGGGGAGGCTACTAGCCTCTTTTTTATTATTATTATAAAAAAATAAATAATTTATTAAATAGGTTCTTGGGGTCCTTGTGGTTTGAAACCTCAAGTTGTGTTGATTCTGCAACTCAACCATTAAATTATATGTCCTGATTTTTATGTTTCTTTTTTATAATTATATAGTAAAATAAAATTGAAAAATCTAATGAGTAGTAGAAATTTTGCTTCAAATAGTTATTGTAAATGAATGGCTTTAAGAAATTCAAAAACACAAATCTCTAAGTTATCTTCCTTGTCATTTGAAAAAATAATTTTATTCAGAATTTACTTTTTTATTAAATTAAATTCAGAAAAATCATGATTGCTCTACTATTTGATATGGTTTTCAAGAACGAGTAAATGTTGATTAAAATAATTAAATATTTATTTATGTGTTTATTTATTTTATGTGTTGTATTATTCCAATAGGTTGGAGAAAACCATGTTCATAGCTTTGGAGGAAGCAACACTTAGATAAGTTTGTCTCTCTACCTCTTTAACTCTCTCTCTCTCTCTCTTGCTAAATATCAAATCTAGAAGCTCTTAATTCATGCTACCCTTTCCTTAAATATGGTTATATATTTAAATTTAATTGACCCTTTTACCTAGCAAATATTTTCTTTATTTTAGTTTCTACATTAAATGCAATTAAAAACAAAATTAAAATATAAAATAAATCACTTCATGTAATTCATGTGCCCATTGTGTAAAAAACTATGATGGTTTATGTTAATTAATATTTATTTTCTTTTACTTTCTTTACTAGTATGCATGTATAATTGTGGGTACTTAATATTGCTTTAAAATGGTCTAACAATATTAATTGTAGCAAAAATCCAATATTATTAAAAATAATATAATAATTTAAATATTCCGTAAATTTATCTGGATATTAAAATAATAGACATTGAAATATACACGACTATATATGTATATAAATATATATACCTATGGTTCTTGAGACCGTCTGAACCCCATCGCCCACGTTTCCAAACCGACGGTCCTCTCTCGATGGCAATTTGTTTAAAATAAAAATATGTGGGGGTTTAATTGTAAAAGTAGCTGCGGTGACAAAAAAGCGGCATCTCCGCGCCGCGTGTCTTCCCTTGACGCACAAACAACCGTTGAGATAAGCTTGCCGCCCAATCAGTCAGGCTTCTGTTTCTTCTGGTTCAGCCACGTGGAATGGACCCCACAACGAAATTTATCCGATTAGAAGAAATGGATATACACTGACCTCAGCAACATCCAGAAACCCCCAACTCATTGCCGCTTGATCAATGGAACATGGATTGGACGGTGATGATGCTGCGTACGTCATAACGGAAAAGGGAGAGTGGAGGGGTTAATCTGTAAAAGGAGAGGCACAGAAAGATAAAATGAAGGTAAGAAAGGGGTCTTTGGGACATTTACGAATGTTATGAATCCCTAATTCTCAGGTCGGTACTTTCTTCTTCCCCCTTCAGATCCCTCCTCATCTTCCCGGGGGAATCCACGAGGAGTGCATCTTCTTGCGGGGGATTTCTTCTGAATTGACCGCTCTGGGAGGTAGGAAGAAGCTCCATCTTCGGCCTGCTCGGGTTCTTGGATTTGGACCAGGCGTCTTTGTTTTTGTTGCTTAGAGATGAGGAGGCAGGACCAACTGTCCCAGCTCCTCGACGAATTCTGCGCTCTCGTCTTCAGCGTTCTCAGGACTTCTTCCGGCCCCGAGTCCCATCCGCTGGTGTCTGGTGCGCAAAGCTGCGGCCGGCTGCGGGCGTCGCCGGCGGGGTTGGTTTCCCTGCTGCTGGGGATCTCGACGGCGCTGATATTTTGCGGCTCGGTGACGTTTATGATCGGATTCGTGCTGATGCCGTGGGTCCTCGGGTTGGTGATGGTGCTTCACTTCGTCGGGATGCTGACGAATTTATCGACGCTGGGGAGGTCGATCCTCTGCCCCTGCCCCCCCTCGCCGATGCCTCCTCGTAAGATCCCCATTAGTCCATCTTTGTTTGATTCTTCCCTTATCTTCCCTATTTTATCTATTTTTTCCGCATTAAAACGGATTTTCCAGTGGCGTTGATCTGCCACAGCTTCCCTTCTAGGTGTTTCCCACCGTCCAATCCTTTTCTTTGAATTTCTCTTTATGACGGTCTTGGAAATTTAGGGCTGATTTTCAAGGGTGGACCACAGCTCACAGAGGGTCCGCAAGGTTATTTTCAGTGTGATTCTCGGAACCTTCCTTTTTTAGTTTTTGATCAACGCTTGTATTATTATCAAGGAAGGTAACTTTCTTGCCTTAGAAGACCAAGGGAAAACTAATGCTATGCCCGTTGACATTCTACGGAAGAACTCTGCAAACACCTTGTTGACCACATTGTCTCCACTGATTTCATTATCATCTTCCATCCTCTTTGCAACGTTTCTTTAAGGCCATCGTGAGGTTTTCAGTGGGATCTCGATGCCGATCATGTCCCCTGATCCATCCCTTGAGCTGATCGTCTGAATCTCCAGTAGCTTTGAAGGTTTCCACTTGTGTAGATTCTCATGAAATCCAACGGGTTCCGATGAAAGACCAGCCTTTTGCTTAACCTTTGTGCATTTAGGAAGCATGAGAGAGATGGTTTATCAGTGGATCTATATCATGTTCTCTCTCTCATCTCTCACGTTCCCTTGAATGGCCTCTCGGGTTCTTTAGAATTGAAAACAAAGTGAGAATGTTGGAGGAAGCAAGGAAATTTCTGCAATGCTGCCAATAATTCGCATGCACTTCCGAATCCTGCCTGAATTAATCCAGTGTTCACGTGCCAGACTATGAGGCAGAAGGCAGTTGGAGGCATCAGAAGGGATGATCATAGATTATCATAGTGATTGATGAGCTTATTGCCATCAAACTAGAGAAGGTTTATATGCTTAATCTGGAAAGCTAAATGAGACAACATAGTGGTTGATGAGCTTATTGCCATCAAACTAGGGAAGGTTTATATGCTTAATCTGGAAAAATAAATGAGACAACATCCGGTTCTGGACTTCGTAGTTTTGCCCATCATCGGATATTAAAGGGAATTTACTACCGGAGAAGTATGATTTCCTCTTTGGAATGTCTGCGTAAAGGGTCTTTTTTGTCTTTAATTTTCGTCGTCCAGATACAGTAATTTTTTTTTAATTTTCTTCTCTACGAGATTATTTCCATTTTCTGCAAGTCCCCTCATGCTAGAAATCATTCTTTGTAGGCCAACTGTCCTCCAAACTTCCAGTTATTTAGCGACAGAATGTGTGATATTGGCTGCTGCCACCGCCAGACATGGCGAAGCTCTCCGGTCCCCTGTTATTTGCTTCCTGGGGCCGCTACACTGAAGCCATCATCAGCATCTTCTGACAAGAATTTGGCAGTACATAAATATATCTCTTTTTTCTTCATTTGGGGCTCTTCCAACCTCCTTCGGAAATCTGTTCTTCCTGTTCTTTGAATCCGATGGCGGCCCCTCGACGGAGCAGCTGATGGGATCTGGGGACGACCTTCAGAGCTTCTGGGTTCGAGATCATAACGTGACTGATGCAAAGATCTGAGATGAATGATGAGAAGATCTTGATGATTTTCTGTCTGTTGAAGTGGCCGCGAATTGGCGTCTATTTCTTCTGCCTGGTGTAGAGAAACTCCTCCGTCATACTTCTGTTTTAGAGATAAATCGGTAAACGTGTTCTCTTTTATTTGTTTGAATTCTCTCTCCCCCGGAACGAGACACTGGCCGTCAAGTTGACTGCCCGAATTAGGGTTAGGGTTTGTCGGAGGCCTCTGCCTGGAAAAAGGGCTCCGGGCTGGCCTGGCTTTGAAGTTTTACAGACGTGTGAGAGAGAACGAGAGCTCGGATTGGAGCGATGTGGGTGCACTGAGTTGGCCTTCTTTCTCTCTTCTATGCTGATTTTCAGGCGCAATTGTGGAAAAAACTGGGCCGGGCCCTTATGAGGTCGGCTCGGCTATGTATTTGCCGTTGATTATGTTGACCGACGTTAGCCATCCCTTGCTTCTCTCTCTATCCTAACTTTCCTTAAAGCTCCTCTCTCTCTCTCTCTCTCTCAATCTGTACAATGGTTCCTTCCCACTAAGATCGTCTTTGCCGACATGGCCGTTGCCTTCTGCGCAAGTATGCTACAGCTTCGTCACTAAAGAGCACTAACGAGGGTCATTACCACCGAGCTCAGAGGCGCGTCCTTCCCACCTGGTTCTCCTTTACCCTCTCCCCTCCCTTGCACACCCTCCAAGCTTCGTATTCCTTCCTCCTTAAGAGCCTCCCATTATCCCTCCCCTACGCCTGCCATCCACAACCGACTAGCGGGAGAGAGAGAGAGAGAGAGAGAGAGAGATGGCTATGGACTGGGGACCGATTATCGTGGCGGTGGTGATGTTCATTCTACTGTCACCGGGGCTGCTGTTCCAGGCGCCGGCCAAGACGCGGGTGGTGGAGTTCGGGAACATGGCCACGAGCGGCATCTCCATTCTCGTCCACAGCATCATATACTTCTGCGTCATCACCGTCTTGCTCGTCGCCGTCGGCGTCCACGTCCACACCGGCTGAAGGCCGGCGTCCGCCGTTCGGATTTCCGTTCCTTCTTCCTTCCCGGACCCTGCTCGCTCTCCTTCCCGTTTGGCTACGAGATAAATATATTCTTCTTTCTACTCCTAGGCCCCAGTGATGGACATGCATGAGCACCCACAAGCTCCAGGGAGGCATAACCTCCATGGACGATTTTTTATGAGTCAACAACGTGAAGTGTGATTGAACCTAGGTGCGAAAAAACTAAGTCTTTATATTGAACGGTTGATTGAAGATAATCATTGATTGAGTGTAACATAGTCCCATTGCAATGAAGGTCTCCGTTCATTAACATACTTGCGCACAAGATATCCTTTTTGAAGGCCACCCACCCGCAATAAATCATGGGCAGAGAGAGTAGGAACGATTCCAGATAAACACTAGGCGATGATACCAAAAAAAAAGAAGAAAAAAGAGAAAAGATCCTAGTGCCTAAAATTTTACTAAAAGAGGCTCAAGGCTAAAGGCAACTACTGGGTTGTACTTCTGCGATTCGACTTAAGTTCCCATTACTTGTTGAGATCGAGCCCACGCAAGAAATCTCCCAAGTTGCCCTAATGTTACTTGAAACTCTTGGAAGAGTAACATGTGGCATTGATTTGCAGGCGCTGATCTGCTGTGGAGATGAGATTCAATGTCATGCGATCAGATCTTAGTGGATTGTGACAGAGCAGCTCAAGTTCGTTACCACACCGGGCCGTGCTCATGCTTAGTGATACTTCATCAAGATTAACTTGTCGATTAATATCTGATTAGTTACTGACCACAAATGCTTTCTTCCGCATTGTGTAAGACCAAGCAAGTCCAAGTCAAGGTATTTGGAGGAAGATCAACTAGGCATTGGTGGCAGTTTTAATAATTAAAACTCTTATCTAATGGATGTAGGCTTGACAGTTTGGGCATCTTTGTTAATATTCTAATCAGTACTTACCAAGACTTCACTTAAAGACCATTAAGAAAGCTAGCTTCTTGACAAATCGAGCAAGTGTCAATTGTGCATGAAGAATCTTGCCATGGGGGGCTTCAAAGATTGAACAAGCATAAGTTGCATGAAGGCCAATGCTTCCATGAACTGCATATTTTTATGACTAGAGTTCAACCTGAGGTTTCTACAGATCTAGTCATTGAGAATCAACTGGACATGATACATACACACTTATGAATTAGTTAGTTAAGAATTCAAAGGTCATTCAATGATATTGCTAGCAGCATTCCTTGATATAGAAAAAAAAATGTCTTGTAACTATTTTTGCTAGTAAGACATTATAGATGCCTTATTGATTACTTTGGCCTCTTCATGAAGATCACTGTGGAGCTTCATTAGGATTAGAAATTGTAGCTTCAATAGTCAAACAATGAAAGCAATTGCCTTTGCTTTTCCAATGACATGAAAAAGGAAAGGAGGGTAGATTTATCTATTTAATTAGACTACAAGACAAGAATATTACTAATATTTTTTTTTTCACGTGGAAGTAAAAAATAAAGGGTTCACATAGATCCCATATCTATTTGTATGATATATTATGGCAATCCTTAAATTATAACATAAGAGAATATAAAATAAAATAACACATCATGAAATGTAAGGATGTAGGAGAAAATTGATGTCAACCACAAGAGAGCAATGGGGAAATACTAAAATATGAAATATAGTAACTGAAGTTCAAGGGATACAAACTAAAAGTGGGTCTTGCTAGAACCCTAGCCTCTCCTGATGGAAAGAAGGTTGTAGCTGCCCCACTCCTTAGATTATTATTTTCTCAAAAGGTACCCTCTCCTCCCCTTTCTCCCTAAGACTTAACCTATTATTATTAGAGTTTCCTCCTTTCTAAGTGTCTTGAGTAAGCCTATGCTTGCTCTATCTACTCTACTTATTGGGCTGTTGATCTAGGTCTGATTCCTTTGATGGTTCAATCTCCTTTTTCAGGTTAAGGTGCTGAGGGTTAGATCAATAGCCCTCACTTCCTTAAGTACATTGTCCTCAAGGTGAAATTATAGAAATTACTTCTAGATGAGTAAGGTTGATTATCAAGAGGCTTCATCTAATGGAAGGGAGTTCCATTGTATGATGACTTCTTGCTCTATTATTAAGTGGCACGACCAATATTTCTTGGGGTTGGACTACCAATTGATCAATTTCATCAAAGCCTTTCAGTAAAGATTGATTTTGAGTAGATACCTTGACTGTCCTATGCAAGAAGGAAACATAAAAAACAAGGTGAAATAATGATAAGGGAGGGATCTCAAATTTATCTAATGAAGTCAAACAGTCTACATCTTGAGGTTGTAAGAGGCATAACATTGAAGATAGTTTTTCATGCATTTATTCACCACTTTAGTTTGGTCGTTGGTTTGAGGATGATAGGTTGTATTGTGTTTTAAGATATTTGCTTGGATTCCAAATAGTGCAAACAAAAAATGACTAATAAAAAAATATTTCAATTAGAAATGATAAATTTAGGGGTACTATAAAGGTAGATAATATATTTACTACTTTATCTATAATGAAACTCACTGAAAATAGATGTTTTAGTAAGATAAAATGGGCATGCTTAGACAATTTATCTATCACGACCAAAATAGAATTGAACCTCATAGAAGATGGTAACCCTTCAATAAAATCTATTATGATATTGTCCCATATCTAGTTAGGGACAGAGAGGTTGTAAGAGCCTCGTCAAGAGGATGATTTATTATGCATGAAAATTTTGTAGGCATTGACATATTCTTTAATCCTTGATTTCATCTTAGCTCAATAAAACCATCGTGAAATCATCTTGTAAGTCTTTAGGAATCGGAAATAGTCCATGACTAAAATATCATGATATTCTTGAAGTATATCTCTTACCACTTGATAATTTGAAGTGTTAACTACCCCTTTGTAATAGAAGAATTCTTAGTTGAGGGTAAAACTTGATTGTGAATCTTCTCCATTGAGAGATATGTAGATATGGCACAAATAAAAGTATGTCTACATTTCAACCCTTAGTGAGGACATTTTTAAGCTAATTGACCAAGTCATGCCGACCTCTTGTAATTGAATGGGAGGAGGGCAGTGAGCGAGGGCATTTGCCTCCTTGTTACTTACTCCTTTGTATTGAATAACGAAGTCATAACCCATTAACTTAAAGAGTCATTTTTGAAATCGAGGGGGTATTAGTCGCTAATAGTAAGGAATTTAAAACTTTGCTAATTAGTGTGAATAATAACTTTGTAACCCATGAAGTAGTGTCATTATTTGAGCACTACATATATTATGGTCAGATGCTCATGCTTATACACTAACTTGGTGTGATTCATTGGGAGAAAAAAGCTTGGCTAAAATACACAAGCAGCCATTCATATTGTCGTAACATGGCTCCTAGTTCATACCTTAATATGTTAGTCTCTAAGATGAATTAAAAAAAAATCTAGAAGGGTAAGTATTGGTGTGGATTTCATATTTTCTTTAAGTTGCTAGTAATGAATTTTTTGCTGCTTCTTGCCAATCGAAGGTGTCTTTCTTGAGCTATTGAATCAAATGATATGCCAACATAACATAACTTGTCACAAATCTTTAATAATGTCTTGTCGGCCTAGAAACCCTCTTAATTCCATTAGGTTAGTAGGAGTCGGTCACTATAATATAATATTAATTTTGTGGACTAGTGGGATTCACAAGTCTGAACTCGTTTGTCTTGTAAATAGGCATGGTCATCATGTAGTTAGAACATAGAGAAAAATAACTCATTAAAAATTTAATGAAATATCATCTATTAAATGATACTCATCATGTAAAAATAAGAGGGAGTCTAGGGAGCTAATAAGTGAGAGAGAAAGGTGGAGAGATTGTGCTCTTGCAACTCTGAAACCTTGATTGTTTGTCACCTAGTCACCACCTCTTATTTGCGAAAAAAGTTTCCTTTAATTTACTATCTCCAAAGTTTATATACCTAAGCCCTTTTTGGGCCTTCTTTCTCCATCCTTTGTGTGGCTTGATTAAGCCCTATCTTTTGAACGGTCTTTAATTTTTTTATGTCTCAATCTACCTTTTCTCATGTTTTGGGTCTTTAAGCTTTAACATTTATACTAATTCTTCTCACTTTGGTAAATCCATATAAGTTAATCTCCTTAGAATACAATTTAAAAATTTTAAACCCTTGTTTTTGATGAATTGAGATAAATTCTTAAGGTGATAAACCTTGAAAAAAGGTTAAAAAATGTTAGTAATTAAATCAATAAATACATGGTACAAATAGAGCTAATTTTAGAATCATTTATACATATCTTTTGTCCTTTTATCTAATATGTTGAGATATAGAAATTCATGTATATTATGATTCATTAATGCAAAAACTAAATAGATAATAAATTAATTCTTAGTGATAAATAAATAGTTATCAATTTACTATACTCCACCTTTAATTCTACTAAATTTTTAGTGAATACACTTTCTTATTGGGCTTCAACTTTCCACACTAGATTTATAACCCTAATCAATTTAAGAGTTTTTCTTCATAACCTGCCTCTAATCTAGGGGGCCATAATAGAGGAGCTCTTGGTGTTTTTTCACAAACACACTATCATCTAAGATGAGGATTGAATTGACTTATTATTATTTGTGTTCTTTTCTTAACCATTGGAAAATGACATGAATACACTAATAGTTTATTGAGGTTTAATCAATTTGACATAGTCCACCCTCAAAGAAAAAATTCTTAAGGTGTCACTAAATACAAAAAAAATTAGTAGGTCTCCACTAAATGTCTAAGTTAGAGTGAACCCATCTAATAAATCCTATGGCTTAACTAACCAACAACTAGATATTCTGGCCTCAACAAGTGTACAAAAATTAAGAATAATTCAATTTTCTTAGAGATTTAATCCATACCTTTACTTGAATTCCTTGCTCTTTGTTTTGGAAGTGTCTAATGTAGATTGGAGTCAATGAAGGCTTAAGCACAACTAATTTTCCTTGCTCTTTGTTTTAGTTTGATGTAAACTATTGAGTAAGTGTCTAATGTAGATGTAGCACTTTACCTTGAATTCATTGGAGGAAGAATGTGGATGTGGAGGATTTCTCTCTCCAAATTTCTTTTTTCTACTTCTCAAACCTAATATGGGCTCAAACCTCTATTATATGCAATGTATTAAGTTGTCCATTAATCATCCATGACAAATGAGGAACATTCCATTTAGGCCACATCTTTATTTGAAGTTCAAGCTCCATAAATCTTATAAAAATGATTAAAAATTAAAGCTTCAAATTTTGATTTATTATTTGTTTCATCATGTTCCTATTTCATTTTTCTTTGCACATACCTATACTTGTGCAATCAACCTACATCTAAAAATATTTTAATTATCTAAAATATGAATATATACCATTTTTTCAGTAGAAAGCTTTCCCCTAATTTAATTATTTAATTTAACATATTATGACTCGCTTAGTGGGTAACATAATTCTTTCATCCATAAATTACCATATTACATTTTGTCATCATCAAAATATTCAAATCTCCCAAAGGCATATTACCATATTACCCTTTTCAATGACGACAAAGCTCAAACAAGGGTAATAAATAACTAAAGTAACCTCAACACTTTCTAGATAATACTTTTCAATCAGCCAATTTAGTTGAGATTCAACAACACATAATACTAGAAGAGTACCTAAGCATATGTGTGTGAAATGATATTTGCAATAGTTTAAATTCAACAACATTGAGCTGATCTCAAGGTTTTGCATTTTCCTAATTGATTTTCTCAAGGGTGAACTCTTTATACTTTGTGAGTCTAGATGGTTTTTGACCCTTAGGATTTTTAAAAGTAATGTAAATTTCTTTTTGAAGAATGGAAACTGCTTTCAATAAATTTCAGTGTTGTTTTTCAACGAATTTTCATACCATTTTTAGAGTGGTGCTTGTTTATACACGTGGCTGATATCATAGAATTAAAATGTTATTTTTAATATAAAGACTAGTTTGTGTACAGTTCTCCCCTTGAATGTAAAGCTGGTTAACAACTGATTTTCGTGATGTTCTCCTGCTGAATGTGTCACCATTTGACTTTAAGAATTTTAAGTGATAAGATCGTATTATATTTAAAATAGTACGGCATGACATTACAGCAAAAGGTAATAGATTAACTTCTAAAATCATAGATTTTAATAAACTCCCCCACGTCTGCACATGATCTATTTTCCTTCCATATTTTTCATTTATTTCTCCACCTTTTTTTTCCAGTAAAAAATAGATAACTTAGTTTCCCCTATGTTACTGTCACAATATCTAAGGTATAAGGCTTGATTGGGCATCGGTAGAGTACTTGCTAATGTCCAAGTGTGTCTTCCTCATAAGCTGCTGTGCGATGAGACGGGCCAGGGCTGCTTCCATTCTAACGAGGTGATTATTGAAGTGGTATAGGGATTAGGAACATCTTCAGAAAATGGTTAGGGGGGTCGTAGGAAGAAATCACTAGGAGTTATGATCATTATGGGGTTGACTGTTGGGATTTTCATGAGCTTTGAAATATAAAGAGTGGTTGTGATGAATTCTTTTTTTCCAATGTATATACCCATGCTGATCAGGTTTGTATGATCAATAAATCTAAATATTAAGAGCAGATAAATTGTTCTCCAATGAAACAAATATTTATTTTTTTAGGAATTTTGGTGAGAATCATCCCATAAAACATCAAAGAGTAAATGGATAATATAGTGGAAAACATTCTAAGAGTAATGAGTGATACATGATTGATTGGTGTGTTGGAAATTATATGATAAATGAAAAAGAGTTCTTCTTCCCTAACATTTGTTTTATACTCAACCCGAGGAATGAATATACTACAAAGAATGAAATGAAAGATTCTAGGTATGAATGGTAATATTGAAGCCACAAAACTGTTTGAGGTTAGGTCCAAAATACTTGTGATCAGTTGTAAGTATTTATGATGATCAAAAGAGTGAATAAATATTTTGAAAATCACTAGTGTGAATGCATTAACTAATTACTTGTGTTTCTATTCATCCACTACGTTTCTAAACAACAAGTAGAACTAGATAAAAAAAATTAGAAAATAAAAAACCACCATTAAAATATTATGAATGCAATTTTCGAAGGACCCTAGGAGAGTTAATGTAGTCAAGAGGGGGAGGGAAATAGATTTAAATCATGAAAATCACTAAATTCGGATTCCGAATTTGGTAGACTATACTCTTTGAGATTATCTCCTACTTCTATGGCCTGATAAGTCAGTCTATTTCGTGTGCTAGGATGCATCAAAATGGTTTTTCTAATAATGTGTAGATCATTGTGTACAAAATTAGATTAAGTAATCTAATTGAAAAATAAAGAGAATGCCAGCAAGAAATCCCCAAAAACCGCATATAAATTCTAGAGCGGTTCTACCCCCACATTACATAGACTATCTCAGGAGCTGTGCTTGGGTTTCTACTAACCCCGTGAAATTAATATCTAAGTAATAAATAGTTCACATTTTGCTGTTTCAACTTTTTAATGTCAATAAGAGAGTGATTTATTTTAGTTTTTTGATTATGATTGAAAGCTTTCATGTACATCTTCTGCCAGTTCCAACGACACAAAAGGGGCAGTTGGCATAATCAGAAAGGAAGGAAGGGAGCGGGGGATGAGATGGCAGGGTTCATTTGGAGCTTCCCTCGTCTGTCCGAATTGCAAACAAGAAAACCACAGAGAATAATGGGCGGGATGGAGAGGCGACTTAACTTTTAGAGGCGGAAAATTAGCCGCATTAGGTGTAGTTCAGCCGGAAGATGTCGTTGAGAACATAGAAGCTGCCCTGGGGAGTCGGAATCAATTGGAACATCTGCGAGGGGGGGGGAGAGAGAGAGAGAGAGAGAGAGAGAGAGAGAGAGAGAGAGAGAGAGAGAGAGAGAGAGAGAGACCAGACTGCAACGGCATCAAGCTAGAAGAGAGAGAGGGATCTGGGCATTTTCTCATATAATCAGCATGATTTGGGGAAAATTATATATATTTTCACTAAAAAGTCTGGATTATAGAAGTGGAGCCATCAGATGGCCTACATGCCTAGAGGCGCTCAACTCTCGATTTATTAGGTCAAAGAAAAAGGATTTAATGGAACTTTGCATCAGATTGGCTCCGATATATGTAGAACAGTCCTTAAGAAAAATGGCCGCATAATTAGTACTCACATCTCTAAATGGCATGAGCTCAGAGCAACTCCAAAATAATATCAGTGCATCATCACACAAATCATGAAGAATCTAAAACCATGTCTAATGGTATAAATAGGATCGCCTTTTTAACACAAAAAAACCTCGTCTGGCAGGATCAGAATATACCACTTATACACTGATGAAACCGAGAATCAACCAAAGAGGCCACAGATATATCAATTGTCATAACCAGAAGAACATATGCCATCTCCCTGTGTATTAGGGTGTAAGTGGATCAGGCTAACCTCCAGACATCCAGTGCAGTTGATGAAAGTTCCATGATTTTGTGAGCTTAGTTGACCACCAACCAGACTGTGAATGAGCTGAGAAATTAATGTGATCTAAAATGCAGCTGGGAGCTGTTGAATGACATTCTCAAGCTATCAATGTTATCTCACTTGTCAGCAGCATAGGAGTCGAGATGGGATCTTAGTCTAGAATTTATGATCTATCATTTTCATCCTCTATTCTTCCCCTCTCATGATAGATAGATAACTTTCATTTTGTTCAGTACAGCCTCAGCAGCGTCCTCAACTTCATCTCCATCTACTACCAGCCAATAGTGGAACCAAGTCCAACATATACCTATAAGATGATCAATTTGGCTAGCATTCAAGATGATTGAAGCTTCAAAGGTTCCACGGGATGAAGGAATGTTGAATATCCACAACATGAATTGGCCAAAACTTAAGGTTATATCGAAGTCAGAAAGTCGGAATTGCATTGGAGTACATGTGGATCATGTGATTCCTAATCATGTAAGATGCATGCATGAAATGTGCAGACAATTATTCTTCAGGTTTCCAGTATAAATGGATGATATACAAAAATTAAAAAAGATTGCAACTCCGCGATGTATTTCTCTTTAAAATCAACCTTCTGCAATCTTAGAAATGCATATATTCAATTTTGTACTTCCACATCCAAATGTAGGCGCATATATTTTTTACTGGGCGGTCTTCAATCTAAGCTGATGACCTTGAGCAGCCATTAATTGTAGTACCGCAGATATGCTTATATAGTTTGATTTCACTTATCTAAATTTAGTCTGGCGTGTGCTCATCACTACATCATGCATTAACGATGGAAGCAGAACTTTAAAATACCTTCCTGGATTTATAAATGCTTATGTTGTCAAACAGATCCCAGATTTATAAGGACATACATAATCAAAGAGGTGACTAAAGAAGGGACAAAGGAGAGTCGATATTTCAGACGCTTCAAGAGGTTGCAAACCAGATTCATGGCGAAGGCATGTTAAATGAAACGATAAAAGAAAAGTGAGATAAAATTCCATAACGTTCAATAGATTCTCAGTTATTAAAACTTATACAAAAAGTCAGAATGCATTTCCTTACTATTCAATATTTATCGCAAATATTTCAGATATTGATGACCACAAGAAAAATGGACCAAAAGGTATAACTGGATTGTAAAAAGAACTATTGGATGAAAAATAGTATACGTCTAGAAGAAGTTTATGGGGTCAAAACTATGGCACACGCGGCATCAAAAAGAAGTTTAATCAATGGGATGAATTTAAAATGCCGCAACCAACGCACATTCTCAACCTTGTAGAATGCTTACAACTAATCCAACTCACATACTGCCTCTACATCCCTCCAAAATTCTGCATTACGGATTTGGCTAACACGAAGAAGAATATAAACAAAATAAACAATGAATGACATACAACCAAATGGTTTGCAAATAGTGTGCTGGAGTAGGCATAAAAGTCGGAAGATCTCACAGTCAAAATAAATTTCATCGAAACGCCAAAAAATTAGCAAATGAAAAGATGACCAAATGAATAAAATGAATAGATGAGATGCTTCCATGATCAAATACAACTATGAACCACACAGCCATCAGCACCTTAGTGGATTAAAAATACTGCATCCACCAAAGGGAACCATTCGTGGAGCAGAAATGTGCAGCGATCCCGCAAGGACACAAGTCGATCGCCAAATTCAAAAAAAATATCAAGAACAGCAAAACACAACATGGGATAAACGAAGGGGAAATGTTCATGACGTCAGGACATTGTAAAGCGAATCGACCCAAGATCACATCAACGCCAGACGGGACACATCTCACCTGGCTGAACTTGAGGGAGTGTTGCTCACCGGCGAGCTGGAGAGAGCCGCTAACGAAGACAAGCACGCCGCCCCCGGGACCGGAGGGCTGGCAATCGACTGTGGAGATGTTGTGGAGGCACTGCTGGAAGGGGAGGCTGGTGAGCTTGGCAACGATGGCCTGAGATCCCTGCGTCTTCGCCCCCTCGAAGGTCAGCATGGAGCCATCCTGGTACAGGTTGCCGAGATCCGCCCGGTTGTTGTCGAAGGTCCTATAGTAGTGCTCCACAAATGCCTTTGCCACCGCATCCGGATCCATATCCCTTCCGGGCGCCTTGAAATCCCCAAAACCTAGCAAGCTCCCTGCGCCTTCTCCTTCCCCGAGCTCAACCAGAGACACGGCCGGCGAAGGAAGGAAGGCGAGCTTCGATCACCAATATTAATAACTTATTATAAATAAAAGTATCACATAATTATTCATATGTTTTATACTCCTCGTCGTAAAGTTTGTTATGAATAATAATAGATATTAGCATGATTTTACGTAATTAAGCTACTTTATTTCTTTTTATATTTAATACTTTTCCGAAGGTTTGTTCTGCATAATAATATTCATTATGACCGACCGAGTTTATTTCTTTTTTAATTTTTTAAATATAAAACTCGCATTATAAATTGAATAATATAGAAATATGGATTATTTTTATTGGCTTAAGTTCAGCCCCTAAAAATCATCGATTTGTTAATCTGAGATTTTCTAAGGGTGTCAATAAAAATTTCACAACCAGAAAAATATAAGCAATAAATCCACAAATTGGGAAAAAATAAATAATAACTCATGGCTTTAAATAAAAATCGAACCCATATTATAGATATATAATATCATCTTGCGTGGAGATATAAATGCCCATAATTGGAGGGATTTGAAGGTAATTCTTCATTGATCATGTGCGAATCGTATAACCCAACTCAGGTCTGGAAGAAGAAAGAGAGCCTGCACGCTGCAAGGTTCATCGACCTGAAGTACCCAAAATCTGATGAACAGAATCAACCCTAAATCAGCCTGTGACAGGCCCATTTTTCGCTCAGCGAGAGAGAGAGAGAGAGAGAGAGAGAGAGAGCTAGCAATGGCTGTAGGAGCTCCGACATTCATTGCATCCTGTTAATTACGCATCATGAATAAGGAGAGGCGGCCATAGACCTGTGAGAGACCCATCTTATGCTCAGATCGAGAGAGAGAGAGAGAGAGAGAGAGAGAGAGAGCGAGCTAGCAATGGCAGTAGGAGCTCCGACATTCATTGCATCCTGTTAATTACACATCATGAACAAGGAGAGGCAGTCACAGGAATGGCCAACAGAGGATCTACCCCTCTAATAATAATTATACATCCTTCATGAGGGAAAAATTCAGCTGGTCAGACGCGCGCCCTTCTGCAAAGAAGCAGTCCAGATCTGCTCCACCGTTCCTCTCCACCGGTCACAGCTCGCAGGGGCTCTGCCAGGTCGATATGTCGGTGATCAGCTCCCGTAGCTGATCGATGAGGACTTTCACATGCTTGTTCTTGACGGCAAGCTCCTGCATTTCCGGAGAATCTAAGGAAACCCACTGGGCAGCACAATCCGATAATATAAAAAGGGGGATTATTTTTTCTTATTTCCTCATTTTCATGCTTATTCAAAGCTCTCCCTAACGCTCACAAATTTAAATATACAATTCAATTTTTTTGGGTCAAATTTTGGGCTTCGTTCAATCCATTATATTCTTTTATCTAAATTATTATCATTCCAAAGCGCTACAAGAGTATAATCGGAGATGAAAAGAAAATTTCCAAAAGATTAACACTAAAATTATCCTGATTTTTATGAAAGGAAAAAAACTGAGAAAATATGATTGTTCAATCTTACTCTATGATATTATTATATGCCTACCTTCCTCAGCGCGGAAGCGCGCGCTTCCAGTCGTTCTACCTCGTCCTGATCAGCCATGGCTTCCGCTGTGTTGTTCCCCACCGAGGCAACCTCCTGAATGTTTCAGAAACCGACGTCAATATTTTTCGACTGAAACCAAATCTTCGGCGGCGGATAATGATTAATGATCAGACCGTACTTGCAGAGAGGGAACACGTACCTGAGAAGTGGGTATGGCAGCGAGGACGGCCCGGAGAGAGGAGATGGCGGACTTGTAGCGGAGGCGAGCGTCATCCAGGGCTCCCCCGCCGCCGCCGGGCGGGCCGGATTCGGGGTGGTGGCCCGTGTGGTCGGAGAAGGCGTCGCCATTGGCGCCAGCATGGGCGGCGCCGCCGCCGGGAGGGGTGGCCCACAAGGCGGAGTTGCAGAGCTCGTCGTTCATGGAGGAGAGAATCTGGAACGCGGCAGCGATGGTCTCCTCCAGGTGCTTCTGCCCTTCGCGGCCCAGTTCCTGCTTCCTCTTCCCAGCCCACGGGAACCTCTCCTCCCCCATCCTACGCCCAACAGATCCCCAAGATCTCCTAGCTGAACTCTAAAAACCCTAACTTTTTACTCTACCCCAGATCGTGGAGCTTAACGTTCGGTATGGTTGACCATTCTTAGTCAATTGGGTAATTGGGCCCAGACCCCCGGGCCCAGCAGAAAATTTCCAAAAATTAACTTCAGTAAAATGGGCCAAAAACTAAAAAAAGGATTGATTCTTCTCGTGAAAATTATTTTTTTCTTTTTTTAAAATGGAAAGAACCATTTGTGGTTTAATCAGTTGGACTTTTTTTGGGAAAAATAAATCATGGAGCCTACGTTAAATCTGGGATTTTTTAATGCTTAATTACGTTTGGTGAAAATGTAATTATATCTGGTGAAAATTACATTTTTAAAATATGGTATCCACCTTATGAAAAATTCATTTAATTTTTTTTTTATGATGATCAGCTAATTTTCTTATTATAAATAATATATTCAATCTAGTATATTTTTGTTAAATAAGGGTAAGATGATTTTTTTAAAAGTATAAGACAGTTCGAATAAATACATGATTACTAGTGTCCACTTGTGAAGTCAACTCGATGAGTGCTATGTCCCCTCCTCTCTCTCTCTTTCTGTGATTGGTACACGTGGATAGCCTGATTAGAACCAAAGTATTTGCCTACAAAGAGCCTCCTCAGCGGCCCATCTTCCATGTAAATGACTAAAATACCACTGTTCTGCCTCCGCCTGTTTTAATCAGGAGAGGGATAGGAAGGGCTTTACAATGAACTCGAATATATGAGGATGATGGGAGGATAGCTCTGAGACGAGGGAGAAGGATGCCTTCCGGCCATGTGCTTCTCATCTTCCTCCCCTCCGCAACCGCTGCAGTAGGCGGAGCTCTGAAGGTGGCGGAGGCGAGGAAGGGGCTCTCACTCTCCTCGCTTGCCCCGCTGGGGCTTTCTCTTGCTTTGAGTTTCTCCTCCCCTTCCCTGGCCGTTCCTTTCCCTGCAGGCGTAGGAGCTCCGGTGGTCGTTCCGACCACCCCCTTCTCGCAGTCCCGGGATCTGAAATTCGGCCTGGAGGACGGGTTGCGATCTCCATTCCTTCGTCTTGGTTTCTGCTTGTTCCCGATTGCGGCGCTTGGGTGATGTGGTTCGTCTCTTTGCTGTAGGAAGATAAGGCCGTGCCCCTCCACAAATCCGGGATGCGTCTCGACGAACCCCAAGTCCTCCTCGTTCGCTTTCCCTCTGGTGATCCCGAGTGGTTCCTCGGAGAATGCCGTTCAGGTGCTGTAGTCTCTCCCCCCTCCCTATCTCTCTCGCTCTCTCTCTCTCTCTCTCCTCTTTCGCTCTCTTGGGATTTGAGGAATGAAATTTAAACTTCGCCGATAGAAAAACGAAATGGTTGTGGCTTCCATCCCTGCGCAGGCTCTGAAGGACGCAATTTTGAGAACTCAGAAGAATGTGAAGTTTCAGGTCGCAGAGGAGACTCCTTACGGTAATCTAATGGACGGCTAATGAAGATTTCATGGACAATGTTTCAGTTCTCCTGCTATATGATCTCATCTGTCTTTAATATATTTTTAAAGACCAGTTCACCTGATTAGTTCTTCTACTCATCCTCCAGGCCAGTATCTGCAGGCAGAGGTTGATGGAGGATTTGGCCGAGACGTGATGGAGTTCTTGGTGAAGGGAGATGTGGTCGTATACAGATCCATGGCCACCAAGGTCACATACATCTATCCATTCACCACTGCTTTTGGCGACTCCAAAGGACAGGAGGAGAGGATGGAGAAGATCGTGGAGCAGCTGGGTTGGTATTCCCCCAAATTCGACACAATGGACTGACTAGGTCCCCATCTCCACCTTCCTCTTAACGAATGTTAATATCCATCTTTTGTTATCATACATAGTTCATGTGATTTCATTTGTCTGAGAAAATATCTCCTGGAGAGAACTGTGATGAATTAAATTTGCACAGAGAAAATGAATATAATGTGAAATTCTCCGGGATGCTGCTGCTCTTGGCAATCATTGTGGTATTCCCTGGTCTCTTCTTGAGGGGGGATCTCATCTCATGGAATGCATGAGTGCCAATCATCCCGCAGGGGACCTGCGCTGTGATGGTCAGCAGAAGTATGCTGTGGAGGAGGTTGAAGGTAGTGATACAGACCTGCGGGAGGCCAGTGGATCTTATGTACCCCTTGCCTGTGAAGATCTTCTCCTGCTTGTGGCAGAAGAGGTGGTTGGTGATTGTCAAAGACCTCTGTGTGTGGATTGCCACGGCCTTCCACTGCTCCCTTGGCCTGTGGCAGCTGGCACTGGGATTCTCGGAGTCAGCTAAGGCTCTTTGGGAGGGTAACAAACGGTGCAGTATGACACTCCTAACATGGAGGATCGAGGTTCTGTGTTGTGAACCTCATTGGCAGCATGTTGCCATGCATGTTTGCATGTGTATAGGCATCGGTATCAGGTGGCATCGGTATCAGGTGGCAAATGCACATCGTCATAGTGGGGCATGCATCTGGAGGCAGATAACACCACAATATCAGACCAAGGCTTATGGAAGATTGGCCATGGAACCTCAATAGTTGACAACATGGTGCAGCATGGCGGCACAGGCAATGTGTGGTATGCAACGAAGTGACATTTTTGGGCAATTCTGTGAAGCTTTGAGCATGGTTCTCTCAACGTGGTTTGGCATTTGGTGATGACACATGCAGCTTGTGATTTACAAAATAGTACAGTGATTGACAATTTTCAATACGACCTTTTGGATCTTGGGGATCACAAGGCATAGTGGTAACCACAAGTCTATGAGGTGAGAGGGCTATAAGCATGGGAGAGTTATGACTGGATAATGGTTAGCTTCCTTGCTCCTACATATTTCTTGCTTCCACATGAACTGTGAGGGCTGTTTAGTGACAGATGAAACAGCCGCTAAGGCTGACATGAAGTGGAGAAGATAGGTGCACTCTTGGCACCTTGTGACAGTTGATATCTGAGTGAAAGGAGTGATGATGGTGGAAAGTGAAACTGAGGGTAAGCAGATTGATCTAGATCAGTTGTGCTCGACACATTTCTCACATAAGAGGGGAATTGTGGGCAGATGCCACTCTAGGCATTCTACATCTGAACTGCTTGTTTGTTGGTATGAAGTGGACAAGCATCGTGAGTTCAGGCAAGGTGCTGAAGACTATGGCATTTTCAATTATATGTAAAGTCAAGGAGATTGAGAGCTTCCTATGAGATCCTTTTGTGAATGAACTAAAAAGAAATTCCTCCTTATGAACAACACAGGGATATCATATGATGCATTCTAATTGCTTTATTATATTGGCCCAATGACAGATTATGTGACATACTTCACTTCATTGCTACTAGAAACGAAGATCATGTCGAGTGAAAGTAAACTAAGCTGTGTTGCAAATTAGGTAATGACATGTAGTTAAACATGGCAATAGACAATGCTTGGTAGACTACAAACCAACTAGAATTACTTAGCTTGATGTTGGAGCTAGACAATGATGTAATAATAGATGGAAATAGAGTAATTATGGCAACAAATTTAGTCCCATCAATGCTGGCCTGCTACATGTGTGCCATCTCACACCATAGACATGACTATTTATTGCATAAAGACAAGTACATGTTTGGCATGGTGATAGGAGGTGTACCATTTTATCTAAGGAGATGTGATCCCTATTTATACCATTTTATCTGGTTTGGTGCAATATACCGTGAATGTTGTTGTACTTAAGCCAATGTCTATTAGGATGTAAACAATTTACAAGATTTATAAACTGAATTCCAAGAGGTTAAACATGTTGTTTAGTGGAATTAAGTCATCTCTGCAAGGACAAGACGTAAAGATAATCTACTATTTCTCTTTATTTATTGAAGGAAAAATAGTAAAGAAATAGATAAAATGAGGAAGGAAATTCTCTCCAATCTCCAAGTTGTTCTCAGTGTGCTTCTTCGTTTTTGTTGGATCCTCATCTCAAGGTATCCAAATTCATCTTCAATTCGATGTAGTCTTGGTCCAAGTCCCTTCCAAATAGTGACTTGCAGAAACTCAGAAGACAAAGAAAGCAAACTGAAGAAAGAGAGAGAAAACACAGAGGAGGAGAGCAAAACAAAGAGAAGAGAGGAGGTAGAAAGGGAAAACACATGTCGGCAAGAAATGATAGGATGTTGAGTGTATTAACTATACAAAATCTAAATGAAATCAAACAAAACGTGTCTATGGATTCACAAGAGACAAAATGGAGTAGCGAGTACAAAGAAATTTATGAAACATGCAATCAACATCAAGGGTGGAAATTCAACAAGTAGAATAGAAAGAAAAGAGTAAATTAATTAAAATTATCTTGAAACCAAGTTTAATGCCATTGTGTGTGTCACTCATGTGACGAGATCAAACTTTAAAACACAGAACTTAAGTAATTAAAGCGAAATAGGGGAGAAAATTCAAATAAATCCCATCACTACTCTATTGTTGCATACTGACGATTGGGTAAAAGAAAATATAAAAGCATTGAAAACTCAAATAGAAGGTGATAATAAATTCAAAGAGACCAAACTCGACAAAAGTGATGCAAAAAATTAGATATCTCATTCCTCAGTGTGTCACTGCAATGAAGAGAGACATTTGGAAGAACAACCCCAAAGGATGATGATCTCCATTGCCCTTATTTTATCGATTTTTGTTCAATTCCTTATTATGGGAGAGGGTTATATGTAGCTTCTTGATAGCTTGGAACATAACCCAAGAATGATTCCTTCACTTCTAATTCAAAATATTCCTTCACACATATGAAATGTATCTCAAGGCTACAAACCTTGGATAATTAGGTTAGAATGACATATGAAAGATCAAATTCAGATCACATCATGAGAATATATGAAAAAGGATTATTTTAGTGCTAGTTCAAGAGTTATGCAATAAATTTGTTTTAATTTATTTTGACTCAGTTACAAATGATTTTGGGGCATCTTATGCAACACAAATAACAAAATATAACAGCCTATGACATGAAAATAAGGTGTTATCAAACATCAATAGCTAAGGTAACTATGAATTGATCTTTCTAGATACAAGCATTAACAATTGATTCATTTTAGTCACGGTGGATAGTAATGAGACCCATCCTATCATCCTATCAATATGGCAAGCATATTGTCATTAGCTTATTTCCTATATGATAAACTTGAATACTTCCCAAATAAATATCACTTTAATTGTTGTAATACAAAGGAACTATGCTTTGGTCAAAATTGAGCTCATTCACTAAATCTTTCATCGACAAATTTCCTTAGCACTTTTATCCATTGTCATATACTCGACTTCTGTGGCAGATAATTCAAATATTGATTAAAATATACATTTTCAACTAACTACTCCACTTATAAGAGTAAAAACATATCCTATTGAGTATTGACAATTATGTAAATCACCTAAAAAGTCAACATCAACAAAATTTTTAGTACATCTTAAAACATTATTGAAATAATCATCAGAATATTTAGTATATCTTAGGATTTAATTAATTATATTTTAATATTTTTTTAATTTTTTTTCCTAAATCTATTTACCACATCAACTACATATGTAAGGTCAAGACTAATGTCTTCATTAACATGACAATAATTAATTAATAATATATCTTATATCTTGACTCATGATAAATAGATTTATATTTATCTTAAATTAAGATAATAAAGTTCAATTGATTAATATAAAAATTTACCTAATTAGGTAATTTTATATAATTTTTTTATTATATTTTTCAAATAAAATAAATAAAAAGAAAATAAATTAAAAAATACATAAAAAAGAGCGAACTCTTTAGCCAACCAAGCCTTTAAGCAGGTTAGAAGCATAGTTGAGCAAGGCCTCAAGCTAGGGGCTTGACTGACTAAAGACTAATTAGGGGGCACATGTGTGTCATTCCACTTCCATGTCACCAGTGGCTAGTGAAACGTGAGGCAAGGAGTGGTCGTACACATGAAGAGAGAGTACATTAATAAACAAGAATGTATTGATATATGTGTCTCAAAGATTAAAAAACAATTGATGTAAGACTAGACTTATAATAGTCCCTAGGAGGTTTTATTTTTTTATATCAAAAATACCTTTGGCTTAAAACAAGGAAATGCCTCCATGATATTACAAAGTAAAGGTATGCAAATATTTTTTCTCTCTCATATAGTTGAGTGACCAATGAGGGTTTGAATCCCACCAATTTTTATTTTTTATTTTTCTAATTAAATCATAATTTTCCTACATAACACTAGTCAATGATTGAATTGACAAAATCATTTGATCATCAATGAAAATTTTATAAATGCTACTTGCAGATCATCATTAGTAAATGATCAAGAATTTTTAATAAAAAATCATGAATTCTTCAAGAAAATTATCTCTGATTGATTGACTAACGAGCCATAGTCAAGAAGAGGATGATTAGTTGAGAGATGAGTTTTCACCTCCTTAGAGTAAAATCAAATGTTTTATGAGACTCCTCTTGCTACATGGACTTGGAGAAAAAGCTCCTTAAGATGTGCCTCACTTTCATCTACCTCATCTTCACCGAGTGATAACCGTTAGAGATCTAAAAGTTAAATTGTCACTCCACTAGTTGATAGTCATCAAAGATAATTTGTCAACTCATTTCATCAATTTATAGACTTCACAAGAAAATCTAGAGGTTGTCTATATTATTAACACATAATAAAAGCCTTTGAGTTCATGAATATCGAATGATAATCCCTTGAACACTCAAAATTCTAGTGATTGCCATTGCAACACCGAAACTATACTTTTTATATTTTAAACTTAATTTTTA